TTCGACACCGTGCTCTCCTGTGGGGGCTGCAGATGCCACGGACACTGCACGGACGTCGACGACTGGGCAGAGCGGCAAGCTCCTTGTCATTCCGAAGACGATCTCTCCCCCAAGTACATATGTCTATTCGTTATCTACCTATCTAACCCTACAATGTATAGATGGGAGTTCACTCGCGCCTGGATCAATGACCCAACAAACGTGCCATACATGGAGGCACGCTTCAACAAGGCTTGGAAGTCGGTGAGGGAGAGCGCTGTAGAGTTAAAGGTGACTCTGTCTGCCGGATATCTACGCTGAAACTAACACCTTTAATGCAGAAATGACAGGATACTTCCGATGAAGAGAGAACGACACCTCTTGCTTGATCCGACAGTGCACGTACTTAACATGTTCATCAAACTTGGGCTTTTTACTAATGATTTTGCTTGCTTACAGGTCATTCGCGCACTATGCTGTCAGTCTGACATACGCCACGCCAACATCAGCTCTCCCGCTTGCTAAGCCGACATTCGCTTCTCTTCGCTGTTTTTACCGATTCACTGCTTTCATTGCCATCATTTGCTATTCTTTGCACGCTTGCCTTATTCTTTGCGCAAACTCCCGCTGTTTTTATTGATTTCGGGTCGCTTTTAAAACATTCTATGTCATTTTAAAGAACCTGTACTGTCCCTACCGAGAAATCAAATGGTCGATGACCGTTTTTTGCCAGTCTTTAAAGTCTTTTGAGGAATTGTTTTAAACACCTATTGGGGCACAAGCTCAAGTCGTTTTAATGAATAGTACGTGTTTTAAAGAATCCGAAGAGCGTTTAAAGATTAATAATCACTTTTATTCAAAACCTCAAAGAATAATCCAATATGGACTAAGTTTCACTGGGTGTTAACGTTTAGCCGCGTTGACGTTTGGCAGACGCGTGGTAGTCACGTGGCTCAAAATTTGCCAAAAAGCAGCGGCGTGGGAACGAGCTCGCCATCCCCCGAGAGTCTGAACTTGTCGTGACTCGCCTCCGCAACCCATCTGCAACCCATTCTTGTCAACTTGTACAAGCAGTTTCCTTGTTCGTAAGTCAGCACTGTTTTCAACAAAAAGACTAACTTACGTACGCTTCTTTGCATATGTCAATGCTGCTCTTAGCACTCCCGTCAGCATCCATCCCCCTGGAGAGTCCTTATGCATTTTGGCAACAACAATGTAAACGCGCACTTCACGTGTACCTTTGTGTACATTTCCCCCAGATTGGTGCCAGTGCGTTCTACATGAATGCACCGCCTCTCCCTCTTCCTTGATGGACTCCAGCTAGCAGAACAGAGGGATGTTCCCGGGCATGACAGCCATTAGTGGGCCCTGCCCTTGCTAATGCACTGATACGCTAAACTTAGGTTCGTCACTCACCGATACGTTGTTCATGAGCACATATGACACTGCTGTATCTTTTATGACAGAATGTTCAATCACGTTGTTCGGTCTCTTATTCGGCACCGGGGTTCTATACGTTCTTGCTTACACGCCATGCAGGAAGCCGTGCGGCACCACTGGAAAAAGATAGCAGTGAAGATCAAAGGTTCCGACCCCTCACACTGACCCTGGGTCCTCGAGGGTGATGTACGGTTGGCCTGGGTAAAAATAGAAGACCGTATTGGGCAGCTCTCACCAATGACGATGGTGCCAACGTCTCCAAGCTCCATCATCTGCGCCGAGACACTCCACACACATTTGGTTCATTTTTGTTGATGAGCATTATAACTTGACACCGTGCGTCAAACGAGGGCTCTGTACTTGCTTCAAGTATGCTGACGTTGAACAGATCCGTTTTTGTGAGCGTCTATAAGAAGTGGGATTGATAACACGGGACGGCACGCTTGCCTTCGCAAGCAGCTGAAGCACGTATGGGCGTCAATGGGTACTTCTCGACCCAGACTCCCCTCCACACGCATGCACACGCAGCGCGAGTGCAATGTGCTTCATCATGCCAGCCCTCTATTTTATCCCAGCCGCGAACAAGTCTCGAGAACTACGCCTTCTGTTTAGTGTCTAGTGTCGGACAGTTCTTGCGCATACCAAGAACTTGGTATGTTCTTCATTGTCCCTTTTCTCATCACTGCGGCATCAGCCGCGCCCATCTATGCCAAGGTCATCTGCAAGACGACCACGTACCTCGATATCGTCGTTTTCTTTGTCACAAACTATATCACCCATGCCGCTACCGTACCCTCTACAGCCGGTACCAAGTGGTACTCAACGGCCACTTGGACGATCGTCTGTATCTTCCTCCCCTTTGCAGGCCTTGGCAAGTCCCTCGGTCTTTTCTTCCGCTATGTCCAATGCCGGCAGAACGATATGGAGAAGGCGCTTGCCCGGGGAGCCCTCATCTTGGTCAAGAGGTCGAAGGACTGGAAGCCGAATGAGATATCTGCGGAGCAGGTGTACGTCAGGGTAAGGCAGAATGACCGATTTCTCACGTAAGCCTTACCAACTCTCCAATATTTACGTATGCTCACAACAGATTTGAACAGCGAGAAAGAGTTTGGTTCTATCAAAGTTTCCACCACCGTCCGTATAACCATTGAAGATGACGACAGAATCAATGCTAGAGTGGACCCCGCCCAGGTCCGAATTCACGGTGGGATGGCGAAGCTTCCTGCAGGATACGAGCTCGATTTTGCCGATTTCTGGGATCGCTGGCACCTCAACCTCGACAATGGCAGCCAGCTAAGCTCATCTCAGAGCTGGGTCAAGATGGTTACGTCTATTGCGCAACTTCTGTATACGTCCCTGACGATATACGAGACAGCCGGGCCTCAGCTCGATGTCTACGGCTATGCCGCGTACGGCTTGACTGTATTCCCCTACTTGCTCCAGTCCCTCGTCAATCTGGCCGCCGTAGGGATTGCTGGCGACTACTCGTGCGCGTACCTCATCAACACCGCCATCCTCACCGAAGCCAACGGCAGGGCGTTGGCACAGTGTGACAACGCGTTCACCGGCATGGTTGGGCGTCCGGGAAAGCCGGAAGGTGCCACGGTCATACCAAATTCATTTGGGGTGGAGATGAAGCTGGAGCCTGAAGACGAAGTGAACACGCAAGGAGGGCCCGAAACGCGTATTCGTGCGGTAGACATCGGCACCGCGGCAGAAAGCCCCATAAGTCTGACGCAACCAGCCAGAGGTACTGTAACATTTATATTGTACATTGAAGCCGTTAACGTCTTGCTTGATAGATGACAGCGTGCTTAGCCCTATCTCTGAGAAGCACGTCGCACCTCCTAAACGTGCCCTCACTATGCCCCGACCTCAGCGCCGGAAAACGCGCGATGACTACACCAAGACGCGCGTGCTGTTAATTACTAGAGCTACCAACAACACCAATGACACCAAGAGTACCAACAATGATGAATATGAGACCACCGAGATGCGTCTTAACCTCGTAGAGGGCCGGCAGCCAGCAGACATCGAGCTGATTCTCCCAGCGGCAACCAACCACTGGGTAGCGAAGATAGCGTCGAACAGCTCCTGGTGGGACGCCTGCCTCGCCTACTGCGGCCTCGTCGCCGCAGTGATCATCGTCCTCTTCCTCCCGTACCTCGTCATCTACCTCCTCACCGGCTTCCACAAGCGGTCCAGCACGCCCGCCGAGCGCGCCTGGCTCATGGCGTGGTCGAGCGCGAACGACCTCGCGTTCCTTATCTTCGCACCGCAGTTCCTCACGCCGTACGGGTTCGCGGATCTGGCGAATCTCGTGTGGCTCATCCCGGCGGTGGTCACGTTGATCGTACCTGCGATGGGCGGGTTTGTGATGGTAGCGCGGATGCAGGCAGCGTCCAAGACCTGTTCTCTCGATTCTGATTAGGGTATATTCAAGGCTATGATGCTACTCATGCACTGTTTTCATGTCTTCAATGCTCTGGTCATGTTTCTTACCATGTTGCGTAAAATAGTATCTTCGAATACAAGTAAAACGTGAATGTGCATACTACGATACCCTTAGATGAGATCACGTACGGCAAGTCTACCAAAGCTCGCCTGTCTGCGTGCGACGTACTGTATCTATGAGCGTGGAATCGCGAAGGCCTCAGACTGTGATTCGCCGCCCGGTGGTAGGGAGAATGTAGGGGTACACCGAATACAAAACGTATAGACGGTTCAGACCAATAATCAAGAGGCTTATGTGGTAGTATGAGGTTTGATGTACGTGTGGAGTCAAGAATAGCACTGGTTTGAGTGGTAGTTGTGTTAATGTAGAGGGATCGGAGATGAAAGCGCAATATGGAGTTTCCTGGGGTATGATACATTCGCAAGACCCAAACGAGAGAACATAGAGTATACAAGGACAGAATCAAAAGACCAAGACGTCGGAGTCGTAACAGGGATCGTGGAAAGCCAATAAATAGAAAGCAGAGAAAGAATGCTGATATCCACAGGATAACGTGTCCATTTCACGGGTAAGCCGTCTTGAGCTGCCACATCCCGTTCCGTCCCTTCACGAGGCCCGCGAACATGTACTTGCCACGCAAAAAGTCGACCCTGAGCACGCCCGCGTTCCGCTCCTCGTCCGTCTCGCACCGCTCGTCCCAAGCCTGCGTCAGCAGATCCCGATCGGCATCGTCCAGCTCGTCGTTGTAGAAGTCAGACTGCACGATCGGGTACGAGAGCGCCTGGTGCAGCGCGATGAAGACGTCGGCGAGGCAGACAAAGGAGCCGTTGCTCGTCGGCAGGACGTCGAGGTACCACGGCAGACGCGAGTTGTATACTCGCATGAAGTTCACAGGCGGCTCACTCGCGGCTTGGATCATGTCGGGGAAGAGCGGCTCGCGATCGAGGTAGGTGAGGCGGACGTTGTCGATGTATCTGCGGAGATCGTAGATCGCGTCGGCGTGGTACTTGAGGGCGCGGTGTAGGTCCACCTTGGTGTAGAGGCCTTTGGAGGGGTAGCGTGAGCGCTGAAAATAGTGATAAGCAGTCGTCACTTACTCGCTGCGGACTCGCGTCTACGGAAGAGCGAAGCGAAGCCGGTGCGGAACCTGAAGTCTCGCCTCCACGACATGGGCGGATCTCGAGGTACGGTGGGCTGCATGGTCTGCATGACCCCTCCGTTGGAGAGCGTGCGAGTGAGAGTGGTAGGAGGGGTCGGCGTCTTGCTGCTCGATATCGATCTGCGACCGCTGCCGGGTGAGTGTTTATTGGCGGGGAGCGTGTTCTGCCAGGGCGTGCCATTGTTTGATCGCGCTGACATCGATCGACGTAGTGGCTGACCAGTGTGTAGAGGGGTGCGTTCGCCAACGGGCTGAGCGCGCCGAGGAGGGACGTAGCCGCCGCTTGGCGTGTCCATGGGATCCTGGGTCATCTTAGGGATATACGGGCTGGGTGGCGCCTGGCGCTGGTGCTGCTGAAAGCTGAAGAAGTCTTGGTTTGCGGCAGGTGTCGGAAAGGCGGATGTGTTGGGTTGAGTCGTGGAGGGTGCTGCCGAGAAGGAGAAGTTGTTGATCGGATGGTTAGGAGAGGCCAAAGTCAGATTGGAGAGGCCGCCTGGAGTGAAGCCCTGGTTCCAGCCTGGAGGAACAAATCCTCCTCCTCCTCCTCCTCCTCGCGATGCGCGCATGGATGCGCGTTGGAACGTGGCACCAGGTGGAGGAGGGATGTGACCACCGGGAGGGCCCGCACTGGGGTCAACCAAGGGGGGCATGTCTTCGTACACGCTGTTCATCATGAGAGGATAAAAGATGGGCGATAAGACCAGTGTAGCCTCGCCCTCACGTCCAAAGGAGACTCAAGCAGACAGAAAGGGCAGAGGAGGACAAAAGATGGGATGTAACGGTCAGTACAGGAAGAGATGGATGGTCATCGCACTGCACCGGGTTCACGGCGCGCACTGTGCAGTCCTGGAGGGAGTGGGAATGGCTGCCTCTTTCAGCCATCCAGACCCCGCTCGGCCTCGTGTCCGACGTCTGGGCCTCCTTTCAGTCTAAAGCTTTTCATCCCTGCTCTACCTAACGCTGAAGCGTCGCACTGTTAGGTGATGCGAGTGGGGTTGAGGAGTGATGATGGTCGACGGACAACAAGTGCGTAGTAATATGATGTCCTTCGCGACGCGTTGCTTGCCATTAGCCGACTCCCATCTTCGTGGACGAGTTCTTCGTAGCCTTTCCTCTCTCGACCTCCCGCTCGACTCCGTGGTGCTGCCCAGCACCTTTCGCTTTTCTTACTCCTACAAGTCCGCCGACCTGCTCTGCATACGTCACCCTGATCCACTGACCATTATACCCACCTTCTCTTCGCCTCAACGAACAAAGTTTCCGTACTATCTTTTTGCCTCTCGCCAAACTTACCAACATCGTCTGTTGGTTCATCCTGCGAATACTTTCGGTCATCTCACTTCTGACCGTGTCGGTATTTGACAACTGTCTTGATGATCCCGTCAGGCTTCGTCGTTTCTCTTCTGATCTTGATGTAGACGCTTTATGGAACAGGGTTCAGCTTGATAAGTAGGTCCAGTGAGAACCCGGGTATTCTTGCTGAGCTTCTAGCCCGAGCGCGTCAGCCGCCGCTCTCATCGCTCCCGAGCCCGCAAGAACCATATCATGTCTTCTTGTTCGTTCCACCGCTTCAGAACACCTGCGAAGAGATCGACGTCTGGCAAACGTAGCTTAGGCGTTTCAGCGACGCGGACGCGCTTGCACCTATCAGCGGCTTGCCATCGCAGGCACTCGTGTTATATCCGCGCGCATCACCTCGTGTTCGCAGCTGCCAGGCGCAATCAGCAGGCAGAACACCATGACTCGACTCTTCCGTATTCTCCCGTGCTCTTCCCCTCTCGTTTTCCGCCCAATCGACGCCCATCGGACGCCGTCGGGCAAGTATCTGGCATCTCGTCTGCGTGTTTTGGTCTTCGCACTTCTCGTTGTTCCACGTTGCGTGCTTTCATACCCACAACGCGGGCGCGTCCCATGCACCAGCAGGAGACCCGGCGTTGCACATGGATCGCGCCTCGTTTTCAGGCAGTGGCACCGCTTTATTCCATGGCAAAGTTCTCTCCTCGGGGCTGGCTTGCGTCGTGCTCCTCGGCCTGGGACATGGTGCTGCCTCGTGTCTCGGCTACCAGGGAAACGCGTGGTTCTCACCCACGAGTGCCTCACGGGGTGGCGCATTCGTCATATCCACGACTATTCTCTGCCGCGACACGCTGCGGCGAGCCTCAGCGAGAGGGCGTCCTTCGATTCTCTGTTTCGTTCTTCTTTCTCATCCGCACGCAGGAATAGACACGATTCGCCCAATCGCAGGCCTGTCAAAACAGAGTTTATCGTCACTTAAGCCATATCGAGCACAACGACTGCTTCGCGTTCTACTCTCGAACGCTTTCAAGACGGCGCGGTTAAGACTCTCGTCATCGTCGTAGCGACTCCTTGGGTATCTTCCAGGTTCCGCGAACACAGTTCTGTGCCTTGCGATATCCGCTGAGAGCGCTGCGGGTTTAGGCTCCGCACACCGATGGTTTGAACGCGCTGAAGGTTCGTTGAGCACGGTAGACGCGGAGACCACAGTCGGTGCGATGGTAACCAGCATACCTACTGAGGCCCCGAACTCTCTTCAGGGACCGCACATATCATCCTTGTCACATCTCCGAGCACTTCACCGCAGTATCCGGGGCCGTTTACCAAGCCCAGGGTATTGAATGGCCTATTTCCGATGAGCTCGAAGAGAACTGGCACTGAGCACGCCACCGGTGATTAAAGTTACCGCTGGATGGGTGGACAACTAACTCCAGCATCATATGGTGTCGTAGAGACGAGAAGATCGTCTTGTATTCTGAAGACCGGTCATCCGCTCAGACGGGCGGGCAGCGAACGGCGGCCTGGGGTTCACGCAGCACGGCGAAACTCTCATTGCTCAGTGAGCAGAATTCGGGGCGGCCCGTCTGTTCATTCAAGAATCCCTTGGCGCTCCGTCAGCGTGGATTGCAGGTACAGACTGTCTATCTGCTTACATGTTTTCAGTTTCCTTTTGCACCATACTTGCCTTTCATTCGGAATCCAAAAGGGTTTCGTGGCTATCGATGGGCGGTACACGTTGCACGGGTTTGCGGCATCACCCCAGTTTTCAGCTTCAGATACGACAACGACTTGACCACATCGCACTGTAACAATGGCAGCGTTGGTGTTGTACAGTGGCTATGGCGCATATTTTTGGGCATGTCCGAGTCTTGGTTCGAATTGAGACGAACGCGAGCGAGCCGGCACATCAACCTGAAGTGGCAACCTGGCTCTCACCCAATCGAGGATCCGAGCCTCCTCGGACGCAAATGGTGAAGACCTCGCCACCACATCGACGTCATGCGACATATTCTCCTCCGCCTCCGCCTCCGAGTCGTCGCTTGTCTTATCGAGAGCCTGTCTGACGGGTGAACTGAATGCCCTGCATGTCGAAGCGCTCGAGAAATCTACATCCGCTCGCTTGCGTCAACATATCGCTCGACATCTGTTCATCATCCGCGCATCACCTGAGCCATCGGGGCCTTCATTTCGATATTCCGAGTTCTCATACGTCTCATCGCTTAACATCGCCTACACATCGCGGGACGCTAAAGCGCTAACCACTCGCAGGTGCCATTCATGCCATCATCGCTGACATCGCCGTCAGATGGCGCATACAGTCCAGTATCATACAGTCCATCGGTGTCCACCGGTGACCTTGTACCGCATATGCAGCCTGTTCTACTCCTCATGCCAGTGCGGCGCTCGCCGCTACTTACTTATCGTGCCACATCACCTGCAGCGCAGCGCTCCTCATGCCACGAAAAGCTTATTACCCTCGCCCGCACGTGTTGACCCATCTCTACGTTCTCCCAGCGTTCTCGCGGGCACCCCTCCATTCCCGACTTCCCTTTTCGGGGCCCATCACCCTCTCGCGCAATCGCTCGCGTCCGTCTCGTGACAGCCCGTGACACGCACACGCCGACGCCAAAGCATCAAGACGACAATCCGGGATCGAGCGGGATCAAATATGCTGCTGACAAGTGCTGACATGACATGCAAAAGGATCTGAAAAAGATGCGATTCTTCCGCTTTGGCGGTGTCATGTCAGTGTCAGTGTCATCTGTCAACACGACAAGCGAGCGAGATCGTGCCTGTCACTGTCCACCGTCCTCGGCGAGTTCGCCGATCATCGTGATCGAGCCACCGCAGCGAGGAAGAGGAAGAGCAAGGAAGAGGAAGGCCAAGGCAATGGTCAGCTTCTGCCCATCGCCGGGTACACTGATTCGATTCAAGTCCCCGTTTCGCAGAAACGGTATGTACATCAACGAGATAGAGCACGTACGAGTACCTGATCATGAGTTTGTATGTATGTATGAAAGTGTAACCTAAAAAATGCAAGAAATATAACCTCCCCATTACGAATCGGGGAGGGAAAAGCATATAATGGGGGTTATGTACAGCTATAAAAACCGAATAAAAAGTGGGGTATTGATTCGATGGAAGCAAGAGAAAAGACAGGAAAGGATACTATTAATCCATTTGGTCGATGAAGGTGTCGCGAACCACTGATAATGAAGTAAACTGTCACCACACGTGAGTAAACAAGATGAAAAAAGGAAAACGGGAAGGAGGCGCGGAGCGCGCGCGAAGATAGTGGTGGGATATATGGTACAACAGAATGGAGACGCATGCGTGGAGATGATGAGATAGAGTGATTTGCTGGGCTTAGGGTTGGGCTGGGGCTTCCGTTGGAATGACAGAGATAGAAATACATCGCGGGGGCTTGATTGAGATCTTGAATAGGTCGTTTTAAATAAAACGCGTAGGCAGTAAGATGTTGTTTCGTTTCAGGAAAAGACCGAGCGGAAATTGAGGGCCGGTAGGGCGGAGAGACGGGTCGAGAACAGATAACGCTGAGAATGAAGGCCTAAAGCGGACAAATTCGACGGCGGAATCGACGGCGGAATAAGAAACGCGAAACGCAGCAACAGCAAACAAAAGAGACCGTGGGTGTGAATGGGGCGCGTGACGCAGGGAGGAACTGGATGGAGGGGAGAGCGGAGATTTTGGGTAGAACAAGGAGACCGGGATCAGAAAGACCGCCCCAACGACACCATGAACGCGGAGAGGTCCTCGTCCGTGGGCGCCAGTCCCGCTCTCGCCGGATCGAAGTCAAATTCTTGCTGTCCTTGGTTGCCCTGGGCGAAAAGTGAGGGATCCAAGGGGCCGACGCTGCTGTCAGCGTATCCGTGCATCGAGGCAGCGTAGGCGCCGCCGCAATGAGAGCCGTACGTTGTCTGAGATTCTTGAGCCTGGTGGGAGTAGGCGTCGAGCGAGAAGGAGTTGAACCCGAAGGGGTCCTCGTGATGCCCGTGAGCGAAGTTGGCCGGGGCCGAGTAGGCCTGTGGCGTCGCGGGAAGGCTCGAGTAAGGAGAGGACGAGCGTGTCCAGTCGCCAGCGCCAGCGCTGCAGAAGGAGGTGTCGACAGAAAGACTGGGTGTGCAGACGCGAGCGTCGTTCTGCTGGTGCTGAGGGTAGTGGATGTTCTGGTAATCCGACGGTGCCGGAGAGACGGCGTGCTCGAAGGGCATGCTGAACATGTAGGGATCGAGATCCTGCAGCGGGCGAATGAGAACGATGAAGGGACGAAGAAGAGGTTGAACGTACATGTTGGTGTGAATGCATGGACATCGAATACTCCGAATGTGACGAAGCCGAGGGAGAAGGCGATTCGCCGTAGAAATCCAACGAAGCCGGGCTGGGAACCGGGACGGGGTGCTCTGGCAACGACGACGGAACCGGAGAAAGCTGCTGCAGAAGCTGAGGCTGCGTACTCGATGATCGTTTCCGATGGTGCGACGGTGCCGAGGAGAGGAACGGCAACTTCGACTGGGCGTCGTCAACGGGCGCGGACGACGACCGGCGGTACGCGCGTGCGGTGATGGGTGCCTCGAAGCGGGTGACTACCTCGCGAATATGGTGCTTGTCGAACTCCAAGATCGCCTCGTCGAGTTCTTTCCCTTTCTTCCCCTCGACAAGAAGCTCTGCTATCTTCGCGCACCGCTTGAGGTCTTTGGGCTCGACCTCGCGCACCTTGCGCTTCTCGGCAGTGCCGCCCTTGTTCTTGGCGTGCGTTGGGCGGAAGGCGTACTGCGGGAACTTGCGTCGGTGGTCCTCCTGGGCCTTCTTCGCCTTTGCGTGCCACACCTGTCGCTCGTCGTGCGGCATGTTTTGCCAGGTGAGACCGATGATCTTGGAGAGCGTGCTGTGGTTCGTCTCGACCTCGGTGGAGACGTGCTGGCTCTTTATGAAAGAGGATCGGAAGAGGATGAAGGCATTGGGAGGGCGGGGAATGTGGTCTTCGGGTTTCTTCTTGCCGTGGCCAGGTCGGCGGCCGGTCGACGACTCGGTTGAGGACTGGGTAGGGAAAAGACTGGGTTCACCAGAGGCGTCGACGGTCGGAGGAGGGTCGTTGAAGGTGACGGGAGTGAGATTGGGAGCGAATGCGATGCTCTGAGCAGCCTTGGTCGCCTCGACTGGCGTTGCCCAAGTGAGGGGTTGAGCGCCTAAAAATGCGATGCAGATGAGTTCATACCGCCGCTGGGAGGCTCGAGATGGAACGGAGACAAATTACGCACCCTCTGAGACTGTGCGTTTTATCCCTCGCGTTCTGTCTGCTGGCATGGTTGGCGAGAACGAGATGGGGTTTCGCTGAAGGGGAGCGGAAGGAGGCGGGCGATGAGCGCAGAGGGAGGACCCAGAAAGGATAGGGAGGGGACACGAGGCGATGGGATAAGTCGGGGACTTTATATTTTATAAGAGGGAATAATACGCACCGAATGACCAAACTGCAGGGACGGGGGGCACTAACAGAAGAAAGTTCAATCAAAGTTGAGCTGGGCGGCAAGGGATGTATTTATTATTTAGACAAGGCCCTCCCTCCCGCACGGTGATCATGACAACTGGGTGAACCCGGGTGGGCCGGTGCCAGATTGGCTCGTCCTAAATCCATGTCAGCCATCATGTCAGCATGCGAGGGAGAGAAAAACATGGCGGAGTGTTGTTTTCACACAAGAACATATGTCGAATAGGAAGTTGGGATCCAAGGAACAGCGAATGCTCCCATGGGCTGCCGTCGGACATCAGAAATTGTGTGCGTCCGCGTCACGTGCCTCTCGTTATCGCCCAATCTGAATCTCCAGAAAAGGAAATGCATCCGCTCCGGAGATTGGCTAGTCTCTCGGCTAGACTCTCAGATCTCGTCCGTGCCTCTCTTTCCCTCTGTCAAAAGCTCATCTCATCTCCAGTAATGGAGCCCTGTCCGTCCACTGACAGCGACACCGAGACACCACCGTCGCCTACCCTCTCTTCGTTCATCGTCGTCTCGTTCACATTCTCTGGAAAGATCTCTCAGCAGGTCCCATTGGCTACCAGACACATGCTCTTTCAGCCTTCCACGTTTCAGCTTTCCACAGCCACGTTTGGTGCGTGTTGTTCGAGGTCCACGTCGCGTCGTCAGACTCGTCATGGCCACCCTCGGCGCTCAACGCCGTAAGAGTCTATCATATGAACTGTCGTGACAGTTGACCGTCTCCAGAGTTCCTAATCAGTCCACCGGACCACGGCCTCGCTCAGATTAGCACAGATCCTATTGCTCCCCATATCCGTCTCGCTTCTTCGAAGTACCTCAGCCCCTCGGCTCGTCCCACCGTCACTCCCTTGTAACGTACGCCTCCTTCAGATCCCGTTCATTCGTCCATTAAACCTTCGTCCCTCCGTCGTCGTCCTAGAGAGAGGCCCATTCGTACGAAGGCACCTGGTGAGTAGGATGAAAAGCCACCGATGGGTGTAAGCACCGAATCACTGTATCTGTCACGCCGGTCCCTTCATCGCACCGACCTAAAAATCATAACGCCATATGGTCCTGAATAATACCTCCCCCGCGACCGAAGAATGTTGTGATTTTGCGCTCCTGGACTTCGCCTCAGTTGATGCCCTTAATGTGCTCGGACTGCTCGTCGACTGTTTACGACAGATGAATGACAGTCACTAGCTTCCATTGCCAACCCTTGACTCGGGGCCGTACATCAAGCTCTGTCTTCTTTTTCTCCCTGTTTTTCTCGCTAGAAACGGGGTAAAGCTGACGTGTTATAAAATCGAACAGATTACCTCCCTCTTTTCTGTGCTCGGTATGGAGCCGAAGTGGAACGGCTTGGTGCTGATGGTCCACCTGATTTTTTTCGACGGTAGATTTACCGTTCACGATGGCTCGAGCTGGAAATAAGCAACAGGCACCGCCTGCGCAAACCTGTACCCTCATGGTCCTGCTCACAGTAATCTTTGTCTTCACCCCGATTTATCGCTCTCCGATTCGAGTCTTGTTCTCGGGTTACATCTCATGGCTCTGACTACGTTGGTCCGATTAAATCGATCTTGATCGCCGAGCTTAGCTGACATTCCAGGGACCGCAAACAGTTGCGGACGCCACTACATGTGAAGGGTGTGTGGCATGTCTCCAAGGACTACTGTCTCTTGTTCTACTGCAAGGTCTGGTCTCCTTAGTATCCACGGTCTTTTTTTCGTCTCTTTCTTTTGGATGACGAAAGCCTAATCACCCTTCCTTCCTTCATTTGTCACATTTTCTTTGTTCACCGATACCCCAGGTTGCGAGGCTAACTTCGGTGGATCTCTGAGTCGATAAGATCCTGGTGACTTTTTTGAATCGTCCCACCAATTCGGCATCGCTCCTTGACTGATATCCTCTGATATCTCCTGGTCACCCTCAATACTATCGTAACGATACACAGGGTTTCTCCTAGGGCCACTTCTCCGCGTGCTGACTTGGCTGCTTATGGGATGGCGCGTATCAATAGACGCTGAGCTATGTCTAACGTGATAGAAGCGACATTCTTGTTCTTCCTCGGCGACCACCAAGCGTGGTAGTGATTCGCGCGCTCACTCGCTCGCGCTTCTCTCTCTCGTGGTATATGTAACGAATCTTCTCAGAAACAGTACGTTGTTCTTTACAGGTCTACAGACCAGGCGGAAGTCTTTGGAATCTAATTCCGACGGTGGTCTATCTCTCGACAGGAAGCGATGCAGTTGAAGTGTATTTCCATCATGTGGCGCGTACCCGTCGCTGTCGCCGTATCATTCTTAACGATCGACTAATTCTCCCTCTCGACTTTTTCACATTGGCACCTTTGTATGTAACGTCCACCCTTGTCTACTCTGCTCGTGCGATTTTGAATGTGGCTCGTTGCCGTTACTGTCTAATTTTGCTTAGCACAAGAATCTATGCGACGACATATATCCTTGTTCGTAACTAATTAGAAGCGCAATATAGTTTTTGCCTGTACGATGGCATACGATTCAAATCGTCGGTGGCTGACACTTGCAATGACTCCGAGCCTTGTCCCGGTGCTGTCGCGCTTGCCCCGCCGAGCGACTCTTAGTGTCTTCCGTGAATCGGAAGTTCATTCAGTAGCTGAGTTCGAGTCTTAGTCAGCGAGCTTAGATTCTCGGTTGGCCACTGAGTACGAGTACTGACATGTTATGCTTCTCCATCTTTCGTATTCAGGGATTCAGGGATGTCAAAGGCATCAAAAGCAGGGTCGAGTCAAACATCCATCCCATTCAAAATCCTAGCTCGTTGACCAATATGTCTAATACGCCTCCGACGTTCTACGTCACCGACGTTGGGTCCATAGTTCATCAATCTCGGAGCGCACCGATCGCCGCGCCGCCCTAGGTCCGCGAGCCCTCTGCCCAGCTCTCCTCCCAAGTGCCAGAGACTCCGGGCTCAGTCGCTTACCTCGAGGAGCCGAAACCAACGACTGACTGATGGCGGTGGATGCGTTGACAAGCTGCTTCGATGCGCCCAGTTTTCGACGGCCGTGTGTCATTCATCCCGCGTAAGCTGCTGCACCTGTTCATCTCGCGTTCATACGGAAGAACAACGTTTCGAGGGTTCCGGGATCCATATTTCTCATGTGGGCGCTGCAGTTCATCTCCGAGGGGCGGAATGAGCGCCATGAGGTGTTGTGAGCGCATTCCGGGCCGCAGACAGGGTCTAGGATCGACTATGCGGTACGGTGCACACTGGTGGCTGTATCAGACACATGGTTGGTTCTACAGGACAATCACATCTATATGGTGATTTGGGAGAGAGGGAAAAACATATTGAAGCAGCTGCCTTTGAAAACCAGTTTTTCATAAAACACTTGAGCTGCGAGGCGTCTCGGCGCTGCCGGAAAATGGGGCAGAAGGATTCATATGGAAGGATACGGCGAGTCTTGTCACTTAGCTTGAACGGGGTCTATCACTATAACCCTGCATCTGAAACATAGTGCCGTGCGTCGTGTATGGTGTCTCTGCGACTGCACAATGCGTCTAATACATGGCCAAATTCCAACCAGGATTAAGTGAGCATTTCTTCCAACGTAAACTACTGCAACGCTTTCTCCTGCCTTTCTCTCCTCTCCGCTGATACACTGCTGGCACATGTGGTGAAGGTGGGTTGCGTTTACCCCCTCGATGCCGGCTTTTAAAATGCTTCTATTAGTGTCAGGAAAATGGACTTCCTGGTAGTACTTTTAGAAGTCCTTCGTGGAGGGGGTCGTATGCCGGAAAATCCTCGCCGAAACCCAAGCGACCGGTCGTACATGAGAGAAACGTTTCCATAGGATGAATGTCACGGCGGCGACTGATATCATCTTATCTAAAGAAAAGCGCTAGTAAATCAGTCAGTAAAGCAACTTTATGCACGTGCAATACTCACAACTAGTGAAAGATCAAACTATAACATTTTGTACGATTTCAATGAACAATTATGCGAAAAATGAGAGAAATAACAAGTAATGGCATCTACGGCTAGCATGACTTTCAACTTACTGGCTACGTACACTTTGATACTAGTCTAATGAACAAGTTTGTATACATGACCACATTTTAACGACGTTGACTAAACCCTCAATTGCCGGTACAATAAACATGTAAATGCTGGGCGAAATGTAAAGCACTTCGCATGAGTCTACGAAGCCGTACATCGACAGCGCAAGGGCGTAAATAGTAACATATTTAGGTTGTTGAATGATGACTACGCCATCACCCACGCTCCCTCTGAAGGTGAGCTGTCGTGCGGCTCAATGTGGGCGAAGAGATGGACGAATAGATATGCAATAAAGAGATCCAGAGTCAATGCACCAGATAATCAAAAGGAATCTAACTTGTAGTCTCGGTTTTACCGGGCACTTTCTGCTCCACCTACCTTCAGAAAGTAGCCGATTTAGAGTGGAGATCTTTACGCTGGTTCACCCCTGGTCAAGCGAAGGCAATGAACTGCCCTATGTTCTCCGCCTCTATTACTCGGAGAAACCGCTGGGATCGGCATTCCGGAGGTGACTGTGACGAACAGCCTCGGCAAAGTTTATCGTTAGCTGACACCATAAAATGAAGATATCACAATATTGTGGTTATATCACTGGCAGTCTATCATGGACACGTAAGTTAAAGGATGGCATCCTATATAACATGTAAGTAGCTTAAGCTAGCGTCATTATACAATAGTTATACTACGTGTATCCCTATGTGGGGTATAAGCCTAATCTTTAGCCATTCATGGCCCTCATAGTGCCTGCCCTGGAACTGCGAAGTCTAGCTTCGACTCCACAGTCCTCTCGACATTGACGGTAAGATTAATCTGTGCCAGCTAAATCACCTGCTGCTCATACACATCATATCCAAGCCTTACTGTTTTACTGTCCGATCCCGGAGACCTGAGGCCAGGGCTAAGTGGGCTCAGTGGGATCTACGACTAGTCAATAGACGTACAACAACAAGAAGTTGGTTCATCTCACGGGGTTATTTACTCCGGGTGACCGTGCGTCAGCGTCATACTCTGTTGGGAATATCACAGGGAGCCGGTTCCCACTGTTTGAGGTGGAACCACGGAACTTTCTGAGCTCGTGTCGCGTGTTCAGCCTGTTACATGCATTAGGTTCCAAGGCACGAGTTATGATCAACAGCTGTCTCACGTGGCAAGAAGCGAATTAGCATAGACTATGTTTAGTGCGTCAGTGGCAGAATGGGGGGTGAAAGTACTGTTACTGACGTTTTCCAATTATAAAGTGAAGGCCTAAAAAGATGCGATTCTCAGGTACAGCGACCCACTGTTTAGCATTTATGAGTGAAAGTTTCGAAGATGCCTGCATAAAACCATACCACTATAAGTGTTACAAATGCGATAGCGCTACCGCTCGTGGTCAGGTCCCCTGAAACCGTTGTTATGAAATGGGACCTCACCAGGTAGCTGTGCCAGTTTCCAGCGCGTATCGGGTGAGAGTATCAATGACGTGGTTTGTGCTGTATGATAGCAACGTAGTCAGCGCAACTGAAAATACAATTGTACCGGCCATGCTTACTCCGAAATTTGACTTCGACTTCGCCGGAGGAAATAATATAAGGAAGAGGTAATGATCACGTCTACCCCCGCGGAAAGCGATAGCCCCAGAGTGAACATCCACTACGCAATGCGAGATGAGTCAAACCCACACCAACAGAGTAGCTTGATACTAACCGACGGCCACGGACGTCGAAACTTCTCGTATGATCTCAGATGCGCCCTAAGCACAACTAGTTGGATATATAGTACGGCCTAAACGTTTCAGCACTCACATCTCCGCGGTCGATACTATCAGTTTCAATCGTATGATTAGTACAAAGTCGCGTATGCCATGCTTTTCGACGTACTGCTCGCAGCAACTACGAAGGCGTTTAATAGATGCACAGAAGAGGTCTTGGCTACGCTTACCTAACCGAAACAGTGCGAGTACAGCGACGGGTGCTCCTAGCCAAAGCTTCCTCCGGCTCACTAAAATCTGTTAGAAAAGGTAACAGTGATGGGAGGAATATCGCACATTTATACATGCGGAAAGCATAGAAACTAGCATGCATTTGTCAGGCAACGACGTATAAGCAGGATAAAGGAGTGACCGAACCTTTGAACAAGAAACGTTACGACGGCCTTTAGTTTGCAAATCGCAGTAAGCAACAACTCTAAGCGGATGGCATTGGTAACATACCGTAAGTTCGACTGTTGGCTGAAAGAATGTCAGAAAGCCTACTTCCTCTGAGCAGACTACTCACACTAATACTCCTGGGAAACAGTTAAATTGCGTGTCATAGAAACAATTGATATACGTACCAGGGTATGATATCAATCATGGATGGATCGCCGTAGTTGGTGATTAAGGAATCCCAAACTGCAATACAGATGAACACTGAGTGGACGATATCCAGGATCCTTTCAATAAATGAGATGCGAATGAAACAGTGATCCGATTCACGGACCATATCAAAGCCACCTTCAATGAGATCAGCACTTTTCAAGTGAAATGAAGCGAAGTTCTTTGACGCATACTAGAGATTTCGTGAACCTTTCCTCCTCTGGGTATAGCCTCAAGTATACTGCGTATTGCATGCTCACGCACCCCGAGAGGCTATTTCGCATTGGTGTTATCTGGTTAAGCTGACAGCAGATACTAAACTCACGCGAATGCTACGAAACCGCCCACTAAAAGAGATCCGTAGTCACCATTGACATTCTCGAAGGACATTTTCACTCAGGTTGCAGAGGAAAGGGGGAGCGTCGGTATGAGAGGCAGGGCTAAAGCCCAAGGTGTGATGAATGTGAGCAGATAGAGCGAGGTAACCGAACCTTTCCTCATCCTCCGATGAGGCGGCTTAAGTACATATCCAAGAGCAACAAGCGCTACGGGGTGAGAACGCACCGATGGTCACGATAGATGGTCGGGAACCTTATCACCACTTTGGCCACCACTAGAAACAGTCCGACGGGCTCGCCATGGGAAATTAGCGCAATGGGCACCGGCCGTGTGCACGGGACGACGCGCCTTCGCTGGAACTAGCAGGTGAATGTATTCAAAAGATTTCGTCGCGGGCTAAACGATCAGATCGCATTATTGAATGATGCGCTTTCGGAAACTACCAGCTGTGAAAATAGAGAATGGAAGATTCAAAGAGGAATAGACGTTGATGTAGATCAGCCTACAGGGGACTACCAAGTGACTATCCAGACCACTCGGACCCTCTAGCGCAGGGAAGCAAGCAAGTGGCTGATTCTCAGGATACCGAGTGCTAAGACATTTAGTCTATTTCGCGTGTGGACGTACATCGGTTGCGTGGGCAAGGCATTGAGAAACAAGCTCTGCGAGAAGCAGAGGTGGGTGAAGACGTGGGGGCAGCGGCCACTGTGATAGAGCCATGTGGGGTGAGAATGGAAAAGCTAGAAACTTTGAGTTTATTGATAGAGCTAACAATAGATTCTATGCCGACACGCGTGCTGTCCTTTTAGGGAGAGGTGCAACTCCGAGTGTGAGCGGTCGCGCCTTCCGTTGACAATAAAAAACATATCAGCATACGTATACCATCATGAGCCGGTAGACTGGATAGATGCCTTCGAGGCGTAGCTGCTTACTTCAGTGGCTCGTTCGGGGCCACGCACAATATCATTTGCCTTAACAAACGTGGGCGTAATCTTGTGAATCCGTGATGTGTTGATTGTCACCACATATTAGATATTGAGGTTCAGGGCCCTAGACCTGATGATGAGGTCAGAGCTCAACAGTGCACTTTTAGGGTTCCTCCAAAGTGGTAGAAGGAGAGTTCCTCACACGGGACTGTGTATCTTCGACGCTTTGAGACAGGGAACTGTTCCCCGCAGGTACATCTAGGTACACTGAAGAGAATGCAAGGTAGCTTCGTTCCGTCTAAGGCTAAGAAACCTGATCAGTATCAAGAGCTACTGTCACAAAAAAACTTGCCTCCCACCAGAAGCCAGCATTGTCCGTCCCATCGTGTCTTTACAATGGGTAGATTTGGCTATCCGCAAGCCACCTTGTCGCCGCTTGGGTCGCCGCTTGGGTCCCCGCCTGAGCAACATTACAACATATTATGAGGTCTCATCGCTACTCACATTTGAGATTGCTCCGGCATTCAGCAGCAGCGGTAATGCTCTGCTGTGTTGTCCAAATCTGACTACACTGTCAGTCCTCCTATTGCACCTTTGGAGCGACTCTTTAGCTGCAAACGGGTAGGAACAGGAAGCTGGAGGGAGCAAGCACCATACCTGAATTTACACATATAAAAATACGTGAGCCACTTGAATGAGTCAAAGGACGCATGATTCTAGTCAGGGAGGTGCCGATACGAGAGCGTCAAAGAGCGTCACGAAGAGTTTTGGCTTGCTTCCGTGGCGACATAGCGTGAGACTTGCTGATTAAGCACATGAAACCCCTATTACGGATAATCGTCAAAGGTCGTCGACAGTTTTTGCCGTTTCCCTTCGAGCTAATCGGTCAACAGCCAGATCATGCACAAGTGTCTAGCACTCAACGAAATCTTCAGCGTAATCTGCGAATCTCTACTATCTACCCCCTCAGCTTCAAATTCTGAGGAGCGACGCGCACTAGCCGCACTCGCCAGAACATGCCATGTCTTCAAAGAACCGGCGCTCGACGTGTTATGGGCGGAACTTGACCAGTTTGGACCTCTGATTAGATGTCTACCCGGGGATGCATGGTATATAGAGCCCTCATCCCACAGAACTCTAGTGCGTGTTTCATCTGATTGGCCAAGTACTTATAACTCATTGAAGACCTGTACACGCTGTTTCGCGCTCGCAGGGGATCTTCCCGTTGCAGCGCATACACTGGGACCGCCTCCGATACTACTCCCACCGCGTTCGAAGCCTGAAACACGATAACTCCTCTAACCCTATCCGCAATTTGGCCTTCACGTTACTCAGCTTTCCGAGTGGCTCCTCGCCTCTCTTCCCTAACTTGCAGTGCCTTGACTGGGCGGACGATCGATGCGAGGGGTACACTTTCTTGAGTGCCATATGTGGGCCTCAACTCACGAGCCTGTCCATGCACCTTCCCGATACCGATGATGACGACGAACAATTTGTCGCCAAGTCATTCTTGTATGGCATCACGAACCGCTGCACGGGCATAACTCATCTCCGAGTCCGAGGTGACGACCTGGACGATTTGTACGAACACGCAGTCTCCGAGATGGTCCTGGGTCTGCCTAAGCTACTAGAGCTCAACTGCGGATTCATCAACATCAACGCTCTGAATTACCTCAACAAATTGGAGAGCCTCGAAGATCTAGCGTTCGTCGTGCACAGTGACCAACGGTACGAGCAGCTACAAAGCCATTCCTTGTTCCAGAACCTCAAGTGCCTCGCCGTCACTTCTAACGATTGGTTAGGGGACGTATCGCACTTACTCCCATACATCCCACGTTTTCCACCTATCTGCATAATCTCAGCGACCCGTTCGACTGTCGACGATGTCCGCGACGTTCTTTCCCATATACTTCGCGCTGGCGATGATAGCGCGCTTGAGATCTGTGTCGACGTCCAAGGAAGCGATCCCGAATGGGATGACCCACCTCAGACCCTCACATTCGCCGACATCCAACCGCTGTCGAAGTTCAAGGACCTCCAGAGGCTGATCCTCGCTGTCGGCGTCCCGTTCTCGCTCGATGACAACGACGTTAAGATGCTCTCGGAATACTGGCCCGCAATGACTAATCTCAACTTGTGCGGCATGACTGGCTGGGGGGGTTTATCACGGGTGACCTTCAAGGGGTTCCTGTCAATCCTGCAGAACTGTCGCTTTTTGACAGATCTGGGCATCGTATTCGATGCACGCGCCCGTGGGGGCTTGTCGCCAAAACGGCCGGGCCGAGGCGTATACAGCAAGCTCACATTCTTGCTGGTGGGGGATTCGCCGATTGACGACCCTACGGAGGTGGCTCTAGTCTTGTCAGACGTATGTCCTACCGTGAAGACGATAATGGCCTGCGACCTAGCACCGTGGGGGCACGGTGATGAACACTTCGAGGAACGACGAGAGAGATGGCAGGAGGTTGCAAAGTTGAGTACCGCCTTCACAAGGGTCAGGCTGCAGGAGCGAGAATATATGAACGCGGTGTTGCGGAAGAGAGCGAGAGACGCAAAGAAGTGAGGTCCAAGCTCAAATGGCGAATATAGCAAAGTAACAGAGAACGCAATCTAGTGCACAATAATTGTATAATAAACGAGAAACCAATCGATCAGCCATGGCTTTACCAAGATAAAAAGTCCAGACCAGGCATGTCGAGCCCTCTCAAAGGATCGCACACAACCTCACAGTCTCGCCCGCGGTGTAAGCATATCCGTCGTCGTCGCAAGCTGCGCGAGTGCCCACTCCCTTAGACACGCAATGAACCCGTCAATCTCGTCCTTAGTGTTCCCTCCATGCATAAGCGTGCGAATGCGCGGTCGACGTACGACAGGGAAGGTGAGCGGCGTGGGTGCGTACCCGCGCTCGATCAGGAACGCGGCGAGCTCCTGAGCTTTGGTTACGAAGACGGGGATGATGGGTGAGTAAAGCTCGCCGACATGCGCATTGGGGCTGTCGTCGACGGCGAGGATGTCATCTGGGATGTCCTTGAGCGCTGCGCTCAGCGCTGCGTGGCCATATTTGCAGTTCTCGACGAGGTTTCGTCGTGCCTATAAGTAGATAGGGGTTAATTGGTGAATACGAGAAGTCATGAGTAGCTGACCTCGTCTCCGCGTGGACTGGCAATAACGTCGAAGATGGCATTAATGGCGTGGATGAGGGCGTGAGGGAGGGCAGTAGAAAAGATGATGTTGTTCGCGAAGTTGGTGAGATGGAGCCGAACGGCAGGCGTGGTGATGATAACACCTAGAAGCCGAATAGATCAGACAGACCCAATTTACGAACAAAATGGCAGACGTACCGCCCATCATGTTCACCGCCTTGCCAAAGGTGTGCAGGGTAGTGTGAACACGGTTGTTGAGACCAAGGAGCGAGACGTAACCCTCTCCGTGTGGGCCGCAAATACCGGTGGTATGCGCCTCATCGACAATGATGTGCGCACTATCAGCCGGCACAAGCTCTTCGACGATCTCGACGATCTCCTTCAGTGGCGCGAAGTCCCCATCGACACTGTAGAGGCTCTCTACTGCGACGAACACGGTTGCCTCGCCTGCGCCGATCTTCGAATGGTTCTTCAGGACCTTGTTGAGCGTCTCGCGGAAGCCGTCGATTGAGTTATGGGGGAAGCGGTACATATTGTCCCGTGCGGCAGAGAGGCGGATACCCTCCCTCGTCGAGGCATGGATAAGCTCGTCAATGAGGAGCACATCCTCCGGTTGCGGGACAGATCCGAAGAAACCGAGGTTCGCGTTGAACCCCGAGTTGAAGAGGAGCGTACAGCCGGCACGGTAGTGGTCCTCCAGACGCCGCTCGAGCGCCTGATGGCCCGCCGAGTCACCGTTGGCGTACCGTGAGCCAGTCGAACCGAAGAGGTTGGGACTGGTCTCGAGCCTATTGAGGAAGTTTTTGCGCAGGATGGGGTCTTTGCCCAGGGAGAGGTAGTCGTTGGAGAAGAGGTCGGGGGCAAAGGGGAACGGACGCTTGTACAGGTCGATGATGGTCATGCCAGATTCGGCGCGGTCTTCAAGGGCTTGACGAAGAGACCGATCAAGTGCGCTTTCCCGTGCCATGGTTATTGGAAGAGCAAGACGGAGATCTGAGAGTAAAGGGGATGACAGAGGAGGCTCTAGAGAGAGTAAGACGGTGGAGCATTGATGTTGTTGCCGCACGTCTATTTGAGGACCACGACTCACTACGGAGCGACGATGTTCCCAGCGGCCGGGATTCAAGCATCGTTCATTATCGACGTCCCTTCGCTACGCACAGAGCATACTCGGTCCTCGACGTATGCAACATACCTAAATCGGACGGTTGTCAGGAATGGGGACGTCTTGCACGCTACGAACCCACCAGTTGCTCGATGAAAGGAATGAAAGCGTCCGGTTTTGTCCATTCATCATCTCGCATCCGATTTTCGTAGATTGCTTCTGTACGCATGGCTCAACAGGATGAATGCTCGAATAGACGCCGGAAGGACTTTTCGGCTATAATCGGCATTTGGCGAGTCGCAATTTGGTGACGTCTACACGCTGCTTTGCGTGAGCGGAGGGCGATGCAGTCGACACAAGGCGAAATCTGGAATGCCAGGTCAAAGTGCGAGTGAAGCTGTCTTTCTTGGCGGTATCCTGGTTTCGGCTCTCGAGCGACGGCGGGAGATTTCGGAGATACGGCTGGCGGGAAGAATGTTGGCCTTGACAGCTAAGTCCATACTTAGGTATAGACGCCCAGAAAGCCATGAAGTTCGATGTACTAAGTGATCCAGGGACTGATCCAAAGCAGTGAATAATACGCACCTGCATGGTACCTATACTTGCTGGAGATCGCACGCTCGCAGCATCGCATTCTACCATCAGACCCAAGCTCGGTATTGGACACTTAACGCGTGAAGAGGGGACCTCCAGGTACTCAGAAAGTGCTGGCATAGGGCAAAGAAGCGAGGCTGGCGATGGGTGTATTGCCTGCAACCACCAGCGTAGCATGGTGGACGTCGAGGACGACAGAAAACCCGGGAATTGGGAAAGGCGGCGCGGTGTGGCGGCGAGGCTGGTGGCTGTGGCAGTATTTGCCTAAATAGCCAGAGCCCCTATCTGGATCACCTTTCTTGTTTTTAAGTACGTTTTTTCTTCGGGTTGTGTTGTCACACTATCGCTGATTCATTAACTTGTAAAGATCACTAAAAACAACGATTCTCGGCCGCTCGGGAAGCAGCTCGGATGTCGAGTCAGACAACGATGTAGGCTTCTCCAAAGGTCTCTGGTTCACGCGCACTCCGTTGCGCAAAACATGCGAGTTCCACCAAAGTTCCACACTCACGCGCATGTGGACCAAGTGTCGTAAGTACTATCTCGGGTGAATACTTTCGTTCAAATCACTGATACAGGCTTTCACAATAACGTCAGTCACGGGGCTATGGCAGTTATGGAGTTACTACCCTAACTTTGTATTTCTGGTATGCATGGTCAAGTGCATGGTAGTATTGTACCGCAACGCTAAATAACTGCTGCTGTATCTGCATTATCCCGTTGTATCATGTCGGCCGCTCATTTGGCCCTTCTTAAACAAGTCTAGGATCTCGCCAATGTAGAGCCTTAACTGAGTCTGTATGATTAGGAAGCCTCCTCGCTCCAGCGTGAATAAACTGTTTAAATCGCGGATAGCGAGTTGAGGTAGCTCTAAGTTCAATCAGCTAAGTCAGCATCGAGTGGACAATGCAACACACGATCAAAATGCCCCTTTTCTAACAGAATCTTGCGAGTGTCATTGACTGCTCCTCTCCAGCGAATCTGGCAACCCTTTTTGGGCACTTTGAATGTGGCAGAATCTGCTTCCCGAAAATGCAGCAGTTGAGAAGCATGCTGAGGTGCCACCTTGCGCATTCTACCGACGAATAGTGTACCGTTTTCGTCAAAAATGAAGCTCTCGAGCGCGTCAGGAGCAACAAACATGGGCTGCGAGAACGTAGATGTCATTGGAGGAGTTAGGGCTGACCGGTAGACGTCGAAGCCATCAAGCCGAAGAGAATTGAGCTCTTCTTCTGTGCTGTCAGCGTCCGCCGTCCTGAGGGCAGGGTACTGGGCTATCTCCATAACTGCCTGCATGGTAGATAACTCGTGAGCACAAACACCAGCTTAGGGTATGCCGTTTACCTCGTCCTTGGGGTCCTCTCTATCGCTACTGACCTTGTCCGCAAGATAGTCGTCGGAATCACTGTCGAGCACGTTGGGTAGCTCGTCGGAAACAGTCCCCGGATGCACTTAGCTGAAACAAAGGAAAGGGTATGGCGTCCTCGATCGGCTGAACCGGAATGTGTATGATCTTCTTTGCAGATATGCGCAGCCTCATGATAGGCTTGCAAGCGCGTCTACGTGTTGAACGTTGAGGAACTGTTGAGCATATGGCGTTGAGTTGCTCCGCTGTGAGGGGCCGAGAATCAAAGTCGAGTGAGTACCCACTTTCTTTTTCGCCCTTTTTGCGGTGGCGCCTACTGCTGGGGGTTTTTGGATGCAGCGATACATTTCTTACGATCTTGAGGAGCTCGTTGCATAGAAGAAGTCGGGAAGGAGAGTGTGTGTGCGAGTCCAAAGAAATGTGGCACGTGTGCACACCGCCACTGCCGCCGCGCCGCCGCGCCGCCACGGCGGCATGTGCCGCCTTTCCCATTTCCCGGGTGTTCTCGAGGACGAGGGGGGTGTCCAAGCGGGAGTTGCCGAAAACCTCTGCGTTCCGAATGACGCACGCCATTTTGATGTTGCCCCAATGTTGCCCCGCTCACCATCGCAAACCACAAGTAAACCGAGCACTCGACCGGATGTGTATGGTGGCTTGGACTTACACCTCGATCACCTCTTCCATGCAGTTTACATCACGGAGCTATAATCCGGTGTGCTGGCGGCATATCGCACAAGGGACCTCGAGGGACTCGACGCACCTAAGCGCACCCACTGGCAGGTACAAGAACTCCGTCTTCAGAACTCGTACATATCGAAAGTACTTGTGCAAGTTTTAGAAGTCAATCTCATCGCAAAGTCAACATTTTTCATCCTTCCACTGCTTCAAATTATTATGATCTTCATCGAGCGCCTACTATGTGTGGGAGCAATCAAACAATCGGCTGTTCCAAAAGCCACAGCCAATGCGCAGAAACTCATACTCGGTATCTTGTTTATCCTAGCACATGCATATTTATCTCAAAGATACCGAGCTCTCTTCAGTTTGGTGTACATTTTAGTTGACGGGATCAAACGAATATAGCCGAAGGCGGCGCCCACAGCTCTCATAGGCTCTTGCATCAACATCGAGTGTCCAGATACAGTTAGTTGGAGTCGGATACCCTCTCAATGACAGATAGTTGGCTTTATCCCTAACCCGAAGACATTGCTATTCCAGCCACTGATCGCAGCTTTTACCGGACGTCCGTACAGTTTATAAACTGATACACCGAGGACAAGTATTCGGTAACGCAGGTCGTTTCTTTCTCTCCTTGTACCCTAGTTTCCCTTCCTTGATCATGTCGGCTGGTCCGGCTGAAGGTCTTCAGCTCGTTCGTGTGAGTTCCTCTTGACCCCGAGGTCCCTTTGAAGCCTCCTCTCTGACGTTGCCCCACTGGCAGTACTTCAATCGTGAGGATCTCTCAGTTCATGCTGAACAAGCAGTTGACTGATACACTTCTCGAAGTCGCAGGCGCCATCATACTGGTGAGACCAGTCTCATAGAAGCATTGCGTAGCTAATAGTAGTCCCCGACAGCTTTACGACCATCTCCTTACATCCAAATGGGAGGTAATGACATGATCTTCGGATGCTAGCCGCCCTTCCCGCCCGACTCACGCAACTTTACATAGGCTCAGTATTACCTGCAAGGCCGGCTGGGTTTTGCGAAGATTATCTTCATTGTTTGCAGATACTTGGCTTACCCTGGAGTGGCCATGGCAGTGCAACGTGAGCTTTCCTCGTTACGGAGTACACTTTCAGGTCATGTACTCATTGGGTTGCAAGAGGCAATTTTGTCCTCTCCTCATGACGATCCGACACCCCTAGTAAATGTGAGGAAATACGTACATTCGTTAATCTACCCACCCTGATCGCGATTTTTCAAGTGCGCAGCCGTATTGGATGGTATCTCTGCCCGAGGAAATGGTTGAGTTAAAATAATCAAAAAACCTCTGCTGAAATGAATAGTCTGACGCGTCTGTATTTAACTAGTCTTGCGTGTAGTCAGCATCCTTCTCGCAGAATGTAAGCCTATCTAGGCTAGCTTCACCCCTCTCTGACTCTTTATTCGCCTCAGTCCTCTTATGCATACGAATATGGATCCTGTGGGAGAGGAGCAAACGCATGCTATATACGCTCGTGGGTGTTGCAACGGTATGCGTGTCCTTAAAAATCAAACGGCTGTATGCTAACGGTTGGAGATTTAAAGACTGCTCTAATTGTTGCCTTAATTCTAAATATCAAGCCTCTATCTTTCGGTACGTTTAATATGGACACACTTTGAATGTGATACATCTCTCTTTATCAACGACACGACAATCTTCAGGACCGGCATATCATTTCTGCGCCGACCAGGTGTCTCTTAACGCCTCCATAGTTGCTGCCATCGTTGCCTCTTATGAGATAGGTAAGGATCCCCAGTCACTTTATATCAGAGCCTTACGCCTATTTGCCCTAGTATTATTATTGCTGGTCCTTTTGAGATGGAGATATCTGCGGAAGTGTAACAGTGTGGGTACCCTCACTAGCCTCCTTGTGAAGGACGGGGTCCTTTATATTGTTGGCGTCATTGGTACGTTAAAGATCTTATCTGCAAGGAACACCGAGATAGTTAACACAATGTATATAATGCTTAGCCATATCCCTGACGATCGTGATAATTGGATTTACATTTTCGGTACGTCATTAAATCATTTTCAAGACACCCGAAGCTTACTTCCGAGACTGTAGCCAGAATACAGCACCATGTTTGAAAGGTATGCGTGCTCTCTTAAATTCTCAGGTTTCGCAATAGGGGATCCAGTGGGTAAAGATACTGATACCTATAACAGCATTCAAGTATCCATACACAGTGCCATGGCATGTCGCATCATGCTTAACTTGGTGAAGAATGATAGAGAGACTCATAGCACGACGGCCAAGGGAGATGATTTCAATAGCGTAGTATTCGCAGGACCTCAAGCTACGAGCCGGCACTCGAGCTCGAGTGACTTGTCCGCATGCGCTGTTTGATGTTGATGAGTCGGCATTTCGCACCCGCTTGTTGAGCCACATACCCGCTTGATGAGGGGGTGGGGCCCGATTCAAATATTCATCAGTGTTGTATGTCACGAAACGAAATTACCTTGACAGCCATGATGAACATCAATGGCCATTTTAATACAATTATACAAACGAACAGAAAACAAAATTCGATCCCTGAAAGTACCGAATACAATAACTTGGATTTGCTTATCTGTTTCTTCTTTGCTTCATCATTCTATCATCTTCTGAAACTGACAGTAGAGATTGGTATTACTTTCATCCTGGCTGACGTCGCATGCGAAGGACGCTTTCGGGCTGTTAGCTGCAACATCTGACTCAGCTGATGCATTGCCCATTCCAGATATAGGACGGGAGACCATGACTACCCATGATGAAAACACAGGATCATCCGATGCTCCGTACAGAGGCACAACAAGGCGATTCAGCCATCTCTACAAGCCACTGATGTAAATGATCAGACCGTTGCCATACTTTTCAATCAGTGGAGATTTAACATACCCCTCCAACATACTTGTGCAGTCCAGTCTGTTCATTGACATTAGCAACAGGCTATTCTACTTCATCCAAGCTTGTTGATATCTTGTTGTTCTTGTCATGTAAGTCAGCCCTGCGGGTTGATCTATCAAAGACGAGTCGTAAAAGATAATCGCACGACGTCCAATGTGCTATGCGTCTAAACAGTGTGGCAAATATTCAGTTCTTGGCGTTCGTAGTTGGCGATATGGATAACGCTCGCAGCATCCATAGTGTCAATCACAGCGATTAACACACTTCAACTTGGAAACCGCATTTCAAGTCAGTTATACGTCCTCTTCAGGGATTTGGATCAGCACCCGGATTATGCGTGGATGGATCTTGATATGTGTATCTTCGTCCAGCTCCAAATTTCCAAAATGCTCGGCTCCCTCAGTTCCCTCATCATTCACGTGTAGCTCGCATGTGGAGGAATCTCTGATGTGTACCCTTGGGGCTCGCAAACTTGGAGACAAACGCTCGTGTTTGATGATCATTTTTCATCATTCATAGCTCTTTCATGATGTGACCATTTTTGTCAACTGGAATAACATATGGGCTGTGCCAGAGTTATCCATACTTAAATGCCGCTTAGTGAATGATGGATGGTAACGCAGGCGTTTACTCCCTCCCCTACCACCAATAGATATGACGGCCGGCCCGTACGAGGCACTTCAGCTCGAAAGAGTAGGTTTCATTTTGCAGTTGGGGTGCTATACTTTGCAATTGTTAACCAGCAGTTTCGTCTGTAGTATTTCAATGGTAAAAGCAAATCGTGTACTTGGGTCTCGCGTTAAAGCTGACAGCAATTCATTCGAAGTCGCTGGCGCCATACTGCTGGTACAATATTTCAATACTCATTAGCGATTGTCAATGCGAAGCTAACGGGATACGGACCAGTTTTATGACCACCTTCTTACGTCAAAATACGAGGTACTGTGATAGCTAGAGTGTGTGTCCTTTGTGGTTGAACGTATATCCATTCAGGTTTACTACTATTCCCAACGTCGTTGGGGTGTTGCAAAAGTAGTCTTCATCTTTTGTAGATACCTCCCTTATGCTGGTGTTGCATTGGCAGCCCAAGGTAATTTCCACTACACTAACCATCCTCAGCCGTTTTGACGAGTATCACAGAGGCCATTCTGTCGTCTCCATTCGTTGATCCAACTCCGCGCGTCAGCGTAAGTTGCTTACTACTTTCATCGGCAGAGTGGCTAGGGCTCATGCCAATGATTACCACGCTAGAACGACGTATTGGTGTCTATTAGCAGCAAAGGAAACAGTTGAGTACACCGCAGAGCTCGTAGTAACACGAGATGCTTAGTAGCATGGCTGTGGCAGTAATTCGCATATCCAGTGTTTTGGCTGCAGAAAGTGAGTTATTTGACGATAGGTTCTTCCCCATCTTTTTTGTTAACTTGATCTATCCTCCAGTCCTTCTATGCATACGTATCTGGATCCTATGGGAGAAGAGCAGGCGAATTCTTTTTACCCTACTTGCCGCTGCAACAGTAGGCGTTTACATGGAAGTAGAGGCCTGATAATACTAATTGATCTGTATCAAAGGCCGCCCTAACAGCAACTCTACTTTTTAATCTCCAACCTACAGCATTTGGGCTCAGCGGTATGCTGCCATATTATGAGCCAACCTGGGTCTCCTGACCGGTGCCTTTGTGTTTTTACCAGGGTCTGAGTGGCACTTCTTTGCAGACCAAGCCTCCCTCGGAGCTGCCGCCGTTGCCGCAGTCATCTTGGCTTACGAGCTAGGTGAGTAGATACGACCTTCAGCTATGTCACGGTTAATAATCACTCGCATTCGACACCCCCAGCATTGCTTTTCATAGTTTTATTCAGATGGCGACAGCTAAGGGGCAATATCGGTGTAGAAACCATTGTAAGCGTACTTGTAAGGGACGGCGTGCTGTACATCTTGGGAATCGTCGGTAAGTGGTTGTCGGGTGTGATGATGGAACGAGTTGAGATTCTTATGTTTATTGTTATTTTGTGGTCAGCAATCTCAGCAACCATTCTCATCGTTGGCTTTGGTTTCTCTGTATGCCAAAATTGTGCATCACAAAATCGCAATGCTGATCACTATAATCGCAGCCAGAGTACAGCGCCATGTTTGAAACGTCTGTGCCCTTACCCGTTTATTGGACCATGACACACCTCTAACACATGAAGCAGCTTTCAGGTTGCAATGCACAGTAACATGGCCTGTCGAATCATGCTGAACCTTGTGAAGAACGAAAAAGGTATCCAAGACCCGACAGTAAAAGAGGAAGAGGAGGAAGATCTTGGGGACATGGCTTTCGCCGCCCCTCAGCCTTCAGGCTTACCCGAGTCTACTGCATGATGCGAGGATGTGCAATGGTCGCCGGCCGACATGACGTGGAGTTCCCAGATATTCATACGAAAGGGGCATTTGTAGTGAGAACAAGATCTATCAGCTCCCTGTAGTGACTGTCGTGAAAGCTGTAATTTGGAATATAGTCCCCCGGGAAGAATGAACGGGAGGTAGTGTTAACGAGACGAAGCAGGTGGACCCGTATCTGAGACTCCACAAGCTTCTCGACCTTGGGCATGGGTTTCAGCTCCGAGTCGAACCTGTATGATATAACACCCTTCATATTGTAAGTCGAGAGTTAAGGCAGTGCTTCCATGACTACCGCCTGTAGGACTGCGATATAATAAGCTATTTGGGAATGTTCTATCTTTGCCACGGCTAGAACGCAAGGCGCAGATAGAGATCTACTGCCAGGCCTGTAAATCAGGGCGCTACGTAACCGATGATCATGAAGTTGAATGAGCGCGGCGGTGTATCTTACATATCCATGACGAAGGAGAGAAAAGACCATGTCCAAGCGGTCCAACTACTTTTTGACGGAGACACCCTCACTGGCTGGTATACTTTCCAACTCTTTCCCAGAACCTACAAAACACCACCACAATCAGCCCCACACAGCCAAAGCACAGCACCCAACCCATCTCATCAATGCATCAACAGGAATGCACTCACCTACACCGCTCAAGCAGGCCCGCATCGCTCTTCCCCTCACACACATCCGGTGTCCCCTCGCCCGTCACGTTGAACACCATCTCGGACCGCCCGCCCTCCGTCCACGGCGCCCACAGCGGCACGTACTTGCGGTCGGGCCGCACGTTGGGGTCCAGCGCCCGCGCATGCGCGATGAACGCGCCAGAGAAGATCTCGCTGAAGGCTTTGTTCGGGTTGCCCCACCTGTTGCGCGGGGCGGGGTGGTGAGCGGGAAGCTGGAGAGAAAAGGTAGGAGAGGCGTGGAGCTGCGTACGAGGTGAAGTAGTAGCGGATATCGTCTGCGTGTCTCGCGGGAGGAACCGCGAACTCGCCCTGGCATGTTTGGATCTGGTTAGCGGGTGCTGGAAAGCGCGGCTGACAAGGACGGGTACCTTCCATGCCCTTTCCTTCCATCCGGTCAAGAGAGCATACGACGGACAAATAAAGATGGCTGTGCGTGCGCGGTCAATCAGAGCTTGGCCGGTCAACGAAGAGCGCACTCACCGTCACCGTGCAGCCTTCTTGCCCTGTACAGGTCGCCCGCTTTCGGATCGGCCCTCGTATACATCCCCACGGCTTTCGCAAGCTCAGCTTGTGGGAGCGTCGGAAACAGGTTTTCGACATAAGCATTCAAATTTCCTAGTGATGACACCAATCCATCGTCAACAAAGTTGTCGCCATCATGCGTGTTCGTTATTACGAGAAGCGGGACCTTTTAAAATGGCGTGCGCTAGCTCTAAGCAAGGATCGTGGTCCCAGGGTGATGAGAAAGGCCTACCTGTGCTGCACTATTCTCCCGTTGAGCCTTGATTATGGCACTGGGGCGATCGGGGATGAGAGTGCCGTCAACGACCGGAACGAAGACAAAAGTCCCTGAGAACCCGACATCGCACAGCGCTGCGTTCAATTCTGCCAGCGTCGACGACGGCGCCTTGCGGAGGCACGCGAGCGCTGCCGTCTTCGATGCCTGCGCGCATCTAAGTAAAGTGAGATTTATCGATCATTGTTGTTGCACAATATGCGTACGAAACGTACCCAGCACCACGCAGAACTACATCGAGCCACATCTCGGGGATCTGGTGGTCATGCTCGTACTGAGATGGGAGGAACGTCGAACTTGTGATCGCCCCACGGAAGAGCTGTTTCCCGGATTCCCCCGCTGGGCCCACGAGCACCTGTTGAAGGACCGAGCCGGCACCTGAGCGTGATGAGTACAGGTAATGCCAAGCACATAGGCAGCAAGCCGTACCTGCGGACTCTCCCCAGATCGTCACTTTGCCTGGATCGCCCCCGAACTTTGCGATCTGATTGGGGTCAACTTCAACGCGAGCATGAGACATCGCAAGACACAGGTCTACCCACATGACTTTGGACCCACTCGAGCGCATACCTCTGATCCACTGACAACACGAACCCCGTGAGTAAACCATGGAAACATCGCCATGGTGGCAACCGCTGGGACTCACACAGGCCGACGTTATACTCTCCTCCGCCCTCGCGTACACGCGCCCCCGCGAGGAACCCGAACAGTCCAAGCCGATATTGGACCGTGACTACCACCACCTTCTCGTTGGTCGGACGCCCCTCTGTGAGAGCGACGATGTCCGTCCCTGGGTACCCACGCGTCGAGCCTGCGACGTAGCTGAATAGATTTGGGATTAGCCTGAGGAAAATATGAATGACTAGGATGGGCTGTTATAGACGCACCCACCGCCGTGTATCCACACAATCACGGGAAGACCGTTGCCAACAACGTCGTTTGTGTAGCCAGGAAGCGCCGGGGAGAACACGCTTATCGAAACGAGCAGGTTTGGTCAACACCAGCGTAGTGGTATGAGGCAAGAAGTAGCGCACTTGAGGAAAAGACAGTCTTCGGACATCGAGTTCTCGTTAACTGGACTCAAAGGAGGCAGGGGTATCTCGGATGCGTTCAAGACCGGATTCACGCGTCCGTTCGCCTTGGATCCCTGGAAGCACTCGTTCCCCGGGGCTGTAGCTGGGGTCACCTTGACAGGCAGCTGGCGTGGCGGTGGTTGGGGTGGTGCCCATCTGAGCTCACCTACCACGTTACTGTTAGAGATCATTCACAGGGCGGAGAAGTATATGACACACCAACGGGAGGGGCAGCATACCGCATCCCTATGAACGAAGCGACCCCAGATGACGAATGCACCATACCCTCGTACTTGGTGTACCCCACATCGACGACCGCAGTCTTCAGCTTACTCTTCCTCGCTCTCCTTGCATTGAACGATCCCAAAAGAAGGACAAGGACAAGTACGGCAGCGACGACGAACGCTCGCTTTCGGAACCATCGGGGTACCTTGGTCGCACCAGGAGCTGGACCATAAGAGTCTGCTGAATCTGCAGGTGGGTACTCGTGCCACCCACTAGAAGACTGTTGTTGGGGTGAGGGGAGGAGTGTCTCCTCGTCCTCTGCTCGTTGGCGCGTCTTGCTTGACATGGGGATGAGACAACTTGGCGCCAGCGGTCCGATGAAGCCGTCCCAACAAATAGCCCCTATTTGTGCACCAAGGCTCTAATTACAGTATGTTCGTAAAGTAGCAAAATAGGCTGTAGCTATGGGAGCTGACTTAATGTACGTACTCTACAATTATAACACTATGAAACTAAACATCAAAATAAACGGGAGTCCCAAACGGAAAGCAGAGCAAACAGATAAACAGCGAAGAACAAGCAAGAAATCCTGAAACACAGACACCTCCATCACCGCACCCCCGACCGCAGAACCTCCTGCACAACATCCCAATGCTGATCAACGACAGGCGCAGTAGACCTCGACTTCCCTCCTCCACTCTTGGCTGACGTGCGCTTCGAGTTGCCGAACCGTGAAGACGCCCTCGGACCACCGATACCGCCCTCGAACGTCTTGCTGGCAGCCTGCTCCGCGTGATGCTTCAGCTCCGAAAAATCGTTCGTCGCCTGCGCACGGAGGAATCCAGCGCTCTCCGCGCGGTGCTTCATACAGTCCGGCGGCACATATCCCTCCGCCCGAGCGACACTCTGCGCCCCACCGGTCCGCCGCTCGGCCCCAGACGTGTCGACAGGCCAGAGCGACCCGCCGTGCGTCTTCTCGAGCGTCTGAATAATATTGAGGCTCTCCCCAGGCGGGATGGGGCTCAGCTGACTCGGCGTCACGCACGGCATGTCCACCTCCTTCCTGAGCACCCGATCCACGTCCACAGACGAGAAGAACGCGACGCCCTGCGGCAGATCGTCCATGCCGAGCTTGTACGCGAACAGGCTCCGCGTCCACACGTTCGCGATCTGCAGCGCCAGTGCCGCCCTGTACCTGTCCCGGTCCGCGACGAGGTACCGCAGTTCGTCATGCACCGAGAGGAGGTACCGCGCCTTGATCCCGTACGCCCGCACGAGGTAGTCCATCGCGACGATCAGGAGGTGCAGATAGTCCACGCCCGACGACTGCACGACCCAGTTAATCCGCGACGTCATATAGTCGCCCCCAAACGTCTCGGGCAGATACTCCCTGCTGAGCGCATGCGTGATCCCGCACCCCAGCGCGGGCGTCGTCGGCCGCTCCGAGAGCGCGATCTCCTCCAGCTTGTTGAACACGAAGCTCTCCGTCCCGCCAAACCAGAACTTGCGCCCGAACAGGTCCCCGCGGTGCGTGTTCTTCCCCTTCGTGCTCGCGTACAGATTCTCCGCGAGCCGCTGCGCCTCCTCCTGGCTCATCCCCGCGTTCGCCTGCAGCAGGGACAGCACCGCATGCCGCATGCCCGCGCCGTAGATTCTCGAGTAATTAAACACCTTCGCCTGGTCGCGCGAGATTCCCAGGATGCTTGCCGTCTTCGAGTGCAGATCCGTCCCCGCCGCCTTCGTCCCCTCGAGCGTCATCCACCCCAGCGCCGTCGCGCCGTGCAACCCGAACTGCGCGTCGCCCATGCAGCTCGAGATCCAGAGCTCCTCCGAGTCCACGTCCGCGCCCACGATCGAGTACCCCGGCGGCGCGCGCACCATCGCCTTGAGCTCGGACCCGACACGGTCCTTCTTCGCGTTCGACGCCGTCAGCCACGTCTTCTCGATCGCGCGGCGCGTGACGGTGCCCATGGCGACGACCTGGGGCAGAATCATGCCCCACTTCTGTCCCTCCTCCGTCGCGCCTTCGGCAGCCGCTGATGTTGGCGAGGCAGAGTCGAACCCCATCGTCGTCTTCTTGTCATCCCAGACCACCATCTGGTTGATAATCCGGTCCCGGGCGCTGATCCAGTAGCTACACCGCGCGTTCATGTCGAGCGCGTCCTTGGCTGCCTCCCATGGACTTGCGAGCGTCCCATCGCGGGCGTACTTGCCAAACGTCTTCGCAAGAGGACTGCCGACATTGGCTTTCTCGCCGTCTTTGTGCGGGAGCTTGTAGAACCTGAACCTGCCCCCTGCTGGGTTCGCGACGGATGAGCTGGACTCGGCGTCAGTCGCATCCCCGGTGCCGCCAAATCGCGGCGCAGTCTGAGCCTTGAGATGCTCGTCCGCAGGATCGAAGAACTCGAGCGGCGTGAGCCTCGTCTCGAACCCCTTCCCGTCGCCGTTCGCGGCCGATGCCCCAGTAGGCACGCGGAACATCCACCCATGCTCCCTCGAGTGGAACAGCGGAAAGCCCAACCACGACAGCCTCAGCAGCAGCGGCGCAAGCCGGTTGCGCACCGTGATATCGAGCGTGCCCGGCAGCATGTCCTTCTTCGGCTTCGCAAGGTCCCAATACCATTTCGGCCAGTACACCTTCGACTCTGCGGACTTTGCGCCCGACTTCTTCGTCGACGAGGCGACCGCGAAAGCGGAAGCGGACTTGCCCTCGGCGACGGCAACATCGACAGGCTTCCAGTCTAGCTGCCCCAGCCACGGCCCTCGATCGCGCCTCCACTTTGCGCCGCCCTCCGCCTTCGCCTTCGCGAGCGCCAACACCTTCCTCTCCACCGCCTCCGACCGGTCCCCGGCGCTGATCGCCTTCGCGAGGTCCACGTCCGACGCGCTCATCTGTCCGGTCTTGAGCGACGGCGTCCCATGCGATGCGCTGAGCACGCAGAGAACCTTCTGCTTCGCCGTTGGAAGACGTTGCATCTCTCCTGCGTCGTCGAGGTAGTGCCACTTTTCGTCTTTTGTGTAGATCAGGGGATGGCCGTCGAGTGTCATTTCGAGGAGGTAGGGTATTACGCGGTTGACAGATGCAGGTGAAAAGGGGCCAGAGCGAAGGAGGTCACGGTACCATCGTGGCTGGGTGGTGGTGGTGGTTTTGAGGTGTCCCTTTGAGCTAGCGTCGGGCTGGGACTGTGATACCCGCAAATCTTTGACGGACTGTGTATACACGTACCCAGGACATGTGTTAGTATCCACGATAAATGTGAGTATACGTGCACGCACCTCTCCCTCACTGGACACAACCACCCCAACACCTCTCGACTTGCCTGCGACCTTCGGCGTCCAATCCAACTGCGCCAACCACGGATCCTCCCTCCACCTCTCCCCTTCTCCCTCCCGCCCAAACAGCTCCCTCGCCTCCTCCGCAAGCTCCACAAGCCGCTTCTTGATCCCGCGCTCCAGCTCCCTATACGCCCTCTCCGCATCTGCAATATACGCCTCCCAACTCTCATTCACCGTCAGAAAGCTCGAGCCCATCGTGAGCACACCCGCAAACGACACCGGACTCGGGCACCGCTGGCGGAACGTGGGGAGCACGCGCGCGTACACCGCGTGCGTGACGCCGACGTCGTTCGCGCAGTACCCGAGATAGCGCCGGACGTCCGCGCGGATCTGCGCCGGCGCGTGCGTCATGAAGTCGCTCCGAAGCTCCTTGTCGACCGCGATGCCGCAGTGCAGCTTCGCGACGTCCGCGAGCGAGTTCGCGGACGTGATGTCCTCCCACCGCTTCGAGACCTTCTCGCTGCCCTCGCCCTCGTCGGCGTCGGCGTCGGCGTCCACGATGGCGGCTGCTTCGCCCTCGTCGAGCTCTGCAGAGCTCAGCTGCGGAAGGCTCGCCTGGATTTCATCCCGGATGCGCTCGAGCTCGCGGCGCTTATCATCGTCGAGCTTCCGCCTGGGGTGCTTGCGCCCCTCCTCCGCAACGATATGGTCTTCTTCATTCCCCTCCCACTCCTCCTCGTCCACCCCCAGATCTCGCAGCACGTCCTGGATCGCCTCCAACGCCTCGGCCTTGCGCTCGAGCTCGCGCGCGTGGGCCTTGTCCTTGCGGTACTTCATCCACGCGGGGCGCTGGTGCGAAGATATGCCGCTCGTTGCGACGTGCAACGACATCGTGTCCAAGAAGCGCGTCTCCGTGCCGTCGAGACTGTACTCCTCGCGCATGCGCGCGCGGTCATACGAGACGTTGTGGCCGACGATAACACGCGGGACAGCCGGGTCGCCGAACGGAATAAGATGCTTCTCATCTTCGATAGACACCGCATCGGACGACGAGGAGGACTGCGCGAGCAGCCACGGGGATATCCAGGCGTACCACGCGTGCGGAGACGCAGCACACGCCATGACCGCATACGGATGATACTTGGGCATCGTCTCCACATCGAACACGAGCGCCGTCTCCGCCGTCCCGTCCGCGCGCTGGGGAAACGGAACGCGCTCCGCCTCGAACCCCTCCTCCCCGTCGCCCCTGCGCGTATACCGCGTCCACCCAGCCTGAACCGCCCACTGCTCCGGCGCGGGGCGCGGCGCAAGCTCAGCGCGCGCGAGGTCGTGCGCCATGTCCATCCACGGCTGAGCGGCGCGCGCGCCGATAGCGAAGAAGTGCTCGTCGATGGATGTACCCTGGAGCGGCGGGAGCTGGAATCCGGTGTCGGGGAGGACGGAGCCCTGGTCCGGGTCGAGGCCGTGCATCTGGAGGTGCTCCTCGGCGATGCGCACGAAGGCGGGAGAGGGGGCGGAGAAGGGCTTGTGCGGGAAGATCTGGGCGTGCAGTTCACGCGAGAGCATTTGCACGCCGAGTTGGTTGCGTTTGACTGGTGTGGTCTTGCACGTTAGATTGTGTTAGCAGGAGAGGTAGGAGAGGTAGACAGACCATGTCGCGTGGGCTTGCGCTCAGGCTTTGGTACCACGACGTCGTTATGAGGTGTAGGCTGTCTGATACGAACAGGAATGGGCTGAGGAAGGAGTTGTTTTTGTGCTCGAACAGGTTGTGAGTTGTGAATCCATCGTTGTGTCTGCCTCGGGAGTCGAGACATTCGTTGTTAGAAACATAAGAAAGTGAGAAACACAGGGGTCATGCAAATTGTCAACCCCTAACCCAACCGCGATTCTGCGTCACACCCATATTACCCCTGTCTTCCATCACTGAACAATTCTTGCACCACTCCGGAGACGACAAGAGAACTCGTATAGCGGGGATGAGTGAGTTTGTATGGTATGGATGAATACTCGATGAGTGAGCTCAAACACGCTGTGTATTGACGACTGAGCCGCACCGGCCCTGAACGGCTGAAGTCAAGTACTCATGCATCGTGCCCTCCTCAAGGCATCAGTCCAGACCCCTTATTCCGAAATGTGACAATGACAAATTGCATTCAAGAGCGGTCAACTATCTAATAACCAATCTCCCCAGCTCGCCTCGAGCTCACTGTCCCGTATACTGCCCCAGACCTTGCCAGACACTACAAAAACCATAAGCACCCGTCGCAAGTATAATCGCATCACGAACAAAACTCACTTGCACCGCTCAACGATACCCGGATAAACAGCATCCGTAGTCGACGCATAAACATTCGCGTCGCCCGTCTCCGTCGTATTGAACACAACCTCCATCTCACCCGTAGACCACGTAGACCACTCAGGCGTAATTGACGCGTCCGTGGGGTGATCATCCGGCGTCCCCGCGAGCGCGACTCCGGTGAACGCCCCAGAGAACGACGCGATGAACGTCGCATTGTCAACCGCCGGACCTTGGCTGTGCGAGGTCGCAAACGCTTTGATGAGCGAGAGAGCCCCTAGTTTAAGCCAATAAATACTCACTTCACGAAGTAATACGGAATATCGGATCCATGGAACCCATCCGGAATGGCAAACGTGCCCTTCCATGCGCTCTTGTTGGATTTTGAGAACGCGGCGAGAAGATAGTACGATGGACAGTAGAAGATGGCTATCGCAAATTCGTCAACAAACAGGGGGGGTTCTCCACGGAGGACCGATCAGAACGTACATTCGCCCATAATTCCAATAGCCTGGCCAAGGACATCTCCAACATCAGCACCGCCGCCGGGCCCGACCGTGTAGTTCGCATACGCGCTCACGACCTGCTGCACGCCAGACTCTGGCAGCAGCGGGAAGAGATTCTCGACATAAGCCGTAGTGTTGAGCGTCTCAGCGTAGTTGACAAAGACGTTTCCCTCGTGCGAGTTGGTTATCGCTAGGAGAACGTCCTAAGCACATCCACAGGTGAATCAGCAGTCCATCTTTTCCAAAGGTCAGGAGGTACACACCCCGTTCACGCTACCACGCTGCAGCGTCACGATTGGGCGCTCGACGATCAACTTATAGTCGATGACAGGCACCGTCACAAATGTGCCGTAGAATCCATTCACGTTAGCTTGGTTGTTGAGGCTCTCGAGGGTATCCACAGGTGCATTGCGGATGCACGCGAGCGGGGTTGAAGATGTAGAACATCTATTTTTGATAGCATTCGATCGGCTTACACCCCGGGAAAGGCAAGGGTTAATAGAAGCGCACTTACCCAGTCCCATTAGCGAAAAAGGCAAAGAGAGCCTAAGAAGGGCGAGGGCACTACTCAGCAAATACATTATGCCCAGAGGAAAAGTCGCACCTCAGGAACAGTATCGTTGTACGCGTACTGCGACGGCAAGAATGTCGAACTTGTCATTGCCGCATGGAACAGCGGGGGCTGCGTGTTTCCACCATTTGCGATGATATGCTGTAGCACAGAGCCTGCACCTATAAATAGCACAATGAGTACACAAATGCAGCAACTCAAAGGAGGGAGACAGAAGACATACCTGCCGACTCTCCCCAAATAGTCACCTGCGAAGGATCACCACCAAACTTGCTGATCTGCAACATTTGTCAGAAACATTCACAGTATGGCAAGGAGAAAAGGCTCACTTGGCTCTGTACCCACTGCAAAGCATAGGTCTGATCAACTGCAGAATCAAATGTTAGACCTCAAGACCAAGGCACCACTTTCGAGGAACAACAGATGGATACGCACGTAACCCGGCATTGAGCGCCCCTCCACCACTGACAACCTCGTTGCCCGACAAGAACCCGAACACACCAAGCCGGTACTGAATGATAACGACGACCAGCCCGTTCGCGGACTCTTGAACGATGTCCGCGCCATCGAACGACGATGCGCCGCCGGCTATGTAACCGCCTCCGTGGATCCACACCAGCACAGGCAGACTTGCGCTCGTGAACGAGCTCAGGTCCGCCGGCGTGTAGACGCTGAAAAGAAGGTAAGCATATGATCCGATGCAATCCATGCCTGGGACACAGAGCGCCAGCACCAACGCACTTGAGATACAGACAGTCTTCAGACTGGACCACGTCCCGCCTCCTCATCGACGCGCCAACCGCACTCGAGTCGGCGTACCCGTACGGGAACGCGCTCGTGCTCGCGTTCCCCGTCGGAGCCTGATAACACTCGTTGGGCTGCGCTGTTGCTTGCTGCACGCCGCTGACGACGGCAGGCGCTTGCGGTGCCTGGAACCTCAGATCACCTGTAAGCCACGAACACGGTCTGGTTAGCACGTGCACCAAGACGGAGGACGGGAGGATAAACTGACCAGTCGGAGGCGCAGCGTATGAAATTCCGAGGAACGAGCTGATGTTCGTGCTGCTGTTTGTCGCTCCTTGGTAGGTCGCATAGTCGAGGTCGACCGTTGGGCCCGAGCTTTGGGCTCTGACAGTCGCCAAAGCGGGGAGTAACGCCGCGAGAGAAAAAGATCGCCAGTACATCGCCCAGACTTGGAAACTTGTTAACGGGCTGAGTGACGAACGCGCTATTAAAGGTGGGAGATGAACGGGGAAGTGGGTGTGAGCATCGAGAATTATATATGACTTAGGCAATATCGTGAAACCTGCATCCCAAACCTGACACCGACGGCACAGGTTCGCAGGACGTCGATATAAATGGGATCTGTGGGGTACGCGCAGGGTCTTGCACAGGGTGGATGGACCAAGGGAAGACCGGGATTGGTTATGCAAAGACGCATTCACAGGCGGGTGATCCTCTTCGTGATGATCACGTTACAGCATCAGCGGCAGTCCGTGGGTCGTCAGCGGTGCGCTGCAATTCTATCCAATAACTAAGATGGAGGCTCTGCGAGAATGACGGGCGTAGCATGGTGGAACGAGAGCAAGAATGCATGGTCCCTCCGTCACGAGGCCGAGGACCCACACGCTCGTTGTCAGCTGCCGCGACTCTGACCCCAGCCTAGGGTTAAGGTTGACTCCGTTTACCTTTCAGCGGTCCGCTGACGGTCAAACTGTACCGGATTATGAGGACGATTCGTCTGGACACCGCGGAGGGCAGGATATTTCAGGCACAGAATATCATGGCAATGCATAGCGTCCGAGGTGCCTGGACTTATTGATCACAAGGCGTTGACGATTCTGGTTGGATTCTGGTCCGCCTTCTGCAGTCACGCTGAATGCCCTACCCAGGTTGTCTCACCTTTTCCTTCGCCATGCACTGGTGAAAGTCGTCGCTACCGTGAGTTCATAGATGGTAATAAGTAACAAAGTACGATATCGTGATGCTTTACCCCAAATTTCTTCTGAGGGCAAGCACGTCTGCCCATTCCGGTGTTGAGTAGCCAATATCACCATTGCTCCCCAGCCGAGCGTTGCGAGCACATGATTTCTTAGCTTTGAGGTGTATTGGTAGCAAGATCGTCACCTGAGGCGGCGCCCTTGTTCATCGTTCCCGTGAATTCTTCCCGTTCTTGACCAATCTTATCTAGATCCTTGATCGCAATACGGTTTCAGGAGATATTCTACCCGCACTGGAAGAAGTCGAACCCACTCGTAAGCCAGCAGAAATTTTTGGACGCCGATTGTTGCGAACATCCCTTTCTTGCATCTTCGCATGACAAGAACAATGTCGGGAAGGTTGTGATAGGGGTTATTGTTCAGAGTTTATGTTTTCACTTTTCGCAACTTCATCAGGCGAGTTCCGGGTGATTTGCTATATGTGATTCCCAAGGACATCACTCCATCATCCATATCCATGTTCTGCTCAGATTCTACAGAAGGAACTATGTTACATGACATGGCAAGAAGGAAACCATAGAACATGAAAGACAAACACGGAACGCATTGTCAAACTGTGCCAACGCCCTGCCGTTGGCTTCGGTGAGGATAGCGGTGTTGATGAGATACGCGCACGAGTAGTCGCCAACAATCCCTACGGCGGCTATATTGATGAGGGACTGGAGCAAATAGGGGAATACCGGTCAAGCCGTACGCTGCATAACCGTAGACATCGAGCTGAGGCCTAGCTGTCTCATATATCGTCAGGGACGTATATAGAAGTTGTGCAATGGACGTGATCATCTTGCCCCAGCTGTGGGAGGAGCCTATCTGTTTATCATAGTCGAGTTTCAGGCGCCAGCGATCCCAAAAGTCGACAAATTCGACCACGTATCCTGCGGGGAGCTTCGCCATCCCGCCGTAAATTCGGACCTAGGAGGGATCCACTCGAGCGTGGATTCTGTCGTCATCTTCAATAGTTATACGGACGCTGGTGGAACCTTTGATCGATCCAAACTCTGTCTCTCTATTTAAAAATGGTTGTAAGCATATGTAGATATGGAGTTGGTAAGGCTTACGTGAGAAATCGGCCATTCTGTCTTACCTGGACGTACACATGCTCTGGAGACGTCTCATTTGGCTTCCAGTCCTTCGACCTCTTAACCATAATGAGGGCCCCTCGAGCCAGCGCTTTCTCCATATTGTTCCGCCGACATTGGATGTAGCGGAAGAAGAGCCCGAGGGACCTGCCTAGACCTGCAAAGGGGAGGAATATACAGAATATTGCCCAAGTGGCCGTCGAGTACCACTTGAGCAAATACCACTTGGTACCAATTGTATTGTAGAGGGTACGGTAGCGGCGTGAGTGAGTGAAATAGTTTGTGAAGAAGAAGACAATGATGTCGGAGTACGTGGTGGTCTTGCAGACGACCTTGGCATAGATGGGCGCGGCTGATGTCGCGGTGATGAGGAAAGGGGATATGAAGAACATAGTGAGCTCTCGGTGCAGGAAACCTGGCCGACACAAGTTGCGAAACGGAAGCGTATTTCTCAAAACTTGTCCACGGTTGGCGATGAAATACAGAGCTGGCATAATGGAGCACATTGCATTCACATTGCCCGTGCATGCGTGCAAGCGCGAGCCTGCGTCGAGAAGCACTTGTTGACGCCCATACGTGCCCCAGCTGCTTGCGAAGGCAAGCGTGCCGTCCGAAGTTATCAACCTTGCTTCTTATAGACGCCGGCGAGAACGAATCTGTTCAGTGTCAGAATATTTGAATCAAATAAAGACCCCTCGTTGAACGCCCATAGAGTCACAATCATGACATTTATCGACAGGAATGAGCCAAGGGTTATGCATATGTGTGGAGTGTCTCGCCGCAGAGCTGGAGCATGAAGGAACGTTGACACCATCGTCATTGATGAGAGCTGCCCATTACGGTCTTCTATTTTTACCCTGGTCAACCGTGCACTACCGTGCATCGCCCTTGAGGATCCAGGGTCAGTGTGGGGGGTCGGAACCTTTGACTTTAACTGTTATCCTTTTCCGGCGGTATCACACGGCTTCCTGCATGGTGTATAAGCAAGAACGTCCATATTTTGAACAGAAACCCTGGTGCTGAGTAAGAGGCCGAAGAACGTTGTCGAGCATTCTGCTAGAGAATATATAGTAGTTTCACCTGTGTTTATTAACAACATATTGGTGAGCCACGAACCTATGTTTAGCTTATCAATACGTTGGCTTGGGGCAGGGGCCTGCTGATGGCCGTCATGCTTGGGAACATCCTTCTTTCTGCGGGCTGGAGTCTGTCAAGGAGGAAAGGGAGGCGATACATGCATGGAGTACACACCAGCTGGAAGGGAATCTATACAATGGGACACAAGAAGTGCGCATTTACACTATTGCTTGAAGGAGCCTCCAGTGGGATGCATGCTGCCGGACGTGCTGAGAAGAGCAGCATCAGCACAGGCAAACAAACATGTCGGTCAGCTTCATGAAGAGAACCGGCAAATACCAGGACTTTGCTGACCTAAAAACAAGGAGAATACTACTTGCGCAAGTTGGCGAGGATGGGTTGAGTCTGACAAATTCAGGCGCTCGGGATGGCGTGGCTGTTCCCACGCCACTATTTTTTGTTCCATGTGACTACCACGCATCTGCCAAACGGCCGCGTCAACTCGGCTAAACAGCTTGACTCCTTCCAAGACCGTTTCAAGGCCAGTCAAGGCACCTACGCATCTATGCCATAGCCAGCTACGACGATGCACGACTGCCTTTTGGTCATCGAAATCTTTCGCGTCATCTGCGAGCAGCTAGCGTCATCTTCGACCGAGCATCACGCAGCGCTATCTGCAGTCGCGAGGACATGTCGCGTCTTCAAAGAACCTGCACTTGACGCTCTGTGGGCTGAGCTCGATAAGCTCGAGCCTTTGATCAGATGTCTTCCAGAGGCGTTGTGGCGTTGGGAGTTACCAGACTCCCCCGACCGATGCCTTGTATGCCTTGATTGCCTCTCAAAACGTTGCGTTTCTCATGATCAGGTTTTATGCTAGGTCATTCGTCGTCCACTGCGGGCATCTGACTGGGACCTCTTCCGGTACTACTCTAATCGAGTCCGAGTTCTTACCCATGAGCATGCCTCCGACCGCATTGCACCAAACACTCTCGCCCTACTCGGCTTCCCTAATCGCACCGCCCCCTTATTCCCCAACTTACACCGTGTATGCTGGACAGACAATCGAAGTGAAGCATATCCTTTCCTGGATGTCGTCTGCGGCTCTCATCTGAAAGAGTTGTCCATGAACCTTCCCGAAATTGATACTTACAGCGATGCTGATTCCATGATCGCGCGCTCTTTCTTGCATTCGATTGTCGGCCGCTGCGCAACGCTCAAAAGCCTAGAGATCCGGGAAGAGGATGTCAACCCTGACTATGAGGATGCCATCTCGGAAGTCGTTTCGAGCCTTCCTAAGCTGGAGGTCCTCAACTGCGGACTTCTCGAGTATGGCGCGATAGCTCACCTCGATCAGTTGGAGAGCCTGCGCGAGCTGTCTTTCACCGTCTCTCCGAAATACAGCTATCAGGATCTTCACCATCCTTTCTTGTTCGGACGCCTCTCCTATCTCGGCCTCGCCTCGGCTGATAGCCTTGGAATCATTTTACCTCTGCTCCAGTACATCCCTCGTCTCCCGCCATTCTTCATCTTCTCCGCCCTCCGCTCCACCTAGTGTTGTGCAGGGCCGGGCTTGGCCTGAAAGCCCTGGCTTTGGCCTGGCTTTTGAGGGCTCGGGCTTTGCAAAAACCCAGGCCAGGCCCTGATGTAGGGCCAGGGCTTGGCCTGGGCTTGGCTTTGGCCTAGGCCAGGGCTTTCACTATAAAATCGTGTATTTTGCTTCCTATGTACATAAAAAATTGGAGCAGTCAGTTTTCTACTCAATGAAGCTATCAGGATTGATCAGACAGTAAAAAACAGTGACAAAATCGACTTTTTATTGTGTCGCAACAATTACTGTAGTAAAAGACACTTATTCATCCAAATCCCAATGGTTCTCATTGTCTGAAATACCTAACATTAAGTCTCCAAGTCCATCATCATGCTTCTCAACAGTCATTTCATCAATACCATTGTCCTCAGCTTTCTCTAAGGATAACTCAGTTGCTGAGGATGGCCCTGGCTCATGGGAAATTAATTCCTGGCAGCTGAGTGTCATCAACACCTGAATAGCTTCAACAACATCTCCACCAATGTGATTGCACCTTTTTGTGATTATTTCAGCAGCTGCAGAAAAAGCACGCTCACTGGACACTGAAGAGGCCATAATAGACAAGCAGCTGCTTGCAAATGATCCCCAAATAGGGTACAAAGGAAAATTCAACTGTAGCACTGATTAGAGTCATAAAATATGACACAACAAGATGACTTACACCCCACCAATGGACAATAGATATCTCTTTTGGAAGAGGCGTCACAGAGCCAAGGCAAGCATGAAACTCTTGAGCCCAAGGTGCTGAGGCATTTTCAGCTTCACTGTTTGCACCAAAACTGTCTTCAGGACATTAGTAACCTGCTGAGTCCAACATCACATAATCACTAACATAACTCTCAAGGCTATATTCTAATAATAGGGCAAGTGGGTCAGATAATGCCATAGCTAGATTAGGACACAGCGCACTTTTGATTAGAATTTCCCACAGTCAATAGAAACATTGTACACTATCTAATACTTAAGTTCAAGCTATACAACTTTCTGTTACTAGAGTAATTGTACAGTCATATCAACATTTTTCAAAATTTTAGCTACAAGCCCTGGCTTAGGCCCTGGGCTCGGGCTTTGCAACAACCCAGGCCAGGCCTTAGGCCCTCAAAAGCCCTAGCCAGGGCTCGGGCAGGGCTTGGCCTATACAGGGCTTGGCCTGAGGGCTTTAGGGCTTCAGGCCTGGCCCTGCACAACACTAGCTCCACCGTAAGCGAGATTCGCAACGTCATAGCCCACATCGTACGCGCCGGAAACGGTGACATTGACGATGTCAACATCGATGTGCAGCGTGGCATTCCCGAGTGGGACGATCCGCCCGAGTGTCTCATCTTCGACGACATCCAGCCTCTTTCAAGATTCAATAACATCCGCACCTTGATTTTATGCACGGGCCAGCCGTTCTGTTTAGACGACGACGATGTCAAGATGCTCTCGTCGTACTGGCCGAAGATGGACACGTTCAACATCAGCGGAACGACAGGCTGGGGCGGCGTCACGAGGATCACGTTCAAAGGTATCCTTTCGATAGTGGAGAACTGCAGGTACTTGCGCAACCTCGGGATCGTGTTTGATGCACGCTCACGCCGGGGATTGGCATCTGGACGGCCAGGCGGGGGCATATCGAGTGCTCTTTCTATCTTGATGGTAGGAGATTCACTGATAGATAATCCCGCGGAGGTGGCGATGATATTGTCGGATTTGTTTCCCAACGTGGAAACGTTGCAGGCTTGGGAGGACACGACCTGGGGTCATGATGACGATGTAGTAGAGGAACAGCGAGAGAAGTGGGAGGAGGCAACGAAGCTGTTGATGATGTTCACCAGCATCAGGAGGCAGGAGAGAGCATGGATACAAAGCACGATTTGATAAACGAACTGCAAGTCAATGAAGTTTCTGAAAAGTCGATACGGTACTACTTTGTGTCCGGGTGTCTTACCAGGAATCTTCTTGCCCACAACGTAGTTGTACACAAGATCATTCCAACTCTCATAGATGGTTCCCATCCGTTCAAGGGACTTTACGGTGACATCTCCACGCGTGCGTATCGCCTGGCGGAGCGTTTGTAGCCTCATTGGATGGTGACGGGGCGGCTTCACGACAAGATGGATCAGGATGGGTCTTTGTGAATCGAGAACCAACTTGGCCATGGCAGTGAGCGTGAGATCCACTTACTAAGCGACTGAAGCTGCGTTACCGCGCGTCCTAGCGTTGCTTTTATCTAACCTGCAAGAAGCGATGCATAAGTGCCTTTCCATCAACGAAATCTTCTGCGTCGTCTGCGAACACCTGTCCTCGTCAGGTCCTTCGGCCGAAAGCGGAGCATTAGTAGCACTTGCCGCTACATGTCGCGACTTCAAAGAGCCCGCACTGGACGTGCTCTGGGCCGAACTCGATCATCTGGGACCTCTGATAATGGCGCTTCCGGAAGATTGGTGGGAGATGGAATGGGATCTTGACGACGAAGGAGATGAAGAAAGACTACTCGTACGTCATCTACCTTTCGGTTCACGAGCTTATTGACTCAAGAAGTCCCTGCGATGATTCGATCGCTCAACCTATCAGATTATCCGTCGCCCTTTGGGCAGAAAACAATGGGATCGCATCCGGTACTACTCTGCTCGAGTACAGAGTCTTGAACATAACGACCGGGTCCAGCACAAGTTTTTCGAGCGGATTTCATCGTCGGCCTTTACTTCGCTTAGCTTCCCTCCTCACCCTTCTTCACTGTTTCCTAACTTGGTTCGCCTGCAATGGAAGGACACTCGTGAAGAGGTATATTCGTTTTTGCGCGTTATGCTCGGTCCTAGCCTGCGGGAGCTCCACATGGATCTTCCCCTCATCGACAATCCTAGCAGTTCCAAGGTCGCACGGTCATTTTTACACTCTATTGGAACTCTGTGTCCATCTCTCAGAATTCTCTGTATCAATGGGCCACACGACCACCCGGACTATGAGGATGCTGTATCTGACCTTGTCCTTAGTCTTGGCCAGCTAACGGAGCTCCGCTGCGGTTTCCTGAACCTTGTTGCGTTCTCTCATCTCAACTCCTTGCAAAGTCTGAGCATTCTCTCCGTCATCGCGTCTCGAGGGCAGGATTACAGTGCCCTTCCGGAATTCTCCGTTTTCAGTGACATGCTCGAGCTTTCGCTGCGTACGTTTGGTTCCCTCGAAGATCTCATGCCTTTACTCCAGCGTTTCCCTCGTCACCCGCCTTTCTCCATGTTCTGCGCCAGGAGGTGCACCGTTGCCGAGGCGCGACGTTTCTTAGCGTATCTCGTAAACGTCAGCAACTCTGAACGCTCAGGCATTACCATCGACGTGCAGGGCGGTGATATGGATTGGCACGGCCAACACTTATTCCTGTCGTTTCGCGACATCCAGCCGCTATCAAAGTTCAAGAACCTCGAGATACTCGTCGTTGCTGCTGGTGTACCCATTTCTCTCGACGACGGCGACGTTATGGCCATTGCCTCCTACTGGCCGCGACTGCGGGTTCTGAACTTGTGTGGCCTCACAGGCTGCGGTGGCCTCTCTAGGGTCACGCTCAAAGGGTTGCTTGCGCTTCTCAAATACTGCCAGTATCTGCACTTTCTTTGGATCGCGTTCGACCCGCGGCCTAGAGAAGGCCTTTCCCGTGGCCGTCCGGGGGGAGGCGTGATCAATGGGCTTGCGATGCTCGATGTCGGAGACTCGCCGATCGACGACCCGACGGCGGTCGCTATGGTCTTGTCCGACGTGTGCCCTCGCATCGAGCGGTTGGGAGGGTGGTCGGAAACGACGTGGGGATATGATGCAGCGCATGTTGAGGAGCAGCGGGCGAAGTGGAAAGAGGTTGAGAGCTTACTGGCGGCGTATACTGCTATTAGGAAGCAAGAACGGTTATGGGCTCGTATGGAGGTGAAGGGGAAGCTAGCTAACAATGTGTAGTTCTATAGCCTGAATTCAACAGAAAATACTGAGTCAATGCAATATGTTTCCGAGCATCTACGAGCATGAATGAACGTAACTTGAAAGTGAGAGCAGCAAGATAAGGGTGAAACTGGTCGTGTATGTGTACTGAAAGTTAGCTAGAGAAAAGGATTAAAAGGGCAATCGCTACGGTATAGACAAATTCCAACGTTCATATGCTATTAGTGTACATGCATCGTAAGCAGTGAGAGATCCCATCGCCTACAAAGTCAAGATGAAAACACGAGAGAACGAGACAGGACGTGAATGACGTACAGTTTGTATTCGTGATCCAGAGTTGACCCTACTCCTCCTCCTCCTTCGGTTCCATCTTCACAATGTCTTCTTCGGCCTCATCGATGCGCTCTTCCACCTCCTCCACCTTGATGCCCTTCTCCTTCATCCACGTCTTCAGCGGACACTCGCCCCTACTCCCGTTCTTGCATCCTTTACAGGCCCGGCCATGCTTCACGAACATGACGTGCAGGCCATACTTGAGCTCCGGCGGGACGCGCAGCTCGAGGTGCGCCTGCGTGCTGACACGGTCTGCATGGCGGGGCACCCAGCCAAGCATACGCGTGATCCGAAAGACGTGCGTGTCGACGGCGAACGCGTCGCGGCCCATGCAGAACGCGAGCACGCACGCGGCGGTCTTCGGGCCGACTCCGTTGTACTGCACCAGGGAGCGCATGACTTCCTCGTCGGACACGTCTCCGGCTAGCAGATGTTGGAGGTCGTACCGGCCTTCCGGATGGGCTTCTTTGACGGAGACGAGGAGGTTCTGGATGATGCGCGCTTTGCGGTTTGCTAGTCCGCCGTGCTTGATGGCTTCGACGACGTCTGCAGCGGGGGCAGTTGCCATCTTGGCAAACGCTTTTTCGCCACGGCCGAAGGCGGCATCGAGAGAATTCTTAGCGGAGGAGCTGTTGGCGTTAGACGTGTTCTGCGAGAGGATAGTGCCGATGAGCGAGTCGAGCACGTTGGGCGTCGCGCCGCACGTCGCGCCGGAGTTGGCCGAGTCTAGGGGTTTGCGGTGCTTTGGAGCGGCACCGTTGGGAAACGTGGAGGCTAGAAGATCATATATGGCATTCACGTCTTCTGTGGAAGGGGCGGTGAAGTTGGGGAAGGGCGAGGTGGAGCTGAAGTCAGAAAGCAACTTGAGTTTCTTCGTTGCCTGGGAAGCGGAGGGAGAGGTGGGAGACGACGGACGTTTAGACGCCTTCCTAGGTGAAGCCGAGGGCGAGACTGGAACAGGCGAGAGGGCGTGTTTGTCGATTTTCTTGCGAGGCATGAGGGAGGATCGAGATGACTTCAAGTTGCTAACGTGGGGTGGATTCAGCTTGAGGAGGACCACTGAGATGGACGGACCTTGGCTCCGACGGCGGCATGTCACGATCGACTCATTGTGTCACGCGTCAAGGTTACAACTTACAGCCCTGACAATCGTGGCACATCTATGCCCGTGCACAAGTCCTGAAACCGAGCAGCTTATAAGACATTGATAGCAAACATTAGGCTCTTGAACATATAACGTTCAAATCATATTACCTACTCTAATCCTAAGTACTTTAATGGCGACTGGTTCTCCCCTTCGGGAAGATTGAGCAAAAAGTGGGAGCCAAGACAAACATAATAAGAAATTATCGTGAAACTAGCAGTGATACATCAAGCGCAAGAAAAAGGAGACATCAGACGAAGGTCTGCGAAGGTTCGTCTGCCAGCTTCCAAGAACGCTCTTCCTTCCTGACGCTTTAAATATGTCAACCCGCAGCAGACGAAAACTATCAGAAAAAAAACAGGAGACAGCGATCAACTAGTTGGTAGCTGAGGCCCCTCCAACGCCTTCCACGCTCGCTCCTCCTTTCTGATACTCGCGAACGTGCTTATCCATTCTTCCGCTGTCTTCCACATAGCCCGCATCCGAGACGCATCGTGAACATTTCCGTGCGCAGTCTCGTCCCACGAGTTGATGGACTTGACATTCGGCGCCACATCCGAGAGGATCGCCGCTATACGCTTCGCATCATCGATCGGTGAATTGCCCAGCAGGAGCGTCTCCACACTCGTGTTACATACGCCTGCGCCTGGGCGCGTGTAGCCTTGCCCCTGGTGAGCACCGGAACCGGACTCGAGTGCAGAGTCATCGTTGTTAGTAGCCCGGAAGAGACCTTCGGTTTTCCGTGCGTCAAACACAATGCCGAGCGCCTCCAGCTTGGGACATAGCCGCAAGACGGAGAGTACGCCCGCAAATGTGACCTGAGGCTCCGCTGGCCAGCCATACTTGCCGCAGATACTGAGTGTGATGATGTTTGGCCAGGCCGCGGCCAGTTCGCCCAGGTCCGAGTCGGACAGTACAATCGCCATCCAGTCTTCAATCTCGAGGTGTTCCAGGGAACGAAATTTAAACAAGGGCGCGAGGTCGCTAAGCCGGAGAGCCTCTTCTTCAAGCGGAATGACGGCGGGGAAGTTACGGTCGATGACGATGGTGTAAGCGTCAAAAGTGAGCTCCGTGTGTGTGTTGGCCTGAATTTCGTCGCTTTTTGAACTGCCGCTTTCGTCTACGTCGCCAGGGGCCAGTTGGTTGATCAGTTTGCGCAGCATGTGGTGTATAAGTTTCGGCACCGTGAAAGTCAGTGACTTTGGGCGCTTTGCGAGCACGGCGAGGAAGGCACATGCCTCGTCGAGCGACGACCCGGACTGAATGTCAACTGAATCGAGATTCGGGAACATGTTCTGTCCCATAAGACGTTCTGCAACGTTCCCAGCTGGCAGGGTGAAGGACAACGAAGTCAGCGACGGGAGTCGCCCGAGATGCACCAGCGCGTCCTCGTTTAGACTGCCACAGGAGAGGTCATCAAGGCTCTGTAACTGCAAGACGAGCTCAGTTGTGGCATCGCTGTATGGGTTATCCTGCGAAGTGAAGCGCGGATAACCGAGCTCCAGGACCTCGAGCTGAGCACACCTTGCTATGGAGGGCAAGAAGCGGAGCGCAGGGGTAATGGTGGGTCGTTTCGTTGAGTAGGAATACGTTGAACTCGTTGAGTTCTTGTTCGGGTCGGGGAGAGCGATCTGCACGACTTGTGTCTTCTCACCCAGGGCGACGTTCAGAAACCTGAACGCCTCTTCATTCTCGATGTCGTTCCAGACCAGGCATCGCAATTCGGGAAACAGTGGACCTGGTATGACAGGGGAGCCGAGCGCGATAAAGACAGATGAATGGATATGGGTGTAGCTGTCTGGGTCTATCTTGTCATGGTGAACTAGTCCATGGACACGCCTTGCATAAGTTCGGAAACGTGTCCATTCTGCGCTGCGCAGCGGACGCGAAATTGTCTGAAAGACGGTCAGCCGAGACAGCATGAACAAGGGTGGGGAAGGAGTGTACGAGTGATTTTGTCCCTGAACCTTTATCCACCTCTATCCACATATCATTTGGAAGACACTTGACGAGGGGTGCAAAACCAACGAGAGTGCGCCATAGGTGGTCGAGTGCGGGATCCTGGAGAGCGTGACACGTTTGGGCGAGCGATGCAAGCGAACGATGACTGTCTTGATCACTGAGGTATAAGCATATTTCAGAGATGACCTCGAGGATGAGCAGACATCGGTGCATCCTGATGGCGAAACTTTTCGAGGGAATGGCGCAGGAGAGGGCAGCAATAATAGCGACGCGGTTGGTGACCGTGACTCAGACGCGTGATGCAATGTCGCGACTCGTAACATCACGCGCTACTTACGCCGTGACACTTGCGTCACACAGCAGCTTAGATCCAACACTCGCCTTTTCCTCGACCACAACCCCACCAGAAATGACAGGGAAGCGCCCGGGAGGAGCAAGTGACTCTCAAAGCTGTACAGGGCTATGCTTACACGAATTACCTGAGTCAAAGTGAGAGAATTGCACACAAGATGTGACCAGTAGCGCGTTCAGTTGTTAACATAAGTGAACAATGGTAATTTAGTTTACAAGACTGTGCAGTAATGAGACAAACATATAATCCATTAATGTCTACTCGTCTGCTCAGACAGCTTGGGGCGTTGCGGTGAACTGTGACCTCGCGTCCTGCTCCTTGACCGGACCCTTGTCCGTCTCCGACGGTCCAACACCTCCCGCCGTTCCATCCTGAATTATACCGGCACCAGCGCCCATAGTAGGTTCCTGGGCGGATCTAGTGCCTGTCCCTTCAACGCCAAAATTTGGGAGTGACGTCGTGTACACTGAGGGACCATGCGAGCTCTGTTTCTGACGCTCCGCAGGGCTTTCTGCAGCCACGAAGTGCTCGTCAGACGCTTCGCCTCGGGTTTGTTGATCCAAGCCACCCGAGGCCGCCTTGCGCTGCGCATATTCTCCTGTGTACTCGCAGCCCGCGGTTTCCGGGGTGGTTTAAGTCGAGGAGGATCAAGATGGATTGACCTTGGCTCCGACGCGGCATCTCACGATCCACTCATTGCGTCACGCGTCATTACATTGAATTGATTAATTCGTTGACAGCCGACAGTGAGAGTGCACTCTCGCACAGGTCCTCTTGCCTTAAGACTGTCGTTCACATTACGATCAAGTACTACCCTAAAGAGGGCTGGCCTTCCGGCTTGGCAGAGTATTGAGTTGGGAGCCTAGCTATTAGCATTGATAATAGATATGTCAAGCGCACGAAAAGCAGAAGTTTTCATTCAGACGACGGGCTGCGAAGATTCATCTACGGACTTCCATGAACGTTCTTCCTCTCTGATACTAGCGAATGTGCCGATCCATTCCTGAACAGTCTTCCACTTCGCCCGCATCTGATACGCCTCGTCGGAAAGCCTGAACGTGATCTCGTTCCAGGAATCAATACTCTTCACATTTGGGGCGACATCCGAGAGAATGCCAGCAACGCGGGTCGCATCCTCGATCGGCGAGTTGCCCACCAGAAGCATCTCCACGCTTTTATTACACACGCCCCGCCCCGGTCGCGTGCGAGTTAGCGCTTGTCCAGATCCGCCTGCGTGTTGACTAGGCTCGCTCCCACGGACGTCAAATACGATCCCGAGCATCTGCAGCTTAGGACAAAGACGAAGCACAGACAATACCCCTGAAAACGTGACTTCGGTTCCACCGGGCCAGCCTCACTTGCCGCCGATGTTCAACGTGATTATGTTCGGCCACGCAGAGGCCAGGTCAGCGACTTCTGAGTCAGTTAGAGATACGGGCATGGAGCCTTCGATGGCAAGGTTCTGCAAGGAGCGAAACTTGAACAGAGGTATAAGATCGCTGAGCTTGAGGAAGCTGTCTTCGTAAAAATGGGGCGGTATAAGTTCGTCTTCCTCGTCCTGGGCATCATCTGCAGCGAAAACAAGTGTTGTGCACTCGGGGATGTCTGCAGCCTCGTTGGGGTTATCGGCTTCACCGCCTGCCGTCAGCTTGCCAATCAAGCCAACTAGCTCAGAATGCCCAATTTTTGGCGCTGTGAACAACAGCTCCTTAGGACGTTTGGCCAGTACGTTTAGAAATGCAGATGATTCTTCAAGATTGGAGAAGGATTGAACGGTAATTGTGTCAAGATTCTGAAATAAACCGTCGCGAAGCATGGTCAAATCTGCAAGAGGTTGACCGGGGGACAGAGTGAACGATAGCGAGCGCAGCGATGCGAGGCTCCCGAGATGAACCAGAGCGTCGTGTGTGAGATAACCACAAGTCAAGGAAACAAGATGATTCATCTGGAGGACGACGTCGGAAACTGCGTCACAGTAGGCTCTCTGGATAACCTCGGGAACAGACGACGTAAACTTGATATCCAAACATTTGATCCCTGCACAGTGCACGAGCGTCGGCAGGAAACGATTGGCAGGAGTGTTGGATTCGTACAACTGCCGAGCTTTGATTGGATGGGGGAGCACGATATCGACATGATGTATCTTCTCGCCTATGGCGACGTTCAAGAACCTGAATGCGTCCTCACTTCCATCATCCCAGTGTAGACACCGCAAGTTGGGAAATAGTGGGCCTGCGAGGGTTGGAGAGCTGAGAGCAACAAAGACAGATGACGGAACCTGAGTTATAGATGGGAGGTTATTTTGGCTATGGCAGAGGTGATGAACGCGTGTTGAGTACACTCGGAAGCGCTCCCAGTCTGCGACGCGCAACGAGCGTTTTATGCTCTACACAACGATGAGTAACCGCGGACCAGTAAGGAGTGGTTGATGCACACGCACGAGCACTTTCTTACTCCCATGTGCCGTCTCTCTCCAAACATCCTCCGGAAGACACTTGACGAGGGGCGTGAAATCGGTAAGACAACTCCATAGCTGGTTGAGCGCGGGACCGTGAAGGGCCTGACACGTTCGGGCGAACGATACGAGAGAGGAGTCTTCGCCTTGAAGACTAAGATGTGAGCAGATCTCAGAGAGGACCTCTAGAATGAGGAGACATCTGTGCATCCTAGAGGAGAGACCTGTAAGGAGGAGGAAAGGATAGCGACGCGCTTGGTGACAGTGACTACGCGTAACGCGATGTCGCGATCCGTAACATCGAGACTTCATGCTGTGACACTGACGTGACACAACCTTGCCTCCAACACTCACGTTTTTGACTGGCACGAACTCGACATGAGAAGTGCAGGCACACTAATATAGTATACTTTATTCATCTACGTTTATATGATATACCTCAGTCACATCTCGCCTTATCCCTAAAGCCAGTCTTGTTGGTACCACGAAGGCGATCCATGCCCACAGCGCGCTCCGCCTGTCCTTTGAGTACGGCGTTCCCGTCCCTTTGTGCACAATAATTATCTTGGGCGCCCATATTTCTCGCACCACTCTGCAGAGCCCCGATCTCGACAACCCATCCATGAATAACCTGCGCGAGTCCCCTTGAGTATAAGGCAATACGTCAATTCGAGTCATCTGATTAAAATAATAGGCAGGAAATTAATGTGATCATACTTTAGTTTCTCTCCAATCCCGAAGCCAGGCCCAGAAGACGATTTATCCGTGGGCGGCGGACGTGGTATGTCGAGTCATGAACGAGGGCACGGGCATTGGTCTAACAGTAGTGGTGGAGGTGATATGAGAGACCAGAGCTCTCGCTGTGTCTATGCTATATGCATACCTGAACGCCACTAGGATACAGCAAGATCAATTTACCTTGGTCACTCAACAAGAAACCGAAGCGCCTAGGGAACATATGGCAACATGATGCGTGGTATCTGCCCTTATCTGAGTAAGCCGCGGAAAAGCTGAGCAGCAGACGAATACGAGTTCAAGACTAGTGTTGGTACAAAGGTAATCTAGATTACAATGTTGTACAATAAATGGGACCAAATTTAAAAATCATCCGTCAACGTCAACTCTTCCGCTCAAACAGCTTGGGGTGTTGCGGTGAACCGCGATCTCGCATCCTGCTCAGACTGTTCCTTGATCGGACCCTTGTCCGTCTCCGACGGCCCAATGTCTCCCTGCGTTCCTGACCGAGATACGCCAGCGCCAGTACCCATCACAGGGTCCTGGGTGGGTCTAGTGCCCATCCCTTCGTCGCCGACATCTGGGTGCGACGCCGTGTACGCTGAGCGACCACGCGAGCTCTGTTCCTGACGCTCCGCAGGACTCTCCCCAGCCGCGCCAGCCGCTTCGCCTCGTTTCTGTTGATCAAAGCCGACACCTGAGCCGGCTTTGTGGTGCGCAGATTCTCCTGTATATTCGCAGCCCGCTGTTGCGCCTACAGCCGAACCTGGCTGGACGTCTGAGCGTGAGCCGGGGCCACCTGGGCTGGTGCCAGATGCACCACGGGTGTTGATGTCTTTTCGAGCGCCCACGTTGGTATCGGCGATGTTAGTGTCGGTAGGTCCCGCCGACTGAGCCGATTGCGCACCACTACGGGCGTCTGTGTCGTTACTTGGCTGAGACTGTAAAGTGGGATCAGGACCACTGTCGTTCGCGCCAGAAGCGTCGCCTGTAGGACGTGGACCTGTGCCCGTCTCACCACCTTCAAGTTGACCTGAGTCGTGGTTGGCATCTACATCCGTATTGGTGACATTAGTGTCGGGGATGCTGGTATCGCTAGGGCCGGTCGATGTGGCGGCGCGGTCGGCAGCTGCACCAGGGGGAGGATATGTGCCTTTGCCAGACGAAGGCGGAGGGGTGGGACTAGCGCCCATGCCGCTCATAGATGCGTCAGCGTGGGGACTAGAGGTGTCGCCAGTAGGGCATGGAGTGGTGCTCGAAACGCCACCAGTGTCGGTATCGGTACCACGACCTGCACCCGTATCCGTATTGGTGGAGTTGGTGTCCCGAACGTTGATATCGCTGGGGCCCGGCGACCTGGCCGCGGCGGCAGACGTGTCAGGAGGAGGACCGGTGTCTTTGCCTGACGTAGGCTGGGGGGCAGAGGTGGTGGTATTACCGGCGTCGCCCATGTCTGCGTCAGTGCGGGCGCCAACAGTGTCGCTGGTAGGACGTGGAGTGGTGCCCGTACCACGAGCATCAGCTCCCGTATCGGTAACGTTGGTGTCGTGGACGCTAGTGTCGCTAGGGCCAGTCGACCTAGCCATGGCGTCAGTAGCCGTGTTGGAACGAGGACCAGTATCTTTGTCTGATGTAGGCTGTGGGGCGGAGCCGGTGGCGCCACCGACGCGACCCGCACCTGCGTCAGGGCGGATGCCAGAGGTGTCGCGGCCAGGACGAGGACTGGAGCCCGTACCGCGACCGGCGCGGGTGGCCGCGTCGGGGATGCTGGTGTCGGTGGGACCAGTCGGCTTGTCCGTTGGTTGGGAAGTCCCGCCGGCGGAGACGTCTGTATCTTTGCCTGGCAGAGGATGCGGGGCAGGACCAGCGCTCACGCCGCTCTTGGCCGCGTCAGAGCGAGCGTTCAAGGCGCCGGCGCCGGCAGGGCGAGTTCCTGCTGCGCCAACATTTCCGGTTGCATGGCCGTATCCGGGTCCTGAACGAGCGTCTTCAGCCGCTGAGCTGACGTTGGGATCGTTATTGGACGTAGGTGCTTTGGTATTGTCTGAGGCGTTCGCGGGGTGGGTGGTGCTGGTGTCCGATGTCGCCCCGGCGGCGCCCGTGGTGGTAGGCTGATGAGCTGCGCCGGTACCACGCAGGCGACTCATGCCTTCCGCGTACTCTGCCTTGCCCTTACTTGCGATGGCACTGTTCTTGTCCCGGGCATCTTGGTGAGCCATGGTTGAGTCGACGGAGCCCAGGGCGGCGCCGCGAATGCCTTCGCCGATGCCGTGGGCGACTTGGAAGGCACCTCTTTAAAATCCCGTTAATACTGATCGACTCCATGAAAGAACCAAACGTACTTGATTTTGCTAGCAATGCCAGAGCCGCCACCAGAAGGTTTGGCGGCGCTTGTTTTAGCGTTGTTGGGGTTATCTGCGGGGTTGGACATGATGGTGTTTCGTTGTGAGATTCGTCGTGTTCTCGGAGAGGCAGAATGAGACTTTATGAATGGGTCACAAAAAGTTGATGACGCAGCGTATGCGCTCACCCCGGCGGCGAATGCAGATCCATGACGGTGCTGCCGCAAATGGGTAGGCAACGACGCCCAGCTGCGACAGAACTTACAGCACCTTTGAGAGCGCAGTTCAACATGTTGGCGCAGCCTCTCCAACAAGGTATGCTCCGAACCGAATTTCATCTCTGCGCACACTGGGCTCCGACTCAGATCCCACCCATCCACCAGCTTCTTTCGACATACAGCCTAATCTTTGAGCCCTTAACGCCAACGTCTTCTTGTATGCAGAGACGTCGATGGAAGAAAGCGCCTCATGGTGAAGGATTACAAGTCAGGCTTGTCAGAGAAGATAGGGCGGAATGACTCGACGTTGCGCCGTAAGTTGATGTCGCCAGTTTAGGCTGACGCTAGGACAGAGGCATGGCTTCCAGTGCATGCGACATCAACGCATCGAAGTAGCTCGGGATAGAGAAAATCTGTTGGCTATAGAGAGGATAGGGTCGATGATAGAATGCACATCAGTGTTGGATCTGACAGGCGGCGCTCGAGCTGAAGAGGGTGACAGAGTAAAGGTGCTGTAGATAATCCACAGCTTACTTGATGGTCGGATGCGAACAAGGATAAAATGAGGCCCTAGACTCACAACACTCATCTAAATGCGTCAGCCGTGTAGGTCCACCTCCGCGTCCTGTTAAAGTATAGCACATGTCGGAAGGCACCGGTGAGTCACTGGGAGTTGACTCGGCTTGAGGTTCACAGCACTTGGGAGCCATTGATACATCATAGGTGCAATCTATATCAGGTTCTGTTTGCACATCAGCGCGAATGTAAAGGTTGAGGCTGGGTTGTTTGTGCGAGAGCTTGGGTGCGCGTTCGGTGCGCGTCCGGGAGGAGGCTATGTGCTGCAAAGCCTATGAGGAGTCATGAGGAAGGTCAGACGCGTCTTGGAGAGACATTGTAGTCCAAAGGGAGAGCTGGGGCGCGAGTGCCAGCGCCTGTGATGTGTTGAGCTGAAGGGCGGGAACGGTCTAGAGCGCGATAAGGGAGCTGATTTGGCGCTTGATATAGAACGGCGGCGCCGCCATCAACGCACCCCGTGAGACGCGACGCGCCTTGTGATCCCGACGCCTGCCAAATCCGGTCTAATTTCAGTCTCCGCAGTTCTAATCGGGTAATCCCGCCTCCGCCACCACAGGCGAGAAGCGCGTCGCTTTCCCTTCTGTTTGCTGTCACCCGCCCCTCCCGACAACCGCCCCATGCATCGGCCAATCATGGCGCGTTCGTGCTCGATAATCACTGGAGCGCGTACAAACAGCCGACGCGCAATCAACGAGCTGCATCCAAACAAGCCGACGCACACGTCGGGGTATAAAGCGTGCCCGTCGCGCAGTGAGTCATCCAACAGCACCCCGCTCTTCGCAGCCCACGCAGCCCACGCAGCGCTCCCGCCTCCTCTGACTCACCCCTCTGCACCCGTATCTTTGCCCCTCTCTACACGTTCCCCCACCAAACTCTCACATGGCCTACCCAACCAACTCCCCATGGTCGACCGCTGGTTACCCCAATGCTCCCCACATGGGCAGTGTCCCCCTTCCCCCACCAGGCTCCACTACCCCGCAAGTGACTCCCTGTAAGTTGCCCTGTAAGCTCTGCATCATGTTCACTCGCTCCTTCCACCGTGTACTAATCCCAATCCCTGTCAATAGACTCCGCCCCTCATGCCAACCATGCGTCTATCATTAGCCTGCACCCTCTTCTGTCCTATGATCCCTCGGGCCGGATGATGTTCGACATCAGACAAGACCTCCGTCTCCTCTGCCTTCGTCCCCCATTCACACCAGACCAGTATCGCGAACAAGCTGTGGGCCCAGCGTCGACGCGTATGGCGATCACTGTTCCCAATGCTCCATACTGGCAGATCGACGTGTCGAACCCTCAAGGCGTTACCGTCTGGGACGTCCTTACTAGACTCAGCCAGGTCCTATCCACTACGGTCAATACGCAGGAAGCTGCTGCGCTTGCAGCGGGCATCCAGGCTGCGAGTGCCTCGTTCAACGCTCGGTGCGGGAGCGACTCCCGTGTCCGTGCCCAGGGCATGAAACGCTTCGATTTTCTCGGCATGAAGTTCTTCTTTGTTGGCTTAACGAGAGCTCGCGACGGCTCGGATCGCTGGGAAGCTCACTTTGCTCCCCGTATCTGAGTCCTGTTATGCCCACCTGCCTTGTCGCGGTCTCGCTTCCTCCATATTCGCGCTCTCCAGCATATTTATCTAGTATTTGTCTCTCCCCACTCATCTTGTCGACTTAAACCCTTACTCTCTCTCCCGTCTGACCTCGTCGCCACAACTCTGCTCTGTTCCACTCACCCAATTAGTCCCCCCGCCCCACCTCATCTTTTTTATCTGATATTGCTCTCACTGTTGACGCTGTCGATTCTATCTCCCTCATGGACACCTCATCTACTACCATATCAATTTGTCTAGACTAACGCACGGAACACTAGGTTTGTATCAATGGACTCGCTGTAGCTTCACCCTTATTCTTTTGTCTTCACTTGTGTATCCATATCGCTACTCGAAGAATGCTATTTGTTACCATAACATTCTTTGGCTTCGTGGGGTTGGCGTCAACTGGCGGCATTGCGATGGGTAAGCCAGGGAGTACTAATATCAACTGACACGTGATGCGTACGCGTCCACTCCTCGTCCCAGAACGTTCCCTACTGGAGCAACCTCCTTGACTAACACGCTCACATTCATTAAACTTCGAGCTCATTCCTTCACCAACCCTTCATTTAAAACTCTACCTGTCAAGATGACCACTCTCACTGCTATGTTTGTTCTCGGTCTCATCTCAGCATTAGCGGATGGCGCAGCGCTCCGAGTCCGCTACGACCCAACATCACCCTCACGCTCGCTCGCCGACATCCTCTTCTCGGATGTAGTCTACATCCCTGCATCAGGATTCAGCTTCGCGGATGCCAGCTTCCATCTCGCACCTGCCGGGCTCGATGCATCGTCGTCGCTCTTCCCGCGCGATCTCAACTTCACCGCTGGCACTGGCACGCCCACCCGGCGGAGCGCAGACCTGAACACGGCGCCGACGCCTGCGCCGACGGGGCAGTCTTCGCCTTCGACGACGGTTCATATCGGGTCGGAGGGTGATTTTGCGCTTTTGCTTCCTGGGACATCTTATAGTACGTGGTCTCCTCGTTTATGTTGTTCTTGTAGCTGAAACCGAGCTTCGATTTTCAGCTCTGATATCGGACGCGGAGGCTGATGGCGTCTCGTTCTGCACACCTGGCTCCAATGGTACCTGTGGTCAGTCCCTTCCGGATGGATTCATCACAGGTGCCGCCGTCTCTACCGCGCCTGACGGATCCTACATCCAGGTAATGTACCTCTTTTTCCGCTTTGAAAAACGTCAGGTGTAGACAATGCTAACGCAGTGTTCACGCAGGTGACGGGCTGTTTCGATGTCAGCAAATTCGCTTTTGCACAGGGTGATGCCGGCGGACAATTCGACGTCCGCTTCCCCAACGGCGCGCAGTGCTCGTTCGGTGGGTACGGCGCAAGCTTCATCGAGCAGTTGAGTCCCCGTCCCTTTCTCAATGCTCTTTCTTGCTTCTACACCGCATATACCCACTCCTCGCTCGCACATCTCCGAGGACTTCTTTTCCCTCGACCAAAATGAGCTTGATCGTCCCTTGTATCGCAGAAGCTGACAGACGCCCCACGTTGCAGGGTTGAACCCTCGTCGGGACGCTTCTGTCTCCGCTGCTGCGCACACGAGAACGATCAGGAGAACTGCAACTCGCACCAGGACAGGGCCGGCTGTCCGAACGCGGTCCCTGGGACGTACACGTTTCCAAACGCGGACTGCTCGTGAGCTGGCGTCGTTGCGGGGCGGTGTGGCGTGGCGTGGTGATTGCATTCTAACTTGTATTATGGACCGTTGTTTCTTCATTTCGAGTTGTTGAGGTACATTCTATGCACAACGTTTTGTAGCGCGACCCTGATTTGTATTGTTCCTGAATTTGATTTGCGTTGTATGGCGTTTCAGATGTAAAGAGTAGAGTTGTGCACGCGCCGCTGGGAAGCCGTGAGAGGAAGTCATAAAGTCGTCGCATTTCGTTATGTTATATTACATGGTACATAGCACGAGAGACCGTCCGTCCATAGTATAACATAGAGAAAAATGCATAAGGTTACAGAATGCGAGTCCCAAATAAAACACAGATAGCAATGACAGAGCGAGGATGAATGCGGTTGTCTGACGTAGCGGACGCAAGACTTTTCGGGGTTTTGAAAGGCAACGCAATAGCGAGAGATGAGAAGATGAGATGAGGTGTGACCAACATGAGCTATAATGAGAGATAATTCCGGAGTTGAGAATACCAAACAAAAGACCAAAAAGAAAAGAAGGTATAGGAAAGAGAAACAGAGCCAGAAACGAGTGTGTGATTCCTCTGGGGGATATCGAAGAAGTCAAGGGCCGCAACTTCATGGCTTCCCGAACAGCAGCTTGCCGGTGCTTGTGCCCGCAGAGCCCTTCTCGACCTCGACGCCGACGAGGCGCGTCTTGCCGTGCAGCCAATCGATCCGGCGCACGCCGCCCTCCCAGCCGCCGCCCATCTTGGTGCACCGGCTCTCGTATGCGCGCGTCACCTTGCGCTGTGCGCGGCTGCCGTGCCCGAGCGCGTCCCACTCGGCGGGCGTGACGCGCTGGAGGAGCGTCGTGTGCACGGCGTAAAGCAGGTCGAGGTTCGTGATGTACGACGAGCGGCCCGCGCCGTTCTTGGGCGGGGAGGGGCCGGGCTGGAATCCCGCGGGCGAGTGTTGTGGTTGTGAGTGCGGGGGCGGGTGGCCGCCTTTGGAGGGCGCGACGACGACGGGCCAGGGGAACTTGTCTGAGCGGAGGACGATGCGCGACATGCTCGATGTCGGCGGGTCCGTGCAGGGCTGGTTGAGCGTGTGAGAGGGCACGGCCTGGTGCGTCGTGCGGTCGAGCACGGTTCTCGCCGAGGGCGTAAAGGTCACATCGTACGATAGCGGAGCGCTGTGCAGCCGCGAGGAGGCAAAGAGGGGGTGCATGTGCATAAGGCTGGCACCGGTCTGGAGAGGCCGTGCGTGCGGCGGAAGCTCCACACTTCCATCTGTACCGGGTATTATGTCAGATGGACGTACTTCTAACACCGACAGGAGGGGAGACGTACAGGAGCGCGAAGATCCAGCGGAGGAGACGCTACTTTGCCAGGTGTGCGTCTTGTTCAGAGGAGGGCGGCGCTCGGTATAGCGCACACTGTGATGGCTGCCCGCCGAAGATGGCGGCGCAGGAGGGAAGTATCCTTGCCCCAGAGAGGTGTTTGAGTTGTTCCGGGACGAAGAGCCGAAAGAAGGCGTGTATAGCGGATACGTCTTCGCTGTGTACAACGTGGTCAATTGAATACCTCATGGGATGACAGGTGAAACACATACACTTATCCGCAGATTTGTAGCTGGCGCGCCTATACGTTGACGGGCGGCTGCTGTGGGAGGCAGATGCGTGCGGTGGTACGTTCGTTCCGTGGCCAGCGGCATCAAAGGTGGCATAGCGAAGGGGAGAGGGTGTCGCGGTGCGCGCACAGTAGCTGTTGCTTCGCTTGGTCTTGAGGCGTTGGGGGGGATTGCCACTCGAGGGGGTCTTCACGTATACGTAGTTAGAAGCGGCAGAAGAGGAGGCATTGCTACGCGGGGTAGCCTTGGAGGAGGTTTCTCGGGAGCGACTGGGTGTACTGGAGTGGCTTCCGCCAAAGATGTAGCGCATAAACGAAGTCATGATGGTAGCGGTGGTGGGTGGCCAAGCTGGTGAGTGCTTAAGGCTGAGAGCGAGACGACTATCGAGGACTGCGACGTTGATTCTTATACGACAGACGAGGCGGCGTCGGCCATGGTCTAGAACTTGCGTCGGTCATGGATCGCGCGTTCCAGACAATGGAGAGCCGGGTTCGTGTAAGAGATCCCCCGGAAATCGTGGTCCCATCATCGCCTGACGCTCCACCGACGTGAATGTGAAGAACTGCAGGAGGCATTTCCGAACAGGGATTCATAGAAAGAAATAGAAAGAAAACGCGAAAACGCGGCAGTGTGATCTGAAGACCGGAATCTCCGTGATGAACAGTGCCGCGAGCCAATGGACGCACCGGCGGACAAGCAGGCAGGTTGCTAAGCGAGAGCAAAGAGGGCATTGATGTAAAACGGGTGTCATCTGCGGCGCGAGTCTCGTATCAATGGGAATCGAACCCTCGTCTATCCGGCCTCGAGGCTGGCAAGCTCGGTTGGGCGGCGCGTGGGGCACGCGTGTTCCCTCTTTATGGCAGGTTCGCTCTCGCGCGTCGGTGAGGGCGCACTGCGCTCTGACCGACTGATGGCTTCCTCCCTTGGCGGGCGAGGCGCGCACAGCTTGAAAGTGGTTCGACACTGCACCAGACATGGCGTAGACAGGTACGCCCGCACACAACGTCGAGGAAAAAATGCAACTCGCACCACAAAGAAAGCAACGCGATTGCCATGAGATTCGCCACTGGAAGTGGAACAACGGAGTGCCCCGAATGCTATGACAAGGCTGCAGTCCATTTGCTCAGGGTTCATCGAAAGAAGATTCTGAGAGCGCGCGCCGTGACAGACAAGAGGGAATCACATACAAAAGGCGCGTACCCCTCCATCATGTCACACAGCAAGAACACACCTTTGCGTCGATCGCAGCTTCTCAATTTGATAGCGAGTGGATCGCGTGTCACCCACAAGCAAGCCTATAGACATCCTGTGGACGTCAGACGAGTAAACAGCGCCAGCACTTAGGGGGTCCAGTGCCACCAGCACCGATGACGAATTGGACAGTGCTCGCATCAGAGGAGCTACGCAAGCTTAGGATGCCGTATCCCGCGGGGCCACCCTCGAAATCATCTGAGATACAGGCACGATATCGAAGTCAAAAGATGATAACAGCTCAAGGTTCAAGAACAGTTACAGAAAAGGACACATACTCGGCTAAGTGACGAAGGTCCAAGAGCACTAGCAGGCTCAGGGTTCTCATTTATCGCAATATGGTCGCCTTGTGGGATGCGGCTGCGAACAGCTGCGAACCTTGCTGCCGATGTATTCAGATTCCATGTCATGTTTGTCTTTTACCGTGTCGGGACCTTGATCGCAAGGTAACCCAAGGAGAGGGTAGATTGAATTATCAGGTGATGCGTGTACACGCCGTAGGTTGATCATCCAAGAAGTCTAGATTCGGGAAAGGAAACGAGGCATGAGGATGACTCATAATGCATATGGATTCATCTTGGGATATGCAGGTCATTGAGATGGTTGAGCTTGCCTGTGATGGCTGTTGGGCAGTCCAAAAGCTGAGCGACGGACAAAGCCGGTGGCACCGGAGAGAGAGTGGCTCATCAATTGGGGTGACAGTCTGTGGACCATCATGGGTGCATCATCGTTCGAGCTTCAAGAGCTCGAGACCGTGCAAGGTGCGGACCGTCCGGAGGAGGGGATGGAGGGGAAGAAAGATAATGACCGTGTGAACTTCGGCTGGTGCACTGGTTAGGGGGGCGTGTTGACGTCGATGCCCCACTCTCTCGAGCGCCTCAATGTACTCCAGTCCTTGGTCTCTCCAACACCCCACGGGCGCCGCATATCTCTCATCATAAGCCATGAAGAAGGTCTCCGAGTTCCTGGACAAAGTACACCATGTCAAAGATACGCTAACCTCACGCAGCACGGGCCCAGAACTACCCCAGGTTGGGGTCGTGCAGGATCCCAGGCTCGAGTTTTACCGTTCGCGAAAACAACGTGGGGTCAATCTTGGTGTGTTATCTTATCTACACATTTCTTTCGAAACATTCTCTCATGCCGTAACAGGCTCATGGTTCGTCTTGGAACGGTGGATCTCAGACTCCCCCTTCGCATCTGCCGCTCCTCCTGGACAGAGTGATTTGGACGTGGCGAGAGGAAGCAACGCAAAGGCTATTCTCGAACGTCATTGGGACACATGGATTACAGAAAGCGACTTTGAATGGCTCGCTCAACGAGGAGTGAATACAGTTCGGTTACCGGTAAAACCTCTCCCGATGCAGATGTACATCCAACTGGTTTAACGTTCACGGTCTGCAGATAGGGTATTATCACCTCTGTGGTGCAGACCCATCCGTATTTCCTGGAACCGATTTTCAGTCGTACCAAACCACGTTCGAGGGAGCATGGCCCAGGATTGTCACAGCCTTGACGACTGCGCAGAAGCATGGCGTAGGCGTCCTGATCGGTCCGCTCAACCTAAGCGTTAAAATCTACGTGTAGCTTCTCTGACCTCATGCGTATCTATTTGTAGATCTGCACGCCGCCCCCGGAAAGCAGAACCGTGATTCGCACTCGGGGACCTCCCTCGATCCTGCGTTTTTCTCGAATGCTCGGCATAGGGCACGTACTGTCCACGTCCTGCGAATCCTTGTCTCAAAACTCGTCGAGCTCAGACAGAGCAACACTCCTCCCATCTTCAATGTCGTCGGTCTAGAACTTCTCAACGAGCCACAGCCCAACTCGCACGATGATTTACAAAAGTGGTACACCCAGGTCGTCCACACCCTCGCCCCCATCGACCCGGGCATGCCGATCTACATATCCGACTGCTGGCAAACGGACCAGTACGCCGCATACATCCAGGCCCTCAATGCGCCTCCATCCACCATCGTCGGTCTGGACCACCACCTCTATCGCTGCTTCACATCCGAGGACATCAGCACCTCCGCCGATCAGCATGCGGGTGCGCTCTGGGACCCGAACGCGTGGGCGCCGAAGATGTTCGCCGCTACCGCAGAGAAGCTCGCGAGCGCCGGTGCCGGCCTCGTTGTCGGCGAGTGGTCCGGGGCGCTCAACCCCGGCTCGTTGCAGAACGGCAGGAGCCACGATGAACAGAGGAAGAACTACGTCGCGGCGCAGCTGGCTCTGTTCGAGCGGTGCTGCGCGGGCTGGTTCTTCTGGACGTACAAGAAGGAGAGCCCGGGCGATACGGGCTGGTCTTATCGAGACGCGGTTCAGAGTGGCGTGTTCCCGGACCACGTGGGCGTCAGACGGCGTCCTGGGCTGCGCTTGGACAGAGAGGCTGCAGATCAGCGACGAGAGGCGGTTTTACGCGATTCGCTAGGTGAGTTTAGGCCGTCGACAGCATTTCGCCTGTGTAATCAATAGAGTCGATGCAGGCCAACACTCGTCCTACTGGGATCAGTATCCCGGACATTACGAGCACTGGCGGTTTGAGCACGGGTTTCGTCAAGGCTGGGACGACGCCTACCCTTTCTTCTCTTTTGACGATGAGAGTTTGACCTCGGTCTCCGAGATGGGATTCCGAGGCCACTGGCTAACACGGAGGGTCAGCGATCATGTCCACGCGTCGGGAAAGTCGAAGAGCATTTGGGAGTTTGGTGCGTGGCTGTCATCATCATGCAAACGGCAGTGACTGACGGCCACACAGAGCATGGCTACAATCAGGGGGTGGATGCTGCAAGAAAGGACTTTGAAACGCTGTGCGAGTGAAACCAATGCTCGCGGGAATATTCCTTCGGTCCCGGTCCGCCATACTCAAGTTCGGACTTCTACGTATCAGTGCTTGCGGAGAAGCACGCATGTATCTGTAGGTTGGATATCCTTGCTCTCTGTGTCGTATCAGAATCTTCTTTGCGAACTGCTGCGGCCTCTTAATTCAAAACGCACATCCCGCGAGGACTATTCAAATGCCGAGGGTTCTTCTACCGCTTAACGAGGATGTATTTGATGAACCGCGCTCGCGGGCGATGGCCAGACCGCACCGGCGGTGACAAAGATCTTGTTTTTGTTGCGCCTTCCGGACGTCCTTCAGGCACTGCCTACGCCCTCGCCCCCACACGAGGTGACGGTGTTGACTTATGCGTTCCATGACCTAGGACCTAGGTTGTCTTACTGATCAATGGCCATTGAGTGGATGATAGCTGTAAGTCGAAACGCCGCAAACGTGCTCAAGCCAGCGAAGCCCCTTCTACTGTTCCCTTCTTCGTGCTCACACACCCATTCGCTTGTAAAATTCACAGGACATTGCAGCTTAGCAGGACAGCAGGAAGCCTTCTGGAAGAGCATGTTGATTTTCCCGCAACATTGACCTTGTTGTGGATCAGCCACTATGTCACTAGGCTCCTTAAGTGCTAAAAATATAAATTTTATAAGTTACCATACATCCTTCCACCACTTCGATTCACGAATGTAGCAGTGTAAAGAACGTGGTCTGGGTGTGATAAATAATAGCCCAATGCTGAACCAGCGATACAAAGGCCGCGGAAATGAACTACGTAGGTGACAAAGAATAATGATAACAAGTGGCTTATGCCGCTTAGTGCTCGACATTGACAGTGAAGCTGTCGGTCTGGACCCAAGGCCGACCACCCTGTTTTATCGCAAGGTCAGATCGCCGGATGTAAATGACAAGACACATGCACCCACCCCGAGAAGAGCAAACTGCGCGAGCCCGATGACGGCCTTGCCCTCGCGCATAGAGGCCGGGACTGTGACCGTAAAGATCTGGTCCGGCAGCTGGCTGCCAGGCTCACCGTGGACGGCGAAAGGACCGTTGTAGAGGACGATGCCGATATCCTTGCTAGGCGATGGGCAGTCTACACCCGCCGGCGTCACGCATGTGCTCATCCCGAGCACGATCCCAACCGGGTCGGCAACCTGTCCGAATCGGCGTCTTTGCTGGGCCGTTACGGGCTTAAAAGCCGGCATTATATGTCGAAGAGTGCAAGAGAACCGAAGGATGTTGTTTTAGCTGGGATTGCCATTATGAGGAGAGAGACGCGGTGGCGATGGAGAGCTTCATGTTGAAGAACTAAGGAACTAAGGGAGGCGTCGCGATCGAGAGGCGGACAATGGTGCGAGGGGGCTCGAAATGTCGCTAGCAGGGCACTATTTATGCGTTTTGTCTAATAATATGAACCGGGAGAGTAAATTAGCAAGCGTCGGTCAGGGGAGGCCGTAACGTGGGACTGTTTGACAGTTTAACAGAGTCGTCGGTAGGCCAGAATTTTGGGCTTGAGGTTGGGGCGCACCCTGAGAGCTTCTGGGCTCATATACAACACAGCGGGGATTTTTCTGAGTAGACTAGCTATCAGGAAAGCTGACCGTGCATGTCACAGAAACATACACGAATTTTACAAGCTGAGTTCGGTCGTCAAGGCCCCGATATTAATATGTCGCTCCGAGAAGTCAAGAGAAGTATAGTACGGTGTGTGTGTGGTAGAAGGTTGCGAGCGCATGGATATGCTGCAACGTCACGTCGTCAACGATGTCTGGACTCTGGACGCGTTGTGTTGTGCGGTTCGGACCGGACCGTGATATGCCGCCACAGGGGCTTGTGGTATACACAGCCACGAGGCCCTGCGATTGGTCAATGTCCGTCGGGATGTTGAAGTGGTCGTAGCACCATGTTTTTCGACTTGAACATTCCCGTCCCAGACTCAGGGTTCAAGCCCACACAAACCTCCAAGAAGAACAAAGGGAAACAGCCTCAGACTGCTCCCAGTGCTCCCGCCCACTCACCAGCTCAGATCCGCGCTGTCGAAACACGCGTAGATCTCCTCATTCACTGTGAGTCCTCACGCCCACTTTTGCTCCAAGTGGAGAGCTCTCGTAACTCATGGGAAAGTAGGATACAATGTCATCGCCTTCTCTCAAACCGTTTACTCAAAACTCGACCAGAAGACACACGCGAACGTACTCGACTCACTCGTTTCACAACTCGCAAAACGCCCCGGCATAGTCTTCCTGAAACGTCTCAACATCATCTTGGATGCAGATAGCGAAAAAGGGTTTGGGCTGGTGCGCACCTCTTCACCTTCATCTCCGGTCTAGCACTGAACACTCTCGCTGCTCCTGCTTTAGACCAACGCGAACCTCTCGCTCGTCGAGCCATATGACCTAATCTCCCTTACGCCAACAACAGCCTCCACCTTCTCGCTCGCATGCCTCACCCACAGTCTCCCCTCGGCTCTCACCGCACACGTAATCTCCCTCCCGCTCACAGCCCCCCGGCTTCCATTTCATCTCAAGCATACGCTCGTGCGCACAGCCATCAAGAACGGTGCTGTCTTCGAGATCAACTACGCTGGCGCACTGGGTAGCGATGGGGATGGATCTTCATCTGCAGATGCGTCTGGCGCGAGCAGCAAGCGCAACTGGTGGGCTGCGGCTCGAGAGATCGTCCGCGTGACGAAAGGGAAAGGGCTGATCGTGAGCGGAGGCGTTGTGGACGATGCAGATTTCCGGGCACCGCGCGATGTTGCGAATCTGTGAGTAGTATTTCCCTCTTCAACGTAAACCCGGAATGCTCAGCTGGCACGCTCGCAGAGTTGCCCTGTTGGGGCTCGCTCAGAACGTTGCCCATGACTGTTCGACCACCTCCCCTAAGTCTCTCGTTCTGCGCGCAGGTGAGTATGCACCTTCACTTTTCAATAGGGGCAGATCTGACAAACTGTTGCTAGGGACGAGACGTACGTATCGTGCCGTCTTCTCAGAGCCCACAGTAGTCATACCTGGTCAGACAACACAGGGTGATCTCGCCAGCGCAGAGACATCTGCACCGGGCACGGTTCCTGACCCTGCACAGGCACCATCGACTCCAGTGGCCCCTTCAGCTGCCACATTGACCCTACCTCAAAAACCCTCCAAAAAGCGCACGAGGGACGAAGATCAGCCAAACCAGATATCTAGCAAACCAGGTGTCGACGCTCCTCAGACGGACGGAGAGGGCGCTCGGAAGAAAAAGAAAGGGAAGAACAAGGAGAAAGTGTGATGTGTGTCAGTATGTGCACCCTGTCCATAATGTGTTCTGCCTCGATGTGTATTCACTCGCTCTCGCGACCATTACAATCGCCCGCCATGCGCACATTATAACTTGTTGAGTGTCAGAAAATACATCCATGGTGAAAAGCGTAATCATCATACAAGTATAAGATCGTACAGAAATCAAAACGCGCGATTACATAGTACATGTCGCATATCCAGGTTACATGATTTTACAAATTCTCTATTGACATAAGACGTGAAGGTATATGTCGAAGGGACGCATAAGAGGGATGACAAGCCGAACGATGACTTGAATCACGTAAGTAATCTGAAGTGATAGAACCCGTCCACGTCGGGCGCCTTGATGAGGCCGCGGAAGTGCGTCCTATCCAGCAGATAGTCAACGCGTTTGACGCCCTGGCTCGACTGGAAGGCCGCCTCAGAAGGCACGAGCTTGCACCTCCTGGTGTACGCCCGCGCGATGTCCGTCTCCTCCGTCAAGTTGAGCTGCGCCCAGTCGACCTGGCGGATCGGCGTGTGCAGGCTCTGGTGCGCTGCAAACAGCACGTCGTACACCGTGATCGGCGGGGGATCGTCCTGCCCGCCTCCGAAGAGCGCACCGCCGCCGCCGCCGCCATAACCGCCACCGGAGGTGTAGTCGGCCTGGAACTCGAGGTCGATCGGCCACATCGGGATGCGGTCGTGTGTGATCCGCATGCGCGTCACGGACGGGTGGGTGCCCGGGACCTGGAGCGACTCGTACGGGAGGACCTGCGTCTGGCCGGGGCCGAACACTCTGACGGGGGCGAAGCGCGGCTGGGCGAGGTCGAGGACGAAGTCGCGCGGGAAGGACTCGCCGTTCAGGAGCGGGTGCAGCTGGACGGAGAGGGCGGCGGTGTTGTAGTTCCACGGCATGTCGTAGGTGTCCCATGGGGAGCGGACGGGGCTGTTTCCGAACGAGCGGCGGCGGCCATGCGTGGGCGATGGCAGCGGGATACCGAGAGTATTTGGGCTGGGAGGATGGCCCATGCCATGCCACGATGGAGGACGGCTGCGAGGTTGGGCGGGAGGCTGGTTATAATAGTTTGGCTGCTGGCCATAGCCGTCTTGCCAGGGCGCAGCACCTGTGTACGGTGAGCCTGAAGGTCGGGTGTAGGGGGATGGAGGGCGTGCATAGGGCGATTTTGGACGCTGATAGGGCGATGAAGGAGGATACGGTGACTGCGAGAAGAGGTTGGCAGGAGGAATGAAGGGAGAATGTTGTTGCTGATCGTAGCCTCCATATGTCCCGGTGTATGGCGTAGGCTGGAAAGCCGGTGGTGTGTACACGTAGGGGCCTGACATGATTCGTATCTGTAGAGAAGATCAAGAAAGCGAGCCTTTAATATGCATTCAAATGCTGTATGTCGTGGATACTTACTGCGCAGACGTCGGATTAGAATAAGTTTAAGGTTTCCAGTGGAGGCCTTCAGATTAATGGACAGTCGGTCCTCGATAACTCTGATATCGACTGATTAGGCCGATCTATCTCAAGCACGCATACAGGTCAGTTTTGATGCCACTTGGACGACAGAAATCATTTGCAGAGGCGAGACCTCACCTAGCGTCAGTTAGTGGGGGGAAGATAGCAGCGACTTGGGCCCATCAAGATTTTGACTTTATCAGAGCTGAGTTTACTTAGACGCCGACGCCCAAGGAGTCATCAGGCCCAGGTCTGCGCATTGAACTTTGCTCATGACGTGAAGACAAGGTCCGTGGTAACGTCACTAGGAAACTGGGGAGATCGTGTGTATTATAAGGTAGGCAACTTACCAGAGGTGAACCTTTGAAGTCTCCCTCATGTTTTCGTCTTTTTTATCTCCAAGAATTATAGCAATAAAGCTGAGGACTGGATGCGATGACGAGCTGCTGACGCGTCGATGTCGGAGGAACGGAAGGACCGTGCCGACGGAGCTTGACATAGACTCTTGGCTGTTCAGGGGTAAACATATTGACACCGACAAACGCCCCTCCGTGAACTTCGGTGCAACCCGAGCGGTTCTTTGCGCGCTTCGACTTACACTCGGGGACGTTCACTCCTCGCCGATTCTGGCTTTAGTTCACCGTCACGGCCCTCCTCGACTCGTCCAGCTCAGACACCTCCAGCAATCGCTACTCCAACTTGATCATCTTCCTTGATCATCTTCCGGCAGGTTCTGCTACTGGGCCCACCGTGGCTGTGATAGTGGCTACGTTCCTCGAACCGTGCCTATGATGCTCTCAATGATGCTCTCCAACATGCCTGGCTGATGCTGCACGATGACTGGCCGCTTACGTTGCTTCCAGGTCTATATCAGGCCCTCTGGATAGCATGGGGAAACCTGTGGAGTCGCAGAATGTTGTGGAACGTGGAGGTATGGGAAACGGAAGACATCCTTGCGACAAGAAGCGGCTCATCGGTTTTAACATGGCAGCGTGGACGACGCCATCCCCCTGGCTTTCGGACGATTCCTTCAAATCTTCTTTTGCGACCACTCGCCTCTGTCAGACCACGCGCTGCTATATGATCGGGGGCGTTGAATAGGCGAGTCCGCGTTCATTCGCACATTCTGTTTGGTAATGATAAACCGATGAATCCTATATTTCCTGAACACCGTCCTTTAGGGTCTAACTGGACTGGTCGCAGTCATCATTGCTCAAAATACCTTCGTCTTCTGCAAGAGCGTGTATACTTGATAGACGGCTACCGGCCAACATCCTCGTTCCCTGGTATCCGGAAGGATAGTTGTCTTTGGCACCAACCCATTCAGACAACTTTATCGCTCTAATGGCGTCACCAAGAGTTGCGATTTTCGCAGGAACACTACGATGATCGATCTTCACCCGGTGTTCGTCGGTGTTCGTCAATTCCGAGTCGAAGATCACTCAAAGCGCTGTAGTATAGACCACAGACGGTGCCTCACTGCCAATTGTCGGCGCTACACTTGGCTAGTTTTGTGGCTTGCACCGCTCTGTGCCTTATAGCTAACCATCTGAGGTCTCAACTGCCACCATTCTAGTGGATGGTAGCTTCTCCCAAGAGTCTGCTCCTTGTGGTAGAGATCATGCGGTCTGCATCCGAAGCGCTGAGGTCCCCATCATCGAAGAATTGAATGCGCCATCTCGCCGTGGGACTCAGTCATGCCGTCGGTTATGTGCTTATGGAGCTCATGAGAGATGCCAGGGGGTTGCTCAGTATTTGGCCTCGGTACCGGAATTCTCGGTTGAACGCTGATGGGCACTGCCACATGGATCACTACTCTTTGGCATGGCACCATTACCGTCTGACAGCTCTCGAAATCTTTGTTTTCTTCTTCGCTTTGTGCATGACATTAACTCAATACTTTTCGTTTTTCGGGAATGCATCTAGTCTAATCTTGGACTTACGTTTCCCTCGTCCACAGGAACCCGAGTTCATTCTTCGCGAGACGCCTTACTTAGCAACAAGAACGCATGATACACCCCCCAAGCCCAACTTCCGTCGGGACCACTCTGAGCTCGAGCCTGCAGGAACGCGTCTCTTTCCGGACGCCTCTCAACGTCCGCGGCTAGGTTGTTCCGAAATGATCATGTCATACGAATTTGCGTCTCATAAAAACCCGAGTTGATGATACCCAACAGGTCCATCAATTTCTCCTCCCTTACCTGCAAAGTCCCCATCAATCATATTGATGCGCCTCCTCTCCTTGGTGTCGGCGGCGGCCTACGCTGTTGCGTCTGTTACGGCGTCGAGCGTGACCGCGGCAAGTGCATGCACACAGATCGCAGCGGCGGTCTCTTCTGCTTCTGACGTGTACTACTTGGGTGAGTTGTCGGTTGTTGATATGCATTCTTCGCATAATGTGTTCACATTCACCGCGTCTTAGGCTCGCTGCACTACGCTAAGGACGTCTATCACTGGGCCAGTTCAAGCTCTCAGAACTCCGCTTGCTCTTTCGAGCCCGGTACACCTGAGGATGTAGGCATCGCAGTACGTCCCCGTCCATGAGTCGCGTGAGCTTTTCATTGACGCATCCGAACAGCTCCAGATCATTGCGAACACCAGCACACCGTTCGCGGTAAGCCTCCGTTGTTCCTCACACAAAGAGCCTCCGCTGATGTTTATATTTAGGTCAAAGGCGGTGGTCATGCTTCGAACCCTGGCTTCTCCTCGTCGACTGGCGTTACCATCGCGATGTACCGCTTTAGCCAAGTAACATACGATGCGAGCTCCGAGACTGCGGTCATCGGCACGGGCCTCATCTGGGACGATGTGTACACCGCTTTGGAGCCATACAATGTGAACGTTGTCGGAGGCAGAGTGACGGGTGTCGGTGTGGCTGGGTTCACCCTCGGTGGAGGTGAGTACGGGCTGGACGCGTTTTGTTTGTGCGCTTCGCTCACGGGGGATGTCAAGGCTACTCGTGGCTGACGAACCAATATGGATTGACCATCGACACTGTTGTGTCATATGAGCTGGTTATGCCGAACGGGACTGTCACCACTGTGACCGAAGCATCAAACCCAGAACTGTTCTTTGGTCTCAGAGTACGTTTTTGTTCACTCGCATTGCAATGTTTGTAAACTGAATACACCCATAGGGCGGTCTGAACAACTTTGTAGGTTTTCGAGATGTTCGGTTTGGCTGAAGTACTGACTGAATCCCAGGGCATAGTGACCAGCTTCACGCTCAAGACCGTCCCTCAAGGTCAAGTCTGGGTACGTGACGAAATGCTCATTACAGGCGACATTTCTCATCATCATGATATTTTCAGGGGGGTTTGATCACCTTCACCGAGAACGTGCTTGACCAGGTCAACCAGGCGACCGCGGACTTCCAAGGAAATAACACCGACCCCAAGGCTACGCTCATCACCACCTACAACTTCCTCCTGGGCGAGGTGAGCGATTATACCGGAGAGGACGCTACAGAGTAGAGCTAACGCATGGAGCAGCCTGGAGTTTCTCAGATCCTGTTCTACGACGGCCCATCCCCTCCCACTGGACTCTTTGACGAGTTCCTTGCCATTCCTTACCTCACCAAAGATATCTCGACTCGATCCTTCCTCTCTCTCGTTCAGGCCTCGCCTGCTAATGTCACTGCTTCAACTCGGTATGCACTTTACCTTTATCTTACTTTGTCTTCATAATTGACCCTCCTGTCCAGCGCTTTCTTCAACACTGTCTCCGTGACAGGATATCCGCTTGAGCTGGTTCAGGACGTCCTGAACGAAACGATCGTACGTGCCAACCCCATACCGTTGTCAGCGCGTCCACTGACATCACGCGCCAGTACTACGGCTCGACCCTCCAATGGATCTCGGGCGTCTTCATCTCCTACGACGTCGAAGCCTTCCTCCCCTCCCTCTTCTCACACGGCTCCAACTCCGCCTACCCTCCCGACCGCTCGCAGGGCCTCCTCCCGCTCAACATCTACTACGCATGGGAGCTCCCAACCGCAGACGCGGACATGCACACGGCCATCATCCAGTCGCAGGCCACGCTCAAGGCCAAAGCGGAGGCGCTCGGCCAGAACATCAGCAATGCGGCCTTGTATAACAACTATGCGGTGTACGATACGACGATTGAGGAGATCTATGGGGACAACGTGCCCAGGTTACAGGCGCTCAAAGCCCAAATTGATCCGAACAACGTTATGGGTCTTGCTGGAGGGTTCAAGTTCTAAGTTATCGTTATCTCAAAGACCTGGCACGGGTTGGACCATCTCTCTTTTCGAGAGTGTTTTCTTGGGATTCTCGGACTTTGGGTATATATATTATGTGTCCGTAGCTAATCTGTTCCGTAATGTGCTGTGTGAATCGAGCGCCTGATCGTCAGATTACGTGTGAGCGCCTTGTCCTAGGACGAGCTGCACAGGAATTTAGACATCTGGACTCTGCTTGCCAATTGAACGTATCCCGAAACGTAGCCAATCTGCGTGATGCGATGTCAAGAAAGAGGACCAATCTTCACCGTGCCCCCCATCCACTCAGCCTGGGACGCTGCTGTAAAGCGTCAAGTATAAGCACTACTCGGTCGAGAGCATTGTCCGTCTCACTTACTGTATTGTTGTGGCCCTTCTCTTTATAAGGCCAGGCTTGGGCGGTCCTATACGTGTCTTCCAATGAAAGTTAGGTATCATTTTGCTCTGCCATGATTTACGTGGCGTAGGTTCTGGCAAAGGCAGGGTACTCCGTCTTTCTGGAGGCACTTTCCGTGTAACCTTCATGTGAATACCAGTTTCACCATCGTTGTCTGCCTCACTCTGGTTAGGTTCTGCTACGAGAAGAGCAAAAGAAGACGCACAGTATCTGAGCTCTTCGTCATAGGCGACAAAACCTAGACTCTGATATAGCGATCGTGCTGCTCTGTTTGATTTCCGAACTGTTAGGTAGACTTCTCTAAGGCCATACGACTCCACAACTGCTTTGACTGAGAGGGAAGGAGAAAAGAAACGCCTGGGATCAAAGAGGGCTTGAGTAGTAGAATGCGTGGACGTACTCGAAAGGCCCATGAGCTTCCGCGCGATACCCATCCGCCTATGACTCCGAAGCACGCTAATGGAGTTAACATACCCTATCCGCTTGTAGTTCGTCGGTCGTCGCGGCCGGACGTGCCATCTATCGAAGAGCTTCCCAAGCTGAGTCGACGGTTCGTATATGATGGGCAGGTCCTCTCTGCAGACGGCCAAACAGAAACAGGACCCCGTGAGTTGACTCCGCACGCATCCAGCGACGTCCACCGGCAAGGAATCCACGTACATGATGGTGAACACGTATCCTACTATCTTCCCCCTCTGGTCCTCCGCGACGAACGAGAGCTGAGGCCACCTAACGAGGGTCGTGAGCCCTGCCAATATCCCACGTCGGGCGCGTCAGCGCGAACACAGACAGGCTCGGACGCATGGGCCTCTCCAGACGCACAGTACTTGGACCCATATGTCTCTGGCAGGTTGTGAAATCCGCATGCTTGAATACCCAGCAAGTCCTTCGGCTGTACAGCAAACCGCCAAAACAGACGCGCGCGAGTCGAACCAACGCGTCAGCCCTGTGTCACGCGCGGGCGACACTGACCCCAGAGGGAGGGGTAGGGGTGCAGGCACTCACCTCGGCCAACCTAATGTTCATCAGCTATACCGTCGAGCGAGCTGCTGGGTGTCGGAGTGGAAGAGGCGTGATCGACACCACGAGACATCAATAGCGTTCTCTTATAAAATGCTGTATTGTGGGTCCCCGCTCCAGCCAGCGCTTCTCCTCTTCCGAATACCGCACCAATCAGGGGCTAATTGGCCCCCCTCGTGCTACCCAAACAATAGCACGCTTGAAACAAATAAGACTAGGGTATCGTGTTATTGTGCACTTGATTCCTATGAGCTACATGCAGTTCTTCGTATCTATTCGTTTACAGCTTGTCATAATTTGTCATCGGCAACAGCCACAAAAAAAGCCCAGAGTAAAGGGTATCAAGGGTATCGTAAAAGCTGCGCCTTGTGTCAGCGCTTCCTGTTCATGTCAATCGTATGGAGGTGAAGCTGCCAAGTGTTGTCCGAGTTGAACGACACATGCATGCCGCACCAGTAAAACCTGTGCCCCAAGCAGTCGACACGCCTCACTCCGTACTTGCGCTCCCAACCGGGCAATGCATTCGATACCTTGCGTGCACACCGCGCGTGAAATGCGTCGTTCATGATCCCCTCGTTGTCCATCCCCATATCGCAGATTTGCTCATACTCGGCTCTCGACAGCGGCGTCTGCAGATAGTCGTGGACCGCCGTGAACACGTCACCGACCGTGATCTTCTTCTGCTTCTCGATGACGAGTGGCCCCCAGAGCGCACCGATCTGCGGCGAGTTGAACTCGACATGGACGAGCGCCTGCTTCGCGTCGGGGTACGTCGCAGACTCGCCCCAGATGCTCTTGACGGCGAGCTCGACATGCGCGCCGGATATGCGCGTGGCAGTACTCGGGTAATGGCGCAGGTCCCATTTGATCAGCGGGAGATAGGTATTGATCGGGTTCGGCACCAGCGAGGGGAACAGCTGCACTGGGAGTCGAGCTGGCCACGCTAGCGGAGGCCAGGTACCAGGAGTCATGGGCGTGTCAACAGGGGGCAAGGGCGTGCCGATTGGACCCCGTGGGCTGAGGTTCAAGGTGCGGATGGGTGTACAAGGGGTCATCACAGGAGGGCAAGGGGACAGCGCAGGAAGAGGCGTCGCGACACTCCAAGGCGTGAGGCTCGGGGTCGGAACGAAGGCATTGACGGGTTGTTGTCCGTGGCTCTTGTGCTTGAACGATATCTCTCCATTGGGCACCTCCCAAGTCATCTTCTTCGGAGTTGTCTGGAAAACGTTCGGTGTGACTGGTAAAGTAGTGGCCGCTGCGAACCCCCGTCAGCCAGAATCTTGGGATGATAAGATGTGAAACTAACGAACCAGAAAAAGGCGTAAATGATGTCGCTGGCTGACAGAAGGGATTGGGCGACCCGTGGTACCATGACGGGGGCTGGTCAACTAAAAAAGGTTATTAACCACAGCTCGATCGCGATTGAAAGTAGCACACCTTGACTATGAGACCTCGTTCGACGTCGCTGAGGCTGCGTATGGGGACGATAGTATGGTGACCGAGGACACTCGAATGAGATGTCAGCCCATTCGCAGTAGGAGCCGTGGTACGGAGATGAAGTGAGACCAGGCATGACTGGTTTGTCGAGAGTAGAGGGGAGAGCGGAAGAGCACGCGGGTAAGCGAGTGAGGAAACTAAGGAAGGAGAATCAAAACGATGAGCAAGGAAGGAAGCGACAGCAGTTACGGGGCCCGTTCACGGAGTGGTAGCGCACCTTTATATCCTCCTCGCATGCAGTGCCTCATCCCCGCCAGAATGGCTCCCTCAGACGGTGCGGTATTGCCCATTTCGCCCGACAACAACAAACCTCCTCCTCCTCGATGACAGCGATCCAGAGATGGACGACTACGGACGCCTCTTGGTAGCAGTATGGCAGAAGAATCATCGATTGATCCAGTGTCTCCAAGGAGCGGATGCCAAACGCAGGGCAGCTTGTAGGTCCCGCTGACATCTGGCGCCGGGTGCCTGGCTAGCACAATGGTTTTGAGTAAGCGCCCGTGATGGGGTTGCTCGTGTCGTTTCCAGCATTTGGGTCAGCGTTGTTGTATCGGTGACAGAATATGAAACGGTGTAGGTCCAGTGGTACAAGGAGGGAGGAGAACAACAAAGGGGAAGCAGGCACAACGCGCGGTCACCTGAGCTCGGGTACCGCCTTCCTCATCCGGATCCTTGCTCTTCTCAACCCTCGACGTTTTGGACTTGTCAACGCTGTGCTTGTCTCCTCTTATGGATTCGGAGGAAGATAACAGTTCCTGGATAGTCTTTACAGTAGGCAAGTGTCGACTTACAGAGAAACACGGCCCCTGGTTGACGTCCGGAACACAGCATTGTATCCTCAGCAAAGCTGAACGAGGTGCCCGACAGGTTCGTCATGACATTTCATACAGCAGGTTCAGATGCCAAAATCAAGATGCATGATCTCTTTCAATGACTACGGCTTGTATGCGGAAACTCCAGAGATCCAGCATCGCAGCATACGCTGTGCAATGTGGGCGTTGAACGATCGTTATTGCATATGGACAGTGAGATAAACACAGGTGTTATACGAGCTTTCATGACCAGAAATTCTAGGTTTCTCCATACCGAATGGCACCCTGCTGAGTAGGCCTCGCGTCCGCACCTACCACCATGAGTACAAAACTCATACCCATCCCATCACCTGGGCGCCGATGCACCGCAGATCGCTCATACTCCAAGCGTGCTCAGGCTGGTTCTTGGTTTCGTTGTTGCTGTTGTTCTTACGAGTGTTCTAGGCTGTGCGATGTCTCCTGGACGAGCCGGCAACACCGAGGGATGTGCTCTCACTTGCGTCGTACTCAGCGCGGCCTAAGCAGAGCGACCACACATCCGAGCCAAGCTTGGTGGGGACAAACCCAAGGAACTTGGTGTGCCCGACCAAGAAATCGACGCGCTTCAAACCCTTTCGACGTTCCCCTTCGAACGACGCGGCGCCAGCGCGCATGCAGCGGACACGGTATGCCTCCGCGACGCTGTCGCGGTGTGCCTGCGATGGCAGAGCCTTGTATTCCTCGGCGGTGGCACCGCGGCGGAAAAAGCGGTATAGCTGCTCGAGGACGTCGCTCACGGTGACGACGGACGTGGTGTTTTCTGAGGGATGGATGGTGAGCCGCCATGGGAGTGTTTCGCACCTAATCATCAGAGCCGCTATCGGTGGATTCGTGGCGGGCTGACTGAGAGCTGCTGCGGGGAGAGCTGTTGGCGATGGTGAGGTGACGGTTGCTGTGGAGGGAGATGCGGACACGTCATAGTTGATCGGTGGTCGTCTACTGTGGTACGCGAGCATGTCGTGGATCAAGACGGAGTTGGGCAGCTGGGGAACGTAGGCTTTCATCGGCGCGGACGCTTCTGGCGTTGTATGACCTCTCATAGAGTCTGCGCAAGCGTCTGCGGGAGTATCTACAGAGACATCTACGGTCATTTGTGCCGGCGCAGCTTCAGACGCATCTGAGAGTATATCTGTGGAGATATCGGAAGGCGCGTCTGCGGGCGCATATGCGGGCACCTCTGCGGACCCCTCTTGAGGCGCATCCAAGAGTATAGACATCTTCAGTGGCGAAGAAGACACCGGAGACTTGTCCCAGTCAAGCACCTCTGGCAGAAAGATCGAATCATAAGAAGGAGGCGGCGAAGAAATTTCTGAGGGTGGATAGGACTGGAACGCCTGCTGAAAGGAAGATGGCGGACGGGGTACCGGTGAGGACAGGTTTTCTAGATGGCTGTAAGGGAGAGCAACAGGAGACAACGCCATCAACGGGACCTCTGACTGGATCTGGGATTGGGATAGTGATATTGGTGAGAGCAAAGGTGATGAAGATTCCGAGACTGATGATTGTACAACACTACTTGGCCTTGGTATTTGTAGCTCGGCGACCGACGTTGGCAAATCCGGTGTTAGCGAACGCGGAGGTATCGATGATTTTGAAGAACTTGGATTGCGGAAACGTCGTGCATAATTTGATCCAGAAACCAAGTCAGAAGGGATTGACGGATCCCATATATAAATATGACGCTTATTGTAAGAGACAGTTGCGACGCGTGCGTAAGAGCCAGTTGCGAGTGTCTTTGTGGGTGACCATGCGCTGAGAGGCTGCCCGGTACTACGAGAGTAGAACTGTTTGTTGATCTCGAGAGCCACAAGAACACTGTCGACGTAGGTCGGTTGGACACTGAATGGAAGCTCAGCCCCAGATGACCCGCTATCGACATACAACGAGTTTATCAATCTCCCTGCAAAGGTCTGAGAGGACGTCATAGATGACACAGCAAGACAGTGGTCCTGGCGAGATGACCACAGTGCAATGGCAAAGTCGCCCACGAACACATGACAGAGGGGCGTGCTCAGCTGTGGATTCGGAGGGCGAACGGGAAGCCTCCCAATGATGGATAGGTCGCTCGAGTTCCGGAGATACACAGCTTTGCTGTTACATTCAGAGGACATGATCCATCTCCCGCACGGTGAAGCGGATACTGCGGTTGTGCAGCCAGGGGTGAGTTGTTTATGAAGCAGTTCCCATGGTACTCCCGGTGTTCGTCGCCAGCTCGAGATCGCAAAGTTGCTTCCTATAACCGCCACCATACCCTCCGCTGTACTTGAGCTGAAGGAGACAGAAAGAGCGTGACCGGCGCTGCGTCCCATAATCAGAGGTTGATCCTCCTCAAGGGTGACGATATTCCACAGGAAGACTTTTCGACCAGAGCTCACGAGGACATGTGTCCCATCGCGTGAGAACGTCATGGCGTCGTCGAAACGTAAGAGTTTCTTGTGACATGCGGAGGTGAAAGGGGCTGTAAAATGGGACGATGCAATCCAGCGACCAGAGGGAATATCCCATAGATGCAAGAGCCCATTTTGCTCCCAAGAGACCATACGAACGCCGTCAGGAGAGAGAAGGGCGCCTACGAGAAGAGGGCGGCGTGGATCTTGAGAGGGAAACGACGTAGCAACATCGACGGTAAGTAAATGAGATGACCAATTTGCTCCGACATCATGTGGTATCCTTGGCTCGTAGTGTGAAATCGCAACCTGGAATGATATGCGAAGTTCGCTGTTGAAAGGAGCAAAGGGAAGCACTTCACGATGAAGGTCCCGTGGCAACGGTCTGTTGGAAGAACAAAGTCCTATTACGACCCTTTCGAGATCATAACAAAGCTGCTGGAGCCGGTAACGCCCCTTTTCACTCCAGTACGAACGCTGTCGCGTCATCAGGCAACTGTTACGTATGTACGAAAGTTTCCGGCTCTCACCTCGATCGACTTAGAAGCGCTACGAAGCATTATTGGGACGACTGACAAGAGGTCTGCGGACACCATAAACTCAATCCAGTAAACAAGACGGTATCTGAGAAACACTCCTGCTGCTGGGTGGAAATCTTTTGAGCGAGTCCAATCTGCTAAAGATAAGTGGTCCGCCCAGCGAATGCAGGCTTCGCATAATTCTGCATCATTCACCATCTCGAGACGACGAGTACCTTCACTGGGATCTTGGGAGCAGAATGGATTTCTCTTGAGCTTGCGGTTCATAGAGTTTAGGTATCGTAAGGCCAACGCCTCATGAAAGTTTGGGTTGATGGATGGATCTTCGCCGGCTGAGAAGAGCTCCCACCATGGTGTGTGGCGGGGCTCGCTGGGTGCTTCAGGAGAGGAGAGGATTGATGATGCCTGTGGCGCGGATTCTCCGAGGGCACTTTTTGTTCTCCGACTATCTTTGGGGTATTCGCATTTCAGGCCCCGACGAGCACATTGGCTGAAAGTCAAGCAGATGAATAACGAAGTTGATAGCGTTTCAAACCAGCTCCCAAGTTCACTCACTTGCAAGTCCGATCAGGACTGTCAGCAGGTGGCCCATTGCATTTGATCTTCCGTCCTCGGCAAAATAAACAACCGCTACGAGGTTGGTGGTCAGCCGCGTTTTCTTTACTAGTGCCCATCAGTGGCCTGCCACGCCCTCTCCCGCGGACGGATATGGGTGAAAGCAAACGACCTGATCCACTGTCCTGGGCAAGTGTTGGGGACGGCATAGTGCGGTGAGGTTGTTCAGTTTTGGTAGCACGCAAGACATGGTTGTGAGTTTCCTGAGAAAAAGATGAGTTTTCGCTGGGATGTGCAACAGCCCTGGGCGCGAGCTGTTTTCTTTTCTTAACCAACCATGGGAATCCGTGGGCGAAGACCATGGTGCCTCCGTTATCGCCTGCTTTGCCTGCCCCATCTCCGCTTTCCCCCCCACCTCCGCTTTCCCCACCTCCGCTTTCCCCCCCTCCGCCTTCTCCTCCGCTTTCCCCCCCTCTGTTTTCCCCACCTTCCTTGTCGTCCCCACCATCATCGGTAGGAACGCCTGAGAAAGACGATGACAAGGAATCGTGTTTTTCGAGTGGTAGAGATATGATAGTTATATGCGACTGCGTAGGAAGTTTGAGGACTTGCAATGGGCCCGCTGCTGACGGATCATTAAACAGCCCAAAGACCTGCTCCAACGAGAAGTTAGGTCCACTAGCAAAGAACAAGTGAGCTTCTGGAATGCTGGAATCCTCTTGAACGATCTGCAGCAAAAGTTCGAGGAAGTAGGCCACGTTCTCGTATGCTGCGGGAGGACAGCAGTTGTCGATTCTGTCAAAGATGAAAGCTCGCGTCTTCGGGACGGAACGGTCGGCATTAGCAGCACAGCCTTCCTTCCACGGGTTCCGGAGACACTTGAGAGGTTCGTGGAAAAGAGGGCGAATTTGATCCACAAAAGAGGACTGTTCATGCAGGAGAGCAGGGTCTTGTCTGAGGGCCTGAACGACCGAACATCTCGCAGAGAAATGATTGCGCGGAACTCCGAGCTGATAGGCAACAGCCGGAAAGATACCATCCAGGTAATTGCGCCCGGAAGTGTTAGGTGAATGGCATACGAACTTTCCACCCAGACGGTCCTCCTTCTTCAGCACATTGGCCAAGGAAATCGTCACTGCTTTATCAGGGGGGGTCAGCTCTTTAGTGCTGTGAAGCCAGATGATGCTTCGGCGGCGTTCCCCCATGAGAGTCATTATAGCCTGGAGACAGCCCTTGTGGTCGTCGTCAAGACGCAAGGCGGCAGGGTAGCTGTTAAAAGCTTTGATAGCTATATTTTCAGATAGCTGCTTCCACCAAATATCGATATCGTTGTTGCGATCACGGGAGTTGCTCACTGCAAAGGGTGGGTGAGTCTGGGCGTGTCGTCGATAGAGGTCATTCACCCACTTGTACGCGAAGTGAGTTCTGGAGGCAAAGGTTCAAGAAGCGACGGAACCTGACAGCGCTCCCGTTGAGGGCGGGCCAGTGTTTTATAGCGGGGATACAGATAAATGCTGTAAACCCGATTGATATCGATAAGCCTGGACCCGACACAGCATGATTGGATTCATCTGAAGCTCATCGCCATATGCAGTCCAGATATAACATTTATGTTATCAGCGAAACCCTATTCTACGACGAACTTTATTCGTTTAGTGACCTTGTTAGTGACTAGCATTAGCAAGATGAGGACTCCTTAACACGGACAACTTGTCGCGTATCCACCATGGTCATTCTTTACACAGAGGACAATAAGACGTATGCTTTAGTAGTTACCTCAGGGTCACGGTCCCTGCAGAGAGCCTCGAAATCACTCAACGCGTCACAGATCTCTTGTGCTGAGGCGCTCTGTTCGACCCAAGAGGTTTAGAGCAATAATACATGATGCTTGTTTAGTAAGTGATAGTTCATTATACAGACGGGTACGTATCAGCTGGTTGTTAGGTACTATCTACGGAACAACATGTATAGCCATACCATATGTTCCTCAGGAGTGTGAGTTAAGTCAATTATACAGATCCGGAATCGAATTGAGATGAGGCTGGAGAGGGTTCGATGAACCAAGTGGCTAACGGATGCAGATGGGACGTTCACTCAGTGTGCGGGAACGCACACACGCATGTTCAAGATGCCAGCCAGCAAGACAGGTGGCGATGGTTCCCTGGAAGCTGGGAAGACGTCATACAGTGCGGCATCCTTGAGGTGACGAAGGTGAGAGAAAGGGTCCTTGGATGCCAGTAAGCGACGCAGCAGGATGGTGGTGGGTCGTGTAGAAAGCACTTTTGAGGCAGAGGACGGATTGGATAGTAGGCGCCAAAACTGAAGGGCGTCAGAGAACAGTGTGCTGTAGTAAGGACGTTAATGACGATGAGGAAGGGAAGGAGGGTCGTCACGGGACGTCAAATTGTCTATTTCCTGATCTGTGCAGTTGTTGTGGTGTGCCGTCGGCTGTCGGCTGTCGGAGAGGTGCGCGTCGGGGCGGACCCTTTGGCGGAGAGAGACATCGACGAGCAACATCCAGGGTCGACGTCGTCCACACCAATAAATTGCTACGAGACACATCTCAACGCTCTCGTTCACCCAAGCTCAGCGAACACGTTGAACTCGGCCCGGTGGGAAACGCGGCCGTCATAAGCACGTCCCAGGGCGTTCATTGCCAAACAGAGAATAAGGCAGTACTCAAAGCGTGTCCATCCTCTATTGTCCTCGACTCTCGTCTTCCTCTCGTCTTCCTCGCTCTGTCAAACCCTCAAACACAAACTAAACACCTCACGATGATCTCATTCCACACAATCGATCCAATTGTCGATAATGTCGACGACGATGGTCCGTCCTTGCCTCCCCTACTTTCGCTTTTCTTGCTGACGTACAGGCGCCTTGACGATTTACATGATCCCCAGACGACATGCCCCCGCTCGTAGACAACCCCAACCCGTCCATGACCTTCACTTTCTTCACCGACATGAGCCCCATCACCGCTGACACCACCGACCCCACCGCAGCACCGTACTCTTCCCACTGTTTCAGCATCAACGGCCCTCCGTCCGCCTTCGACGACATGCCCCCGCTTGTTTCCGCTGATGGTCCGGAGATGCGCGAAGCTAATTCGAACGGCCATCTCGGTGCGGGCGCCAAGCCCAAGAATGTCTCGAAGCGCGACGCGTCCTACATCCCGCGCCCGCCCAACGCATTCATCCTCTTCCGCTCTTCGTTCATCAAGAGCCAGCAGGTTCCGGAGAAGGTCGAGGGGAATCATAGTACTCTTTCTAAAATCATTGGTGCGCCATCATCTTTATCCTCTTCTATATCTACGGTCACTGACGGATTCGTGGGATTGTATAGGGAAATACTGGAAGACGCTCTCAAAGGAGGAGCGCGAGGTCTGGGAGGCCAAGGCTGTCAACGCCCAGGTCGAACACAGGCAGCGATACCCGGACTGGCGCTTCAGACCCGGTTCCAACGCGCTCGCAAAGCTCAAGATCAAGGATGGAGGAGTCGCGTTCAATGGAGGCATAGGAGCTGTGGGAGGGATAGGAAGTCGAGGTGGAGGCGGGACTGGCGCAAAAGGTCGAAACAAGAACGGGTCTGGAGGAGGGGGAGGCGCAAAGGGAGTCGGGAAAAAGGCAAGGGGGAAGAGCGACGCGGGCGTGACGAAAAAGAAACACAAGCTCAAGGACGAGCGATGTGCCAAGATTGCGGATCTGCTGATGGAGGGCAAGACCGGGGTCGATCTTGCGGATGCGATGAAGAAGTGGGAAGATGGCGGCAGGCTCGCTGCTGATGAAGACCATGGCGTTATCAACCCCTCCAACAATTCTGTCGTTCCTCCGCCCACCGTCATTGCCAGCACGACTCATCTCCAAGGTCCAGCTTGCGAAGGTACCCTGCAGGACGCATTCGGGGGAGCCGCACATGGATCGGGCGGCGCCGGGGTTGCATCCTATCTCCCGACACGTTGCAAGACACCCGAGGGAGCACCTGATGCACGTTTCGACGTGCCGCTAACGTCCATGTTTCGGCGCTCCTTCTCAGCGCCTGCAGGCAACGATTATAGTCATGCACATGCTGCCGATGGCGGCATCGATGACGCTCGAGCCCACGTTGCGCCTCCCGTTGCCGGACCGACTACGCAGTCCCATGTCCCCGTTTTCACATTTTCTTCGGGAGGCAGTCTTGATTGCGGGCCTATGTCTGCGAATGCAGCTTACCCCGCGGACAACCATATCAGCAACGAATTTTACGGCGCAGGCGCCGACGATGCCGGGGGCCAGCTTTCCCCGCTCATGCTGCCCTCCGCTTTCGACGGGAGGCCTGCCAGGTGGAATGACGTGCGTATCTTACCTTCGTTCTATACCCGTCGTGCTGATTCGACGCACGGGCAGCCATACAATCTGCTCGAGACCTCTCTCCCCGCCAACGGAGCCGACTGCCCCGCGCTCACGTACGACTCGCTCACGAGCCCGATCAACTCCCCGAACACGCCCAGCTACGGGGACACGTTCAGCAGCTACTCGTCCCCTGCCACGCCTCTCGACTTCAATGACGGTACTTCCGACGAGCCGCCCACGTTCATGCATGCGTTCGAGTACGATTATTCGATCATGTACGGCGGCGACGGACACTGTGTCGGGCAACAGTATCAGCCGGACCAGGTCGCCTACAAGGGATGGGACAACTCCGTCCCGCTTCAGAAGACGCAGCCGTATGATGCCTATGCGGATGGCGGCGTCCCGGTGCTCAATCAGCAGCACCAGTACGCGGCCGAGTCCGCGTCGCCGGCCCCTCAGCCGGCGATCTACGAGTGGTCGCCATTCGAGGACTCCATGCGCTGCCACGATATCTATTCCCTCGCCGACGTCTGCCAAGACGCGACGAGCATGCAGGGGATGAGGTATCAGCCTGCCAACGAGGCGTATGGTCTATGTTACTAACGGTGCCTCACTTCGCGATTGCACTCAGGGGCTATTTATCGGCCTGACTCCGTTGGCGTAGACCGTCAAGAACATGTTGTCTCTTTGTTCCACCTCTAACGAAAAGTGTTTAAACAAGTCAAACTCGCTAAAGCCACCTCATATTATCGTCTTCTCTCTTGTCTTCTTGCTCTGGCTCTCGATTCCCCATCTCCACTCGGCTGTCTGTTTCCATATCCTCTACTGTCTCACTATGCTGTCCCGCTTGCTCATATGTTTACCCCCATCATCTCACCCTGTATAACCATCATCGCGGAACACATCCCATCTCAGTCGATATCCATGCTCTCCATTGTACATATATGCTCCCACTGTATCTCGATCATCGCTTTCCTTGCTTCTTGTTGTACACTAGCCCCTGTGTCTGTATCGGAATTATGCCCCTCCCATCATGTATGTATCTCTATGGAATAAAAATGATGCATGGAACTGCTGTTGGATCTTTCAGCCAAACAGGATGGAGTGTTGTTGAGGCGGCGTCGCGATGATAAGACGATGGACGTTAGCGCGCTAAAGCAATCACGTGGTGTCGCTGTGTACGCTCTTCCTTTCCTTTGTTCTTGCGGTGACAACCGTGTCTACAGGGACCTACAACGATGCTCAAAAAGCGAAAACAACCGTTGCCTCATGTCTTGTACAGCACACCGGTGACCGTGTGGCGCGGGTGACAGCATTTCTGTTCTTGATCAGACATGTTTCATACAAAAGATGCCACCCATGGCCATCTGCGCGCTTAACAGCTGCTTTTCCCTTCCCCTCTTGTATCGATTCCCAATCCCCGTCGAATCGTAACTTCCGCAATCTACGTGAAACAAACCACTCAACACATTCTACTCGGATGATGTCAGGCTCCTGGACCAGCATGGGCCAACGCAGCCTCGTCGACCTCAACGACCCCCTCGCACGATCCCACGCGGTATCCTACTTTCCCTCGGCCAAGTTCGATGGTTTCCCGTACGACGAGGGTCTCGTCCATCCAGAGTCGACGGAAGAGCGCAAGAAGCGGGAGAGGAAGGAGAAGGCGGCGGATAAGCTCGCGCGGTCGGAGAGCAGGAAGAGGAGGCGGAGTGCGGTGTGGACGTCCATCAAGGGCTTGTTGAGTAAGTGTGGTTTTACTGTGCGTGCGAGATGTGCTCTGATCGTGGAATGTGGCTGTCATAGATGGAGACGACGATGGTCGTGTAAGCTATGGAGACACAATTGGAGCTTCGCTTCCTGTTTTGCCGCGAAGCGAATGGCGGCATTCGAGTCCTACGTCTTGGCCTCGTGAGTATATGCTTATCTTGTCCTTCTCTGCGCGGTGCTGACGCTGTTTTCTCTGCGTCAAGCACCAAGGCCAGCTTCGGCCATGTCGTTCGCTGCACAAAGCTCTGCAAACAGCCTCTCCAAATCGTCCAGCATTGCCAGTGACCGCCCCATGCGAGACTATAACATGTTCTCTCCGGTTCCTGTCCAATGGTACACCCCGGAACCAAGCCCTTTGTCGTTGTCAGAAAACATTGGCTCAAGTGTACTTGACCCACTCCCTCATGAAGTCACGTTGAATCCCTATCTGCGACACAACCCCGCTGGCCCAGCGCCCGTCATATTTGACATCAACCTCCCACCCTACGGAGTCACCTACACCGCTGCCCTCCCCTATGAAGTCGCCCTCTCCCCAAGCGACTTCGCCCAGCTCGCAACATGGCCGCGCGTGACGCGCTTCCGCATCACCAGCGTCGCCGACGACTCGTCGCCGCACCTGCCCTGGCCCGTCGACGCGCACAACCCGTGCGGCGTCACGCTCGGCGACGTGCTCACCGCGATCAGCACGACGTTCCACGCGCTCATCACGCACGCCGAGTTCAACGCGTGGAGCGGGCGCCGGCGGGACATGGTCGCGCGCGCGTACTGGCACCGTATGCGCACGCGGATGGCGAACAAGGACTGCGACTGGGACCAGATCGATGGGTCGGCGGCGCAGCCTGGTATACGGCGGGCGGATTGTATGGCGGATAAATGCATGTTCCGCGGGCTGGAGCCGTCGCCTGCCAGGGATGGGACGTGGATGCTGTTTCTTGGGCCTGCGTGAGTGGGGAGGGCGGAGCTGTGGTGCGTGGTGCGATCATGTACTTTGTTCTCGATTCGTCTCGTTTCTTTCTGGGCACTTTGGACAGTCATCGGTATCGGATTCTCATGTCTTGTTTGCATGTATCTTATCATAAGGATGGAATACTAAAAGCACTCGTCATATACAGCCTCCGTCAGCATAGCGTTGACTGACACTGCCTAGCAGAACGTTCGACTGCCAAACAAGTGGTTATGTCAGATGGCGAGACAGAATCTGCCACTGTCGATGGAGCGCTCGCTGGCCAAGTTCTGCACCGTCGTTCGGCGAACGGCTTCCGCAGCCCCAGCACTCAAACTTCTCCCTGCCTCCACGGAGGTGGAGCTGCCAGGGATGGGTCATCGAGAGGAATGGGAACGCATCACCGTCCCGTCTAGATAACGATACTGCTATATGAGTGTCCTCCAGCGCTAGACTCTTACTTTCGTGGGTTCACCGCAATTAGAATGCGGAAGTCTAGCGCTAAGGGACATGTATCTTCCATGGATCGGAGAATCGAGACCGTAACTCATGCCCGTGCGTCTAGGACAGTGAGTTGTGCTTCCTCGTAGGTCATGCGACTCTTTGTTACTTCTTGCGTGAGGGCGTAAAGACAATGTATGGCTCACAATGACTCATGCACAGGAAGTCTACATATGGTGTTCTCAGGCTCCGGGCGCTTAGAGCGTTTTAGGCGCTCGGACTTAACCGTTCTATTCATACTGCTGCCGCGGTATGTTGTACAGCATATGCAATGTGCATCGCTTTGTAAGACAACAGCAGCACTGGATGAGCTTCTGTGTATGTGCGGTGCTTGCTTTGTTTTCCACAAGGCGCTTGTTCGCAAAACATTGCTCGTTAGCGCCGAGTCGTATGCAGGCGCCTGAACATCGAACAACAGAAGCTCGGAAAAGAGATCGGAACATCAGTGTTACACTACAGCCTTTGGAGGCGCTGCTTTTGGGCAGCGTCGCAGGGATCCTCTCCAAAGATCCCCCGTAGATCTGTTCTCAAGCGGCTCCAAGGCACGGACTGGAGAAGCAGGACGAATCTGTCCTGTCGCCCGCCGATAGCCTTGGAAGGAGGGCGAGCCTTTGCATCCCTGGGCTACTAGTTAGACTAGCCCACAAAGACGAATGCGGAGCATTACCTGTGTAGGCAACTCTGCACCCAAAAGCTTAACTATGGCTAGATGGCGGCGTCGATGAGTCGGAAACATGTGCATGAATTATGCATCAATGTGTCCGTCAGCACAAAGGGTGCCGAGGGCCGTGACCGGCCAACAAGACTTGGGATACCGGAAACCATTTGTGGGGATGGGAGTTGATCTGGCCTAGATACTCATGCCGTCTTCATACGGCGTTTGATTCTTGAACTGCATGAATCCGAATAGGAAGGTCCTGCTATATCGATTGACTGTGGCGTTTGCGCTGGCCATTTGATCCGCGTACTCATTCATTTCCGCCAAACATAATTACACGACGCAGACTGCTGCGCGCGTCACCCTCATAGGATACTGAAGGTGGTCAAATGCAACAATCAGACCATATTCAACGTACGACACGGGTGAGCCTAGCCGCAGTATGATGCCGCAGACAGGATGGAATGTAGGACGCAGTTCCTTGGCTGAGGAGCCAGAAGCACCCGCAGTGCGGGCTTGCTCCTTCCCGAATAAGGTGTTAGTGCCATCAAGCGCCCTACAAAGTATGAGAAAAACAAGCTGACATTCGCCATGACCAGGTCGAGGGGCCCATCGCCCGCACCTTCTCGGCCAGTGGCGCTCGGGGGTGAACCGGAAGTGCATCGCGATTGACTTCGTATAGCAATTGTATATTCTGGACTCGGGTTGTGGAAAGCGGGATGGGGAAGTTACGAGAGAATGTGGGGTGACGGCCAAAGATAGATCGTATTGTTCCTCAGCGCCTACGGTAAATGCGAAGCTGCGGGGCGGTACTGGCGTTTAAATGACTCGCGCACTCTCGGCAGGGTCTGCGGGAATGCGCAGCCGATGACTGAAACAAGAAGGGGGCAGCCAACAGGGAAGACGTGGCAGAACGGCGAGCTTCTAAGGGCGCCAAGTGACGTCGCGTCGCGCAGCATCGTACGCTAGTCGGACGCGACGGACGCGGCACCCCATCTTGTCCGTAGCCCATCCATTGCGACGTTATCGGTTGCTCTTTCGGTGTATCGTAGTTTCTCGATTGTTCGAATACAGCACCTCCAGAGGGATAGATTGGGTGGGATGTACGCGTTTCTTCGGAACAACGCGGCAGCCATACGAGTGAACAAGATCCAACAAGATGCGGGGAGCTCATGATCCTATTCGCCCCCACATTGGTAGGCACAGGCGTAGAGACAAACATAGCGAGAACGAGCTTTAGGGGCAAGCATATGCAACAAGGGAGGGAGTTCCACGGTCTTGTTGGCCGCTTGTCACCTTTGCAAGAACTGATCCTGTGCGCCAAGTCGCCAAATAAATGTGGGCGCTTATGAGATACATAGACGGGGCATTCCAGAAGCCGGCCTGAGAGGGGGCGGAGGACGAAAAAGAGGGGGCTGGTCGACGACACATGCGGTATGGCGTGGAGCGGGAGGGCGGGAGGCTGTTCTAGACGACGGGCGCCAGGGGAAAGGTCGGGATGGGCGGTGCCGTGGATGCCTTATCGGGTAGTGTCGTCATGGATAACAACTGCAAAGCCAACAAAGACTGGGAAAAAAGCGCATCTTGTGCTGTAACTTGCTGTGCTTTCCCCTCGACGAGTAGCGCCCGTCCCTTCTCTTCAGCCAGACCGGGTGCCTAATTAGGGCGGCGGTTCACGCCCTAGCTTTGTTGCAAGGCAGTTCGAGTCAGCGATCTGCGGCGGAACGGTAAATCCACAAATCCTAGTCATTTCCTCTCCATCCTGTCAACGTTGACCGACTTCGGCTGCGGCTATGTCTGCCCATATCTGTCACCTAGCCCGACGTGGTATCGCGTTCTATAAAGCCCCTAGGTCCCCTCCTCCCCATCCCAATCCAACCAACCAGGGCAACCGCTCCCATCCACTCGCACACAGCTCTCCAGACCGCATATAACCAACCACCCTCGAACCCACAAGGTTCCTCAAGACCCAGCCCACCTCTCTTCATCATCACCACTTACCCCACACCACCCATTACAATGCCAGGAAAGCACGTCCGCTTCGCCGAGGAGGACATCATCTACTCCCCGGCCCCGTCCACGCCGTCGCCCACCTTCTCGGAGCTGTCCCTCCCATCCACCACCGGGCCCATCACTCCTCCCCAGAACACCTATGTTCCTCTCCCATCCGGCCCCGTATACATCCACCCCATGCTCGCGTACCATAACCAGCGACCATCACTCAACTACGACGCGTCTGCCTTCCCTTCCACTGCATCACTCAACTCGCACTCGTCACCCTCTGCTATCCCCGCACATGCCCTCCGCGAGCCCGCCACGAATCCACCTATGGCGGCTCTGACGCTCAAGTGCGAGATGCTACCATGGCAGCTCACCATCTGGCCCTCGGGTGGCGCTTCGGTCGTCACCGTGAGCGACGTCCTCGAGCAGCTATACCGCTTCCTCCGCCTCGGCGCCACCGCCGAGGAGTACAAAGCCCTGCCGTCGCAGGCACACCGTGACGCTGTCGCAGAGGCATACCGCGCGCGCTGCATGCGCGCCGGCGCCGCGTCGTTCGAAATCGAACGGCGCAAGGGGCTCAAGCGCGTCGATTTCCTCGTCGGGCACACCAAGTTTCTTGGGCTTATCTGCACCAAGCTGGGCCCGAACGTGTGGGCACTCCACTTTGGCCGCTCGTTCCCATAGGCGACGTCGTCGTCGTCTTCGGCCCCGCTTCTCAAGATACCCCCGATACCCCAGCCTCGCCGTGCCTTGCACTGCCCATATCATATAAATATTGTATTATCGACCTCTCGCATACGGACCCGCACGCATACAACCAGAAAAGCAAACATCGAACCCATGGACCTCTTTTACTGTAGCATTTCTCATGTCGCTTCCCCATCTGCATACCCCATACTCTCTCCATGATTCCTCCTTACGTTAGTGTTTTTCACGAGTTTCTGATCCAATCACGCCGCCATCACCATCCCATAAAAGCATAAACCCCAGTCAACGCAGTTACCCCATCGTCCCATTCAACCCATACCATGTATAGATAGATTAGTGTACCTTTCGGCCTTTCCTTGGTTTTCTTGTTCCTGCCCTAATCCTTTGGCAGCGTAGTCGTCGTCCTTCACGCATTGCAATGCTTTACGTAGCGTATACCACTTACGACGATCGAGATGTAGATGATAGAGCTACGCCTTTCTGATGAGAATTACAATGCCCATGATGCATCACACGGAATACAATGCGTGATCTATCCAAATCGCGAATCACTTGTCCAAACGTCAGAGTTGTGGGCGTCGCTGCACATGGTGCTCGATGCGCTATTGTAGTGTGGGGTACTAGGTAACCATCCCTGATGTTTGTTGTTGTCTCCCGTCTATCTCTGTTGTTTTGGCCAACGTCGTTGTTGACGACAGCCACTGATTGACTTGTTGTGTACCCTCGTTGTTAGCTGCGTTGGTCCAGTCCAAACAGCGTTGGTAGCGGAGGCAGATGGAGGCATATGGATGGGCACTGGCGTGTTGATCAAGTGCCGAGCCTAGACTTGTGGGTGCGAGCTAAAAATCTAATCTTATCGTATAGCCACCAAGGCACATAAATTGTTTCCCAGGCCTCGGAGTACGAAAATAAATTCAACTCCACCTCGGGGCTGGAGCCACTGGAATGACGGTCCGGCGCATGGATTGGATCCACTCGACCCCGCAGTTGGACTGAACTCATATTTGCGTCATAGGCTTCTCAAGAGGCATATAAGCCGGGATGAGGTGTGTAAATGCGTTACAATTCATCTCACATTCACGAACACAACCACCACTTTATCCAGTTTACTCTTCTCAAAAATACATTATGTCTAACCCGACGAACACGAATACGAATACGAACCCCACCACGAATACCTCTGGCGGTGCCGGCTCAGGAGTTGGTGGCAAGATCAAGTTCGTCTTCTTCCGTGGTGTCGCTTGCTCGTAGGCTGATCGTTGATTCATCTTATAGGGGTGCCTTCCAGGTTGCTCAAGGCGTCGGCGAGAGCCTCCGCGGCACTGTCCTCGGCGCTGCCGACTCGTCCATGGGACACGGCGACGCCCAGGCGAGGAACAGCGACATTGCGGCCAAGGGCCAGTCCCAGTACGCCGAGGGCATGAATCGCATACGCGGCACCGGCGCCAGCCAACAGCCCGCCAACACGGGCACCACTGGTTCAACCTATAACCCTCCGGCGAACCCCACCAACTCCACCAACGCCTTCAACTCGTCGACTGCGGACCCGAACGCTGGCTTCAACAGCGCAGGCGTGGGTCAGGGTGCCGGTTACGGGCACGGTACGGGCAACGTAGGTGCGGCGGGTGCGGGTCCAGCAGGCGACAGTACGGGCACGGGCGTCAACACCGGCGCTGGCGTGAGCGGCACGGGCACGGGTCCAGCTGCGCAGACGATGGCAAGTACGGGTGTTAACCCCGCTCAGCAGGGTGGGACGGGATATGGCGATGCCTCGAACGCAGGAAGGTACCCCGCCGAGCAGCAGAACTTTGACAAGAGCTCGCGCGACCCTTCGACGATCTGAGCGTGTGATGGTAGACGTGCATAACATTTGTAGCGATATTATAACCCAAGTGTAATCCTAGACGAATAATACCTCTCGTATGTAGACTTCAATCATAACGCTGTCGAGATACACTGCGATCTGCATGTAAAGCCTAAGTGACGTTATTTCGCATTAGTAACTTGAAGTAGCGCGTCGTGCGTCTCCGAATCACTTGTTCTTTACCTTCACTCCTCTTGTCAGCTTCAAGCCTGCATAGCTACTCTTCATCACGATAAACGCATGCTCAAGTCCACTCTCGCTGGCGCGACCCTTGTTACCTATCGTCTTAGCTCACGCGATGGCAACGCATCTTTGGGGCTCCGCATCACTTGCGCAAAGTAAGTATTGCCACTGCGTCCTCGACACCACACTATTAGTACTGCGCCTCATACACTAGCTCCAGATTCGGAACAATAGCCATCCTCGGCCACAGCTTGATTACCGATCTTCTTGAGGTATATCTTGCATATTGAGCTTCCCGTCCAAGGATATCATTCACTGCTTTGCTGATACTTGAACATCTCTGCGCCGTTACAGAATGGCAACACTAGGCTATCCGCAGTTGTGGTGTGCACTGCCCTTGTTCTAGTTCTATTGGTACTGTCGAAATGCTCAGACATCTTCCACGCGTCCGACCTATCCGACTCATAGCTAGGCTGCGACGACGATCATTCGAGTAATCGCCACTGTATGTCAATGCTCTTCTCCGTGTACCTCTTCGCCCATACTTGATGCTTGCATCGCGACTCAGAATTCCAGTATCCCTTTACAGCTGATGATCTCACGCACCGACACGTGTAAGCGTCTTGTCCATCGCTTTGGCGTTGCTCAGGCTTAGCTACGTGGTTACTCGAGGCTCTGCGCGGAGCTGCTTTGATCAAACAGAGCGTCTTGGCCAAAAAGGCGGTCCGAGGCCCCTCAAATCACGTCCAACGCCTTTGCTGGGACCATGGCAGCGAGGAACATGCACCTCTTGATATCTCGTGCGGAGACTAGTGAGGCAAGCTGAACGAAAAGAGCTATCCGACATTCGAAAAGATGGTATTGGATGGGAGTGATTCGACGATGTTTGGCAGCGAACGCGCGTTATCGTTCGTGCTGGCCCATCTTTGGTTTAGCCCTAGCTCTTAGGCTGCCCGTGCCGTTTGAGTTCGTAAGGCTCTACCCCGAAACACCGATTAGAGGGACGTCAACGAGCATCCACCCGAATCGAAAAAGGCTGAAACCTAGACTTTGTATGGACGAGAATAGGTGCCGTGTATGCCTATGGACTATTAATCGTATCTTCAAGCAGATGGTCGGCTTCATCACAGAAAGTGCGGCCGGACAATCGACCACTGTGGCCGTTGTCAGAACAGGGTTGACCTTATCATGCATTCTGAGAGATTACATTCATATACGAGCTCTTGTAAAATATATCGGAGGTCTGCAGAACTCGAATCGTGTCTGCAAGGCGCTGTGAAGTTCATGCTCGAATTGTAAAGCAATGCGAGATTTGTCTAAATGGGGTGTCATTTGACAAAACATCAAATTAGCTTGTCATTGTCATTCTATTTATGTCGCTACCTTGCCAGATTCGCATTTGTTTGATACGCAAGTACAAGACTACTCACACTCTGACAACGGGCTTGTACACGCTGGCGCACTACGCCGGGATAAGGTTAGGGTTAGTAACTCACGCGTGTACAGCTCATGTTCGCGGCAGTGAGTTAGGTGGGCTTTAGTTTTTGGGGCCGAATCCAACATGTGCTGTCAAAGGGAAGCCGCCCAGAACAAGTGTTCTGCCCAAGAGCGATTTCCTGTATGTGACAACGCATGTGGAGCGGTGAAGAAAACAACATGGACTCGAAAGAGAACATTGACACCGCCGCGAATTCATTTTCAGACTCCGATGACATATGCGGAAACTCTCCTATGTTCTCCTTGGCTGTGTTCGTGACCATCGCGTTCTTCGAAATTGATTATACATACCAAAAGCCAACATAGCACAGATTGATGACCCCATAATGTCGGAATGCGGAAGTAAACTGCTCCGATGACGGTTCGGGAGGTTCGGGAGAAGCAAGAGAAGCAGAGAAGCGGGAACGGGTGAAAGGACAGAAGGGCGTAGAAGAAGCAAAATGACTTTGGAATGCCAGAGCTTCTGGTACTTAAGAAACGGGTGTCTCTTGCCTGAATTCCTCTCGCCGCCAACCTTCTCCCCGTCATGAAGCACCCCCCCTCTCGCCACCTGTCGTCTCCCCATCACAACGACATCAGCGCCAAGGCTGCTGACAAGGACAGACTGCCTACCAAGGCAACAGATGTGCATCCTGGCCCTCAAACACAGTCCCCACACCCTCTCGTGCGTTTCTTCTGTCGTGTTTCCGAGTCTAACGCGCCTGTCATGTAACCTATTATTATTCTTATTATGGTATGTGCATTTCTCGCGCGCCTAGTCATGTACACCTCGCTTTGTATGTGCCTTATGCTCGCCTGCATTTTGTGTACTCCCTTGCATTGTCAGCGCCTACACTTCTCTTAATCATGTATTATTAATTTATTTCTGTTGTACATTAGTTGGGTTCAAAAATAATATGACAATGCAGGACAATAAGAAGTGTGCTATAAATTATAATCGTAAATTTTGGCTTGTAAGAGGTGTGATTAATATATGGCCACTGTACTCATGACGTTGCACTGGACACAGTCACTGTGCCACCTACAAAGGCCATAGTGCCTGTAAGCAGACCCAGCCTTGTAACATCACTCGGGTCTTGACACGGTCACTTCAACTCTTGTCAAATCCTCCTTGTCTTGTCAAAGCTGAAGCTACTTTGTTTGACTTGTGAGATACCCTAAGTCACTCCGGCTGCTGTGACCCCTGTAAGCAATTGTGGGCCTTATTGTCGACATGTAAGCCCAGCGCACTTTTAGTGATGCTTTTGTGTGTGGTTGTTTGGCTGCCAATCCCCTCTCTGCTCGCCTGTATCCCACGTGGGTCGTATTGAATGTAATTGTGGACATTATAAGCAAACAGCTAAGGGTATTAGGGTTAGATTAGGGTGTGGGTGAACAATTTCACAGGATCTGTGTGATTTTGGCACAATGACCTCCCTCAAAATGACATGATGACATTTTGAGGGTGCCTTTACACACCTTTGACCCCTCAAAACAACATGATGACATTTTGAAGGCGCCCTTACACACCTTTCACTCCCTCAAAATGACATGATGGCATTTTGAGGGTGCCTTTACACACATTTGACCCACTCAAAATGATGTCGTGACGTTTTGAGGACACTTTTACACACCTTTCACCCCCTCAAAATGTCAAGGTGTCATTTTGAGGGACAGCAAAAAGATACAAAACACAGTTTGAGTGTGTTTAATGCCCTCAAAATGACATGATGACATTTTGGGGGGAGACAAACTTCGCAAAACACAGTTTGGGTGTGCCTAATGCCCTCAAAATGACATGATGACATTTTGAGGGCACCTTTACACGCATTTGACCCCCTCAAAATGACATGATGACATTTTTGAGGGCGCCTTTAGACACCTTTCACCCCCTCAAAATGTCAAGGTGTCATTTTGAGGGGAGACAAAATTTGCAAAACACAGTTTGTGTGTTTAATGCCCCCAAAATGACACGATGACATTTTGAGGGCGCCTTTAGACACCTTTCACCCCTCAAAATGTCAAGGTGTCATTTTGAGGGGAGACAAAATTTGCAAAACACATTTTACTTCTGTTTACCTCCCCCAAAATGACATGATGACATTTTGGGGGGTGAAACTGTTACAATTTGCCACTCGCTTAGATTATCAGTTGTACTCCATTCACTCTACTGAGCTGTTGTTTGTTTAGCTTCAACAGAAACAACACTGCTTGTTTGCAAGTGGGCTCCCCAAAATGTCAGTGTGTCATTTTGGGGGAGGTTGTGCAGGTCCAAAGGCTTCAGCATTGCCATCATTGTACAGAAGTCTTTCGAGATTTAGCTGAACAAGAAGGAAAATGGCTTTACGCTAGCACAACACCACTCTCCTACCCAGATGGACGGTCGTGTAGTGTCGCACTAATCCCAGTCACTAGTACTATTATTAATTCTAATTACTATATAAGGTTAATCTCTGACCCGATTATGAAAACTTTTGAGCAATGACTACACAACTGACCCTCTGGGGGAAATTGCAGGGGCCGGCATGCTCAGCAGGCTCTGGCTATATCTATATAAAGAATCCTGAGCCGGCCAACATGACCAAGTCTTCCAGCAGTTATGTCTTTTGTTGATGAGTCCTCGCACTTCCTCCTTCATTTTTGTTCTCTAATTTTGATTATTCACATGTATTTGTCTGTGAAGTACATAGCATTGTTGTATCAGTGGCCAAGCAGCCAGCTCAGAGTGCACAATTTGGACATAGCTGAGCCAGCTGAGCATGCCAGCCCCTGCAATTTCCCCCAGAGGGTCAGTTGTGTAGTTGGCGCTCAAAAGTTTGTGATTGGGTCGGAGATTAAACCTTATATAGTAATTAGAATTAATAATAGTACTAGTGACTGGGATTAGTGCGATGCTACACAACCATCCATCTGGGTAGGAGAGTGGCACAACACATGTCCCTTCCCTCTGACATGTCAGAACTACAACTAGTATTTGACCCTTTATGGCTTTATTGGTTCAACCAGAAGCCTCCTTTACGGTGATGTTCCTCTACAAGGTCTACAAGTAAACACCGCCTTCACACATCTACACAGGCGCTAGGTACCTCAGTAGGTAGTATCAGTGTCTTACACATTCACGCACTCATGTGGCTCCGCGTCCATCGCACTGAGCCATGTACATAGCTTACATAGCCGTTCTACATTACCATGGGACTCGGTGTCAGATTTACGTCTAGTATTCGACCCTTTACGGCTTTATTGGTTCATCCAGAAGCCTCCTATACGGCGATGTTCCTCCTAGAGGTCTACAAGTAAACATCGCCCTCATACGTCTATTCAGGCGCTTAGTATCCCGTTGGTACTTTAAGCGCTTATGCACTCGTGTGGCTCCGCGTTCATCGCATAGGGCCACGTTCTGCTTACGTAGCCGTCCTGCATTACCGCGGGATTTGGACTGTATAGTAGTTACGAATACGGTAGTGACTTCACACGCTCCTGTCATATATATACAGTTGCTACCATGAATATCATCTAAGTCTTCTCTCTCCACCGAACAACTACCATTGTCAGCTATCAGCCTAACCAGCTACCTACTCAACCTTCAACACTAACTGCCCGGTGAGTTCGCGCTTTCATAGACTTCCTAGCTATACTCGCGTTGATCCTTTGTCACTCGGACTATATAGCATCACAAATACGGTAGTGACTTCACATGCTCCTGTCATATATATACAGTCACTACCATGAATATCAACCTTAGTGTCTTTCTATCCCGAACAACTATCATTGTCAGCAACCAGCCTAACCCGCTACTAACTCAACCTTTAACTAACACCCGGTGAGTCTGTGCTGTTATAGACTTCTATGCTATACTCGCGTTCGATCTTTGACATGACATGCAGAGCATCTTGTTTGCAGATATAGGTGTGTCCACTGCAGTCACCCCGCAGCCTTCAAGCCTAATGTCTTCATTCAGATACTCTTGGTGGTAACCTTCCAGCTGTCCATATCCTGCCCAGGCTCTAAGAGGTGCATCCTGTATAGTTTTCAACATCAAATCACCGTGCAAATAATGATGAACACAGGCATACCCCAATAGATGAGCCCTGTCTGTTTGAGCTAGGTTCTGTAACCACATGCTTGTGCGCTGCTGGCTCAAGTACATGGAGGAAGGAGTTCCAGGCTTTTGTTGCTCTCGCTGTCAGCAATGAAGTGAATGATATCTACAAGGACAATACCTTCATCACGCACATGACTTTACTACCACTGCTTTTACGACTGTGCTAACTTCATGTTTTCCTTAGGTTCTTTCACACTGGCAGCTGTGAGTTTATGGACTCTCACTTGGGTTCCATTGACTTATATTCTCTGTAGCAGAGGTGCACAAGCTCCTCGTTTTGCTGAGCCCACTGTGGGTTACCAGTACCTTTAGAGGAGATGCCTCTTGGAAACATCTCATCAATGAGTTCTCTCAAAGGCATCAAACTGATGCACTTGGGTACAATGAACTCCACCTGTTGCCCTATGGGTGTCATCCCCGGCAGGATCATCAACTGTAATGTCAACCTGACAATGTGTAGGCTGATCTCCCGTCTCCCAAAGTGCGAGGTAGTATTGCCAAATTGCGCCTCGGTGACATACTTCACGCCGCCGTCAAAGTCCACAGCACCATTCTATTGGTTGCTGTATGGACACACTATTGGCGTCGAAGATACACAGCAAGACTTCCGGGGGTAAGGTCTGAAACTGACGCCGTTGCGTTGGGATGAGTGCATACATGTTCTGTTGCCCAAGGAGGCGCGCTAACGAGAAAGAGGCTGATTGTAAGATGGTACTGGGCCATGATCGTTTGCGTGGCAGCAGCATAACTTCGTTGATAGGACGTGTACATTTCGTCTGCATAAGTGCATTCAGTGAAAAAAAGGATACAATTCCTTAGATTGTGGCTACTTACCAGCGTCTCCTTGCCGCTAGAATGAGTTTGGGCCGGCAGCTGAGTGCACACCAGACTATCAAGGCTAAGAGCGCGTTGAACCTGTGATAATAGTTAGCGCGGAACGATATCTACAGCCTGCAGATGTACGTGCTGTTGAACTACCCAGTTATGTGTGCACTTTTGAACATCATTACTATTGGGGAACTCAAATCTCTCGGTAAGAGCAAGCAAGTGATATCGAATCGTTAGCGGCTTACCTTGACAAAGGATGAACGCGAGTATAGCTAGGAAGTCTATAAGAGCGCGAACTCACCGGGCTGTTAGTGTTGAAGGTTGAGTGAGTAGCTTGGTAGCTGGTATGCTGATGATGGTAGTCGTTCGGTGGAGAGAGAAGACTTAGATGATATTCATGGTAGCGACTGTATATATATGACAGGAGCGTGTGAAGTCACTACCATATTTGTAAAGCTATATAGTCCGAGTCCCACGGTAATGTAGGACGGCTACGTAAGCTACATGACGTGACTCATGCGATGAACACGGAGTCACACGGATGCAATGAAGGCGCTAATACTACCCATAGGATACCTAGCGCCATGTAGACGTGTGCAGCGGTATTTACTTGTAGACCTTACAGAGAAGGAATACCGCGTAGTGCGAGGGCTTCTGGATGAACCAATAAAGCCGCAAAGGGTCGAATACTAGACATAATTCTGACATACCTGTTGCTTGGTTGCCCACCGAAGGACTCCATCGCTGAGAAGGAACTCATTGTTCTGTTGCTTTGGGGGGCTCGTCCTGTTGAGCTTGGGTCGTTGAGAAGGGCTTTTGGAAGGGCTCTTGCTTGTATGTTTAAGTTCCTGCTTGAGCTTCATCTGTTTCGGGGTTTGATCACCATCATGAAAGCTGGCCCTGCGCTTCCTCTGCAGGCGGTGCTATGAGCATGAGTTGAAAGAGATGTAACCAGACTTACGGCAGGGGCTGCCTTGTCAGAAGTCCCTCCAGGTTGTAAGATATCGTCATTGATGGGCGTGCTGACGGGCGTGCCTAGGGCAAGTGAGTGGAAGAACTGCAAGCGGGGTTAGTTTCTATGGGATACAGTGCGCATATGCAGTGATAACTATACCCTAATTGCATCAGTTGATGTCTTCACAATCTTGGAGAAAAAGGACATTGTTTTGGAGAGGTTGAGAAACGTTCAGAGACGAGAAGTTTGATGTTTCGCATGTGGAAAGAAGGTCGGGTTGTACAAAGATCAAAGAAGGGAGAAGTCTTTAAATATGTGTAGTGAGCACAGCGTGATGATTACGGGTTCACAATAGTGTATTGATGGAACGTATGCCACGGTGCGTCTTTTGTTTCTCGGTTTGCACGGGTAACTATTCATATTTGTTCGAGTATCTTCGGCGCCTATTCCATCGTGACCGAACAGAGGCCATCAGAGGAGTATCTACGCCGCCAGCGACGGGTGCAAGGACAGTTGCTCTAGACATAACAAAATGGAGAAAATGTTCTATTGTGCAACCATGTCAGGACACGATACAATTACAGGGGTGGAGTGAACTCACCGCAGTGGATCCCCGCTGTGCCCGGGACTTCGGACCTCGGCACCGGGGAATGTGGATGGTGTGGTGGGGTATCATATGCGTCACCAACACTTGGTCATTAACAGGATATCAAGTCATATACATGTATAGAAACATGAGGGGGGATGGGGAGAGCTATCAATACAAAAATCGGGGGGTCGTAATCATGAACAAGTCCGGTGTCGTGACAATGGGATAACCGAGGAACTGGGAATGAGACGCAATGTGGTATCCGCCAGAAGAGATCCAGAAACAAAGAAAGAAAGAAAGAAGGGTATTGGCCGATATACAAGTTCATAATTCATAACTCGCCACACCAATGGTTCCATTCACCTTAGCCATCTGAGGTGAAGGAGCCAAACGACTCAGTCTTGATTGGTTGTATTGTGGAGAAAGGACTGTCGGTCGACTGAGGCAGGATACTGAAGTTGATATTGGTGCCAAGAGCAGGAGTACCTTCCTCGTAGAGTCTACGCGCTGCCTCGTATTTGAGCTTCTCCTGTTCGGCTCGAGCCAAAAGCGGCTGCAAGAAATGGGTATTAGATCACATTCACAAAAGGACAAGACATCGACCCTCACCTTATGCTCATCGCCAGCCGTGAGAACACTCTGCTTCATCATCTCTTGCTTGTTGCCGAAGACTTCGCGGACGAGTGCAGGATCCGAGCGGATGTGTTTGCAAGAACATGAAATATGCACTCAGAGGTTTCTTGGGCGTGTTTGGGTCCTTGAGGTTGCTCTTGCGAGACTTGCTGGCCTTGCGCTGAGCAGTGCGATAGGCATTCTCTCGCTTGATATTGTCTGGAGTGAGCGTCTTCATGTATTCGGTGTTCTGGCGCTCGCGCTCCTGCTTCAGTGCTGCAGACTTGTGTTTGTAAGGCTTTAGGGTATCAACAATTAGCCATGTCGATAGACAATTAGTACTGATGATAGGCTTACCTCTTTCTCTGCAGCGCTGAGCTCCGCGTACTTGTGACCGGCTTCCTTGGCTGCCTGAGCAACGTTCAGCTTCCGCGTGCTACTCTGCTGATGACGTTGGATCCAATCCAACGGAAGGCGCAAGCCTAGGCGGCTTCAGGACAGACATCTGGAGAGCTAGGGCGTAGTTATGAGTCAAGTGATAACGCGAATATGATCATGGGTTGCGTACAGATGATATCCACGTACTCTTGACCAGCTTCCTGGGCTGCCTGAGGGACATTCGGCCAAGCTGTTTCCCAGCGAAGATCAGGCGCTGCTGGTCAGGGGGATTTCTGTGGTAATGTGGATAGTCAGTAAGGGTGTGCGAATGGATGTTGTAGTCCGAGAGAGTGCGCTGATCCGAACGTGAAAGCTGAGGTGGAGGTGACGGGGATGATGACAGGACCAGGGAGGGCATACTCATGGGGAGGCAAGAGAGAGGGGGCGGCGATGGAAATGGCATTGCCGTTGAGTGAGGTGGAAGGAAGTGAGGAAACTGCTGGACCATGAGCAAACAACGGCCAAACACAAATTGAAAAGAAAACACACCTAGTGCTGAACAACATCTAACTAAACCCGGAGCTATTGAGCGATGCTGAGGAGGAGGCGATGACCTTGATGATCTGTAAGGCTATGATCACAAGGATAAGGATGCGTCAGTACGGATGGAGGATGGATACACAGCATGTACTCATCCGAGAAGTCCGATGTGACGCGCTTGCACTCACGCGACGTGCAAGGGGGATCCAAATGAGGGCAGCGCCGAGATTGGCAAATGTCTTGAGATAACAATGCAGAGCGGTTAGACTGCAAGATGGGATCGTTGAAAGGAACAGCATGCAGCGGAGGTGGTGAAAGACCTAAGCCAGTATGGAGACGATTAGCTAGTAAATGGGCTGAGGGGTGGGTAAGATCTTACCTCAAACAAGAGAGCTTCAGCGAGATTGTCTACCCCGACGAAGCGAACAAGCGGCCATTGACGATGGGGGGAGACAACGTGAGGGAGGCCCCCAGCGCGTCGGCGAGGGAGGTGGCACCGGCACCAGGGGCAATGAGCGGGTTGAGGTGCGGGATGGTGGTGAGATGGTCGGAAAGAAGGGGCATGGGAACCCACTTGAGAGTTTGATATAGTAAATTGCGATGAGGTACAGCCACTCACCCAATTGGGTGAGTGGCTGTACCTCCACGCGAGGTGAGGCACAGCCACCCACTGATCAGATCACAGGGGGTTGACGAGAATTTGACAACAGGAGCTGGGGAACCTGGTAGGGGTTCGTCACAATGTCATTTGTATCGTGGTAGTACAAAGTACATGTATAGAGAGCAAAGGAGGATCAAGCGAGGATAGGTGTAAGATACAAAGTACACGCATAGCAGGCACATAATATGGTGCAGTCTTTTCAGTACACAAATCCCATGCCCGAGGTGAAGTTAGAAATCCTGTTGGCATATGTAAGTTTACGTTGATGCATTGCGTTGAGTATACATACCTTCGAGAGCGGTTTGAGGATGATCCTTCCACTTGTCCACCTCTTGCCGATAGCATGGCACAGAGGATTTGAAGCAGGCACAACGGTTAACAACTTGGCTAGGTCCTCCTTCCAGAGGGAAGCACCAAACGCAGCATAAGGCGCAAAAGGGTCCAACTTGCCTTCGTTGAGAGGCATGAACTGTTGCACAATGAAAAAAATGTCTCAAAGGCTGGGGGCGGATTGCTTATTGGAGCCAACACATAGGATCTCCTTGATCGCCGTGGGCACTTGATCACCTAAACCAACCGTAAAGAAAATCTGACTATTCGAATGCGAAGAGCTCGCAGTTGCGAAACTGAATCCGTTGAGGGTGTACCTGGAATGGACCAGAATCTTTTCCGGGAGCGCTTTGAGGTGCGCTGGGAAGTCAAGATAAGTGTCAGCGTCACTCCATGCTTGCCTCAATCATGCGGGAGAGACGATGGAACACCCTGATGCGACTTGGGACTTGGAGCGCTCAATGGAGTCGCTGCTCATGATGGTGCGTATGTCGGTCATGAGCGTCCCGCCCTGATAAAGGCCCCAGCAGCGCTCCAGAACCGGTGAGCACTGCTGCAGAAGTGCAGGGCAGCACGGCTGTTGTAGGAACGCTTTGGCGTTTGATGCTGTACAGAATGTCTCGAGCATCATTTTCTCGAGCATCCCTGCAGCCGTCTTGAGAAACAAGAAATGGAGAGACGCGAAAGCGTACCTATTTTGTGATTGGTGTTCACCTGTTGCAAGATACCTATCAACCGTTCAAAGGGGAACATCCACCAGCCATGCATGGGCCCGTATCTTAGCAAGAACTCGCCAATATGAAGGGAAGCATGGTGGTTGGGTCGCCAGGAGTAACGCGGGAGGGCTTGCGCGATGAAGCGCAGGTAGGCTTGCATGTGGTGGGTGTAGTTGCATGCATGCTCGGCAGTAACTCAGTGGGATGTTGCATAGCATACGGCGATGGCTAAGAGGAAGGTTGCGTGGAGCAGCAGCTCCTTTCTGTCCGTACTAGCATCTGGGAGAGTGTGAGTCCATGTCCACATGAGAGCGACGGGCAGTTTGAACTCAAGGCATGATTGCCATTGATCAGCCTTCAGCTTGCCGTGGCCGGGACACCCCAGGTTCTTCGGGGGACCACGACACCATGGCGGGGCGACGACGTCTTGTATAACCGACCAGATCCCCGCCAGCTCAGCTCGAGTCAACCGCAGCACCACGCCCTCATCCTCGGAAGGTAATGCATATTCTTCGACCAGCTCTTCTCCTAACACATCCTCGAGAGGCGTATAGTCGAGTTGTGGCAAAGAGTGCAAGCTATGCGGAACACCTTTGTTCTGTAGATGCAAATGTAGTAAGAAAAAGTGTGAGGGAGCTTTAAGACTACGCACGAGTAACACTTCAATGAACACTTTTTTTTTTGGCTTCTTACCGCCTTCTCCTTCGACAACTAACCCCCGCTGGTCTGCCACCTCAGCCAGTTCACGTATACAAAATCTTGCCAGTTGGGCATGCGTCGGGTTACTTTGAAGGATCTTCCTGCACTTCTGCATTTTCTTCACGTCAAGAGGCTCGAGCGGAACAACGTCCCCTGCACCAGCGCCCTCGTTCTCGTGGATCCCCATGATATCGCGAAAATGGACGTGCACTACGCCAAGGAAGAGGTTATGCATGCCATCGACGACCATCAACTTGGTGGGATCCCAGTACGGCAGCCGTAAAAGCTTGCTCCAACGTACACCGGTCTTCGCAAAGAGTTTTGATTGATTGGTCTTCGTGCTAGCATCTCTCCACCCCTCCGCGGCTGCGATATGATCCAGACATGTACGTTGCGTCCAACCGGAGATGTTGAAATCCCCGAGCTGATGTTTACAAATCCAGCAAAACGCACAGGTGTGATGACCTGCAATGCCTGCGAAACCGCTGACTTTCCTGCTGGCATGCAAGTTGTTCACAGAGACTGCGAGCGCGGACCGAGCTAAATGCCCATCCGGATGCACTTCCATTGCGGAGTACCAGGTACCACGCTCCCATGCGGGCAACAACTGGTCAATGACAGGTGATACAAAGTGGTTGATCTCCTCCACGGTAGTCTCCCTTGGGCCGGGGATAATTCCTGCGAGGAACATGTTCTTGGCTTTATATCGTAGGCTAGGGGGGAGATTGAGACAAGCGAGTGAAATGGCACTGACAGACACAGTCTTGCCCGAGGTCTTGTTCATGTACGGATTGAACCAGTTGATGGAGAGACTCCACATGAGACGAAGCTCGGGCCGCTTGAATCTGTCTAAGAACGGCTTGCCATCCGGCCCAGGGAGCTTGCTAAGACACGACCTGTCTTTGATGTCTCGCAACTCCTCCTGCACGCTGAACACGGTCCCTTTATCCACACCCTCTATGCCCTTCCTGCTGAGAAGATTGCTGACAAACTGGTTGAAATTGTTGACGCAGAAAGGGCGGATCGGTAGATTGGCTGCGGAGTGCGAGCCGTGCCCAGCCGTACGGAGAAGAGGTACTCCGCACTGACGAGTTTCACGTCAAAATTGGTGCATCTGCTGACATGTTTCAGGGTAACGTAGGCCTTTGTTGTCAGTGGGTGGGTGAAGGAAGGAGCATTCGGGGCATGCAGCGTATTGGCGAAGGCGAGGCTTGAGATCGAAGAGGGCGTGAACCGTGCGCAAGTCAGTCGGCAGTGTTTGAAGAACTTGAGACTCGCAATAGCTTAGTTTGCGAGGGGTTTGGCCTGCAAATGGGTTGGTGAAGGTGGTTCGGATCTGAAAGCGCTGTAGTGCAAGTGTCACATTGCACCATGTGCGGGTAGCGTGTTCGAAGAGATTTAAGACGAGGACAAGAAACATGGAGAGGAGGACCAGAGGGTTGATGCCCGGTAGTTTCTCGGTGTACCATCATTCTATACAAAATATTTTACCAAGCGCTTGGTTGACCAAGAAAAAAGACGTACTAGTGTTGACGATGACGCTTGGGGAAACTACTTCATCGGACTGTGACTCGAGAATGTGATGATTATTGCAAAGCAAACCAATATATTCCTTGATGTTTGCTGAGATGGAAAGATGCAAGGCATCAACGGTAGGGTTGTCTGACGGCGAGCAAAGAAGTTGAGACTGTAGGACATCCATCGCCCACATGTCATCAGCCGCGAGATGGGATAATGCTCTGCTGTGGACAGACTCCTTGTCTAGCCCCTGGAGTATCGCTTCTGTACTGCCCATCCATCAAAAGAGTTGATGATGTAGGCAAACAAGTTCGGCGTAGGTGTTGGATAAGGTGGCATTCTCCCCAAAGGTTTGAGGCAGTACATCCAGGTACGAGTGATCCGCATCCGTATGAGGGTCCCGGAGCGATTGGAGCGAAGGCGAGCCCGGATATTGACTTCGAGGGTCATCAAGGACGAGATGGTGTACAGCCTCAATGAGAGAACCATCTTCTGAAGGTGTCTCGTCAAGGTTGGCGGCGTCTAGGGCGCTTACAAGCGAGGACGGGTCGTTGTCCGGGTGCAAGGTGTCCGACTCCGAGATGTCGGATAAATTCGTGGAGGAGTGATACATTGAAACGAGGGCGGATGAGAGGCCATTTACACATGAGTTACGGTCTTCTTATAGGTGTAAGTCAAGTCCACTGTTGCCGTAGACGATCAGTATGGGTACAAGGGAAGGAAACGTAGAAACAAGACATACCGACGTTGTAATCAAGACATGCAACTGCACAGCTTGGGCGGTATCTCGGTAACGATGCGATATAAGGCTTTTGCCTCAGAAAGTCAGCATAGGTACAAGGGAAACAAATGCAGGAACAAGACATACCGGTTTCGTTATCAGGACACGCTCCAATTGAACAGCTTGAGTGGTATCTTAGTGACGATGCAGTACAAGGCCGACGTGGATTGACTGAGCAATCCTGCAGCGTTTTTACATAGTACTTGTATTGTAGAAGAAGTTCATTTTTATCCCACAGCGTGATTACATAGTACTTGTATCGTAGAAGAGCGACATGAACAAAAGCGGAGGCTAGATGTGACGAGCATGGGGACATATGCAAGGAAAGGCCTTCCGAATGTTGTAGTCCAAGAGGATGCGCCGCTCCGAACGTGAAAGCTGAGGTGACAGGGACGAGGACGGGACGAGGGAGGGCATACTCATGGGGAGGCAAGAGGGAGGAGCAGAAGGACATAGCAAATCTGCTGGGCCATGAGCAACAACGGCTGAAAACAAATTGAAAAGAAAACATACCAGGTGCCGAACAAAGTCTAGCTAAACCCGGAGCTGTCCAGCTATGCTGAGGAGGAGGCGACGATCTTGATGATCTGGGTAAGGCTACAATCGTGAAGATAAGGATGTGTTAGTACGGATGGGGGATGAGTATGTGGCGCATACTCACCTGAGGAGCCCGACATGACGCGCTCGTGTGACGCGCGAGGAGATCCAAACGAGGGCGGCGCCGGGATCGGCGAATGTCTTGAAATGACAATGCATGGCGGTTAGATTGCGAGAAGGGATTGCGAGAAGGACGGGATCGTTGAAAGGAACAGGATGCGGCAGCGGGGGTAGTGAGAATGCAAGTATGGAGACAATTAGCTAGGTAATGGGCTAAGGGGTGCAAAAGATCTTACCTCGACGCTGGAGAACGACGATCGACGATGGGGGGAGACGACGCGAGGGAGGCCCCCAGCGCGTCAGCGAGGGAGGGGGCGCCGGCACCAGGGGCAATGAGCGGGTTGAGGTGTGGAATGGTGGTGAGATGGTCGGAAAGAAGGGGCGTGGGAACCCACTCGACTGATTGATATAGTAAATTGTGAGTGGGTACAGCTACCCCCCATATTGGGTGAGTGGCTGTACCTCATCACGATTTACTATATCAAACTCTCAAGTGGGTTCCCACGCCCCTTCTTTCCGACCATCTCACCACCATCCCGCACCTCAACCCGCTCATTGCCCCTGGTGCCGGCGCCGCCTCCCTCACCGACGCGCTGGGGGCCTCCCTCGTGTCGTCCCCCCCATCGGATTATAGCATCCATGGGGCTACAACGTCCAGGATGCACGCTCTCCGACTACAACACCCATCAGCACAACAAAGTTACCATGGGGACGGTCAGCTGCTTTTCTGTAAGCAATCCACCAATACGGTACCAATCCGCACAATAACAGAACAATAACCATAGATTGAACTATTCTGTTGTCTGCCCTCAAAAGGTGGACGCTACCCCTGCTTTTGCAGTTGCCCACCCTTTGTATGTTGTCTTCCTTTCTCTGACGAAGTGTTACTCGAGCTGACCGTTCGTTTAAGCTGAACCTTTGCCATGGCTGAAGGCGGCGACCCACCCGTTCGCAGACAGTACCCACCTCTCACCTCGACCCAATCCTTTCTTGTTGAACATCTACTCTTTTTCCCCAGCCTTACATACGAGAGAGTGTTCCCCCTCGACGAACCGAAATCCTCCGCTGGCATTTTGCCACCCGTAGCTTCCCGTATCCCGAAGCCCAAGGGCGAAGCAACACATATCGGTTGTGGTGGATATACCCTCCGGGAGGCACTCACTTGGTCTAGCGATCAATATGAGGGCGTAAAGGTACGTTCTTCATCTGACTGCCATTGTCGTCCTATTGACGGTAGTCCAGAAACATGTACAGCAGCTCACCAAGAAACACCTCAATGTGCATGAAACCTTCAGCACCCAAAAGACGGAGGACTTGGCCAAAGTGTTCGCTGAGGTGGATCATTTTCCCATAATCAACCGGTTCTTAGCCGATACTTCGCACCTGCAGGCCAAGGAAGTGTATGCTGAGCTTGATCAATATGAGGGTGATTGGGTCGTATCTGACTTTCTCCGCATTTACCTCAAAAACTCCAAGGCTAGAAAGAAGGCAGGCAGATAAGAGAATCGGCTGAAGGAGATACGGTCGTGATGTTACCACCCACGTTACAATAGCTTACACACAATTGCCGTTATACAATACCGAGAAATGGATGATTGTACTATGGGGGGGCAGGCTGCTAGGATACTCTTCAATTGTGTTGTCTGTCCGTATTGTTTTCTTGCTTGACGCCAGCAAGCGCCTTCGCTTGTATATAAGCACCCCCGGTGCTTCAATCTCGTCCTGTTCATACGAAAATGCCCGTACTATACCCATATTTTGATATATTATTGAAAGTCGGGCATGTCCAAAAATTCTGAAACTTGGGGGTCTTATAGTACCCTATGGGTGTACCCCAATGCCCAAGTTTAAAGGGAAATCGGCGGTTCCGTTTTTGAGCTACCACCCCCCC